AAACTGAGTAGGATTTCGAAAGTATGTCTAATGACCAAAAATGATTATAATTGGCCTCTGCAACTACTTACAATTTTTTTAAAACGATTTGAAAAATTTTAATTTTGTCGAAAAATCTCATATCTTCTCGAATTTTTTTCTCGAAAATACGAAGGTTTTCGAGGGTATGTCTATTCACCAAAAATGTTTGTAATTAACCCCTGTAACTAACTATAATTTTTTTAGTAGGATTTGAAACCTTTCAATTTTGTCTAAAAATCTCACATCTTCTCGAATTTTTTTCTCGAAACTGAGTAGGATTTCGAAGGTATGTCTAATGACCAAAAATGATTGTAATTGACCCTTGTAACTAATTATAATTTTTTTAAAACGATTTGAAAAATTTTAATTTTGTCGAAAAATTTAAACATTCTCGAATTTTTTTCTAGAAACTGGGTAGGATTTCGGGGGTATGTCTATTCACCAAAAATTATTGTAATTGACCCCTGCAACCGAAAATAATTTTTTTAGAACGATTCGAAAAATTTTTTTTTCGCCGAAAAATTAAGGCACCTACACACTGTCGATTTTTCTTAAAAATTGTTTTTCATTTTTAGTAATTTCATTTGACGTCCTAGAGAAAAGTTGTCTAATACTTTTTTGTAGGTGCCCATGGACTCTACTTCGGAAAAAAGTTTCATGGAAATATATTCACTATTGTAGGAGTTATGGCTTTTTGAAAATTACAACATTTTTACGGTGTTTTTCTCATTTTACAGGGTTAAGGAACAACTTTTCGGATATTTTTGCTATTTGTACATATTCTCCACTAAAATACGCGTCGTTTGCGTTTTTGAAAATTAAAATCCTCCAATCGGTTCAGAAGTTATGGCATTTTAAAGATTCGCATGGAATTTTCGGGCAACATAAATTATATTTTCGATTAGGAATTTTTTTCTCGAAAATGGGTAGGATTTCGTGGATATGTGTAATGACCAAAAATGATTGTAATCGACCCCTGCAACCGAAAATAATTTTTCCAGAACGATTTGGAATATTTCAATTTCGTCTAAAAATTTCACATCTTCTCGAATTTTTTTCTAGAAAGTGGATAGGAATTCGAGGGTATGTCTAATAACCAAAAATGATTGTAATTGACCCCTGTAACTAATTATAATTTTTTTAGTATGATTTGAAATTTTTTAATTTCGTCTAAAAATCTCACAGCTTCTCGAATTTTTTTCTCGAAAATACGAAGGAATTCAGGGGTATGTCTATTCACCAAAAATGCTTGTAATTGACCCCTGTAATTAAATATAATTTTTCCAGAACGATTTGAAATCTTTCAATTTTGTCAAAAAATTCCACACCTTCTCGAATTTTTTTCTCGAAAATGCGTAGGATTTCGAAGGTATGTCTAATCACCAAAAATGATTGTAATTGACCCCCGCAGCCGAAAATAATTTTTCTAGAACGATTAGAAATTTTTGAATTTAATTGTTAATATCTTTTTAAGGAAGCCTCCATCAACAAATTGCTATTCTTAATTTTCGTCTTATTTTAGCCTCTAGACTACTTTAGTCTTATTTTTACACGTAAAACACACTGCTAAAGCGTGTACAAAAAACCGCGGGAACCCCCTCTATTTCAAAAATAGAAAGTACTAAAATAAACTTCCATCTTACATGATCTTTATTGGTCACTGAACGCGTTAATGCTCATTCTGGTGTAACGAAACGAACAAAGGAACCATCAAGCTCTCCCGAACCCCAAGAAGGGGCCCCAGATCGCGGTGTTGGGGGACGTGAAACACGATTAGCTCCGCTAGAGGCGAAATAAGACCCGAAACAGGACGCAGACTCACTGGATTTCGGTCCACGAGCGCAGGATGGCGGAAAAAAGTGAAGGGAAGGGAAGGTGATCGGGAGAAGAGACGCCTGGGGACGCGGTAGCCGTGGACACGTCCTCGGCGTCCACTTCGCGGCGCATCTTCTGAAATGGCAAGGTCACCGGTAGTTACGTCACCAACTTTCCTCGGCTCCTCGCGAGAGAACCAAATGTCACAATTACCAAGGACGCTAGAACCGCGTGCAAGTCGCCTCGGGGCGACGAAACCGACGACCGGGGTAGGAATCCGGAGTTCACGTGGATTTGGCTTTCACATTCGGCACGTACGACAGGTGGACGATCGTTCCACGAGCCTTAGCGTCACGATGCTCCCTTGAGAGGGACGATTACCCGGATGACGAAACCAACAACAAGTCCTCCATCCACGTAGGCTTTCCAGGGAGAAAAGAATTAACTAACAAACTAATTAACTCACTGACAAACTGACTAACTAACTGCAAACTAGCTAACTAACTAATAAACTATCTAACTGCAATGTTAGGGATGACGGATGATGACGAAACCAACAACATCCTACATCTCCTCCTTCCATGTAGGCTTTCGAGGGAGAAAAGAATTAACTAACAAACTAATTAACTTACTAACTAACTAACTAACTAACTAACTAACTAACTAACTGACAAACTAGCTAACTAACTAATAAACTATCTAACTGCAATGTTAGGGATGACGGATGTTGACGAAACCAACAACATCCTACATCTCCTCCTTCCACGTAGGCTTTCGAGGGAGAAAAGAATTAACTAACAAACTAATTAACTCACTGACATACTAACTAACTAACTGACAAACTAACTAACTGACAAACTGACTAACTAACTAATAAACTATCTAACTGCAATGTTAGGGCGGTCCACACGCAACTGTTACAAGTCATAACTCCATTATTATTGCATTTACGCAAAAATCGCTAAAGGGGAAAGATAAATGGTTCGAAGAGCACTACATCTGTAGGCCTTTGAATTTTTCTTAGATGCAGCGGTGCATGTGCAATTAACAATTGCATAATTTCTTTAAACAGAAATGCATATTTTTTTTTACACAGATCGATTCCTCCGTTAATTCTGCGTATAAAATGATTGGGGTACCATGGCTGAAAAATTATCGGATCTCGAGTTATTTTCAAAAAATCTCTTTACTGAAGAAGATGCTCAACGGAGGCTCAAAACCATTGATAACATAAATGTTTGCATGGCTAATAACGTGAAGCATTTGTAGTTTATAAGAGCATTATTTGCAATTGCAAGTTTTAGAAATGCTGTTATTTCTTTTTAAATATTCCCAACTCAATCTGAATGCTTGCTATAATGTTTTTTACTATAAACGTGTGACTGTGATCTAAAGATAGATGAACTTGACGTGCCTAGACTCACATGCTGTGAGAACAGGAACAATCATCTTCTGTACAGAGTGGAAAGGTCCTTGGCATTGTCGACGAAAGATACGTTTCATTGTTGATATCTGAATGGCACGGTTAACAAGTGCACGAGTGCCATTTAAACCGAAGTTGTGCGCTAGAAATTCCGTTAAATCGCGTATCTCCCGGGATTAGGTATTCTAATTCGAACGTCTGAACGGAAAGACTGCTTTTAGCGTAATCTTTGATTAATTGGTCGTTTCACAATCGGTTATTTGGCCGACTCGAATACGGTGCTTAGAAGAGATCTTTCGATATCGCTATTTCTTACACTCAGTTATGTGCTGCTAATTGCCGTACAAGATTTTTCAATTTAGATAGTTCTCGAGATTTATGTAACTCTTACAAACGTGGATGGAAATTGTTTCTTTTAATGAAGCATGTGTGTTTATTTAAATTCTGTTGTGTCCCACGTTTATCTAGATCTAGGGTCTGGGTTAGGTCTGGGTTAGGTCTGGATTAGGTCTGGGTTAGGTCTGGATTAGGTCTGGGTTAGGTCTGGGTTAGGTCTGGATTAGATCTGATTTAGCTCTGGGTTAGGTCTGGGTTAGGTCTGGATTAGATCTGAGTTAGATCTGGGTTAGGTCTGGATTAGATCTGATTTAGCTCTGGGTTAGGTCTGGATTAGGTCTGGATTAGATCTAAGTTAGGTCTGGGTTAGGTCTGGATTAGATCTAAGTTAGGTCTGGGTTAGGTCTGGATTAGATCTAAGTTAGCTCTGGGTTAGGTCTGGATTAGATCTAACTGAGACCTAATCCAGACCTAACCCAGAGCTAATTCAGATCTAATCCAGACCTAACCCAGATCTAACTCAGATCTAACCCAGACCTAACCCAGACCTAATCCAGACCTAACCCAGACCTAACCCAGATCTAACTCAAATCTAATCCAGACCTAACCCAAATCTAACCCAGACCTAACCCAGACCTAACCCAGAGCTAAATCAGATCTAATCCAGACCTAACCCAGATCTAACTCAGATCTAATCCAGACCTAACCCAGACCTAACTCAGATCTAACCCAGACCTAACCCACATCTAACTCAGATCTAATCCAGACCTAACCCAGACCTAATCCAGACCTAACCCAGACCTAACCCAGATCTAACTCAAATCTAATCCAGACCTAACCCAGATCTAACTCAAATCTAACCCAGATCTAACCCAGATCTAACCCAGACCTAACCCAGATCTAACCCAGACCTAACTCAGAATATGCCTGTAAATCTAGTGTTAACTATTAAACTGTGCGTTGCAATAAGAGCATTGCACTTAATCGACAAGTAAATCCAACGTCAAAGGAGAGTATCTTTAATAAAATGAACTGATCTAAGAGAACAAATCATGTCAAGGAGCAGTTGTTTTATCCAAGTTGCTTTAAATGTAAATCTAGTGTTAACTATTAAACTGTGCGTAGCAATAACAGCATTGCACTTAACCAACAAGTTAATTCAACGATAAAGGAAGGAGTCTTTAATAAAGTGAATTGATCTGAACGAAAAAATCGTGTCTCAGAGTACCATAAACGCTGTGCAAACAGCACCAAAGCGAAGAATGGAAACACGTTTCGAGGAGAGGACGCGTTGCACCGGTTACATCGCGGATGCATCTTATAGCAGAGACCAGGGGAGACTCATCCGCGAATCTCCCGCCTCCTAATGCAGGTGGGGATGCAACGTTGGTGATTTTCCGGGTATATAAAGGCAGATGCGCCGTGCATTCTTGGTATCACGTATTGGTCGTCGTTTAAGGACGAAAGGGTCAGGAATCGTAATCGTTCGCACGAAGAGTCCTCGCTATGAAGACGGTGGGTCTTGGTCACGCGTGAAAACGAGATAAATCGTAACGAAACGGGGGAGATACGGACCTGTTGGTCGTAACACCGTCGCGGGTTTATACGTTTCAGCGTAATCGTATGCGGGGGAGGGACGGAGCGGATTTCGGGGCGCTGACAACCGAAATTATTTACGTAACAGTGAAAGTGAAGAGGACTGTGACATTTTGTGCGACGACGTTACACGCACCCGATGATTAATCGCGAAATTTCGACCAACGGCCACCCAACCTGTCGTTCGCGACAACATCGAACCGGTCGAGTCACTTTCGTTCTAAACATCGGCTCTAAAACACTAATCGATCAACGGGGAACCTTCGTTAGCCAATTCGCGTTATTTTCATATTTTTGTTAGCCAGCTTTCGTTTATTTTTTATGGTTTGAGGCGCCATTTTATTATCTTGTAGGCAAGATTGGGATTTTTACTACGATACCATTTTATTTGCACAGATCCTAATCTTCGTGGCAGCGATAGTGGGAGTTCTCGCGGCGCCTCAAGGTAGTCCAAACGATATCACGATCGTGAAGCAGGAAGAATCGAACAACATCGGAGTGGGTGGATATCATTTTAGTTACGAACAAAGCGATGGCCAAAAGAGGGAAGAAACAGCGGAACTGAAGAACGAAGGTACCGACGATGAAGCCCTAGACGTTTCCGGTAGTTTCACGTTCACATCGCCAGATGGGCATACTTACAGGTAAAATACTAGTCTATCGAAAGAATTTTAAAAGATTTTTGTATAGAAATATTAGCTTCCTTCATCAAAATTTCAATTATTTTGTAAAACCCCCACTCTTGACTTTGTTCACTCTCGAATTTTTTTCTTCAAAATGCGTAGGATTTCGGGGGTATGTCTATTCACCAAAAATGATTGTAATTGACCCCCTCAAACGACAATAATTTTTTTTAAACGATTTGAAATTTTTTAATTTCGGCATCTTCTCGAATTTTTTTCTCTAAAATGCGTAGGATTTTGGGGGTGTGTCTATTCACCAAAAATGATTGTAATTGACCCCCTCAACCGACAATAATTTTTTTAGAACGATTTGAAATTTTTTTTGTCGTCGAAAAATTTCACATCTTCTCGAATTTTTTTCTCAAAACTGGGTAGGATTTCGAAGGTATGTCTAATGATAAAAAATGATTGTAATTGACCCCCGCAACCGACAATAATTTTTTTAGAACGATTTGAAATTTTTTTTGTCGTCGAAAAATTTCACATCTTCTCGAATTTTTTTCTCGAAAATGCTTAGGATTTCGGGGGTATGTCTATTCACCAAAAATTATTGTAATTGACCCCCGCAACCGAAAATAATTTTTCCAAAACGATTTGAAATTTTTTTTGTCGTCGAAAAATTTCACATCTTCTCGAATTTTTTTCTCAAAACTGGGTAGGAATTCGAAGGTATGTCTAATGATAAAAAATGATTGTAATTGACCCCCGCAACCGACAATAATTTTTTTAAAACGATTTGAAATTTTTTTTGTCGTCGAAAAATTTCACATCTTCTCGAATTTTTTTCTCGAAAATGCTTAGGATTTCGGGGGTATGTCTATTCACCAAAAATTATTGTAATTGACCCCCGCAACCGAAAATAATTTTTCCAAAACGATTTGAAATTTTTTTTGTCGTCGAAAAATTTCACATCTTCTCGAATTTTTTTCTCAAAACTGGGTAGGATTTCGAAGGTATGTCTAATGATAAAAAATGATTGTAATTGACCCCCGCAACCGACAATAATTTTTCCAAAACGATTTGAAATGTTTTAATTTTGCCGAAAAATTTCACATTTTCTCGAATTTTTTTCTCGAAAATGCGTAGGATTTCGGGGGTATGTCTAATCACCAAAAGTCATTGTAATTGACTCCCGTAACTAAATATAATTTTTTTAGAACGATATGAAATTTTTAAATTTAATTGTTAATAACTTTTTAACGAAGCCTCGATCAACAAAATGATATTCTTGATTTTCAACTCATTTTGGCCTCTAAAAACACTCTATACATGTATACGCACATCTACAAGATTGTAAAAATAATAATAAAGTGCATAATAATAAATAAGTTTAACCAGTTATACTAAATACGAATGATCGTTTACAGGGTCGATTACACCGCCGATAAGGATGGATTCCACCCTACGATCAACCTCGTTTCCAAATAAACTAATCTAAGAACCGAAGTTCTGCGTTACCGACGTTACCTAGGATTTTCCGACCATCGATACACACAAATATAAGTGCATTACAATACTCTGTACCTTAAAATAACGTGGCACGCGATTCACTGACCGATAAACGCGAGATCGAGAAAGGTATCGGCTCGAGACGATCGATCCTTGTTCTCCCATGTCTTTGTATATCCACATTCTTGCATCTTATCGCATTTGCTATCTTTTTCGTTCTTATTCGTTAACACATTACCGACCGATAGCCTATCAATCGACTGTTTTACCGACCAACGCTTACCGGCTGAGAGCCTATCAATCGACTGTTTTACCGGCCAACGCTTACCGTCGGTAAAGTGTTAAGATGAAACGCTGGTAATCGTTACCATGCATCGTAACAAAGATGGCGCGTGAAATGGAATGATTGTTCTATTCCGTGAGCAAACGCGAACGATATTTAAACTAAAGAACTTCTGGAAGATTAAATTTCCAATTTCCATTTTTAGTTACGTTAAAAGAATTAAATGTGCGCGTGGAACTATGAAGTAACAAAGAAAAAAAGATTAAGACATCTATGACGATAAAATGCATTCCAATTTCATTTGTGAAACGTGTGCCAATGCGCAAAATATGATTTATGCTATCAGCTCTGAGAAACTACAGATTTTGAACGAGAGTCGTTAGAAATTCCAAACACTATCCAACTAATAGAGAGGCGACGACGAAGCACTCATTTGCACGCTTTAGAATTCGCGTGAAAATGAGCAATTTTCTTTTTTATACACCTACCTATATGTATGTATAATAAGACACGAGTCGTGCAAATAAATGTATACACAAACAGAACATCTTATTTACCGAGTTCAAACTTCCATAACAAACATTTATACAGGGTGTCCTATGCAACTGAAGCAGGCTATACCTCCTAAACGATTGGGAATAGAAAACTATGATCGCAGTTTTTTGTTCCACTTTGGAAGAGTGTATTTTGTTAATTGTTGTCATACTTGAGCGATTATTAGGAGGTGATTTTAGCGTCCTCTTCTCGTGGATGGCGATCACAGTTGAGAAACTATTCACTGAATTAGTATTGATAGGCACACAGCTGTAGTTTTGCGTAAATCCAGGCGAGTTGACGCCATGATGGAAATTCGCGGGAATTCTGGTCATGCGCACTGGAGCGCTGATGCGCAGAATTTAAAATTAAACGTAACATGAATTTTATTAAATTACAAATACGGAAAGAAAACTTTAACAAAGAAATGTTTATTAAAATTTTATTTTCGACATTTGTTACTACGAAACGAAGTTCTAACATAGAAAAGTACAAAATACAGAATTTTTATGGATACAGATATACGTAGAATAACAAAAAATGCTTGTGTGTAGATACACTCGTATCTACTAGTGTATTAATACTATTTTGTTATTTACAATACGGATACCATATGTAGCCTAACAATACATATTAAAATGCATGATCAGAACTATGATGAGCCGTGTATAGCTTAAAAAAAAGCTAAAAGACAAATGTAATGTCGTAGCCACGTTAATTAAAATGCATTCCGAAAAATGCATAATTTTTTCTTGATCATATAATTCAATTCTTCGTACTTAAAAAACATCGAATTCATTATAAGCTTATACTTCGCCTAAGCGGGAAGATAATTCAATAGATTTATAAACACTTTTAATTTCTTTTACCATTACCGTGTTGTGAGATTAAATTTTCTAAAATTGTTATAAAAAACTAACAATTCCTAAATAATTTGACTGTAACGGAATTAGTAAAATATATTTATTTCTATAATAGTATTATATTTACTAATATTCTACTAAGTGGAACTGAATATCAAATTGAAATAGTATGATACTCGGAACACAGAAAATTATTTGTTCCTTTATGTTCCTTGAAGTGTTTATGTACTAAAAAAAAATCTTTTTCTTATAATTGATAATATTTAAAATATACATTTTCATATTAGATAAGCCGTCTTAAATTAAACGTTAACTGCATTATTTAGTATGTACAGGTATGCATTGCGTAGAGTAAATATATACGCACTGTACCCATGAACAAGCGTATATTTTAATACGCCATAACGCGTGAAATTTCAGGTTACGACGCCCTGCCCCAAGCATGAATTAAGCTCAACGTTTTGTTAAGTTTCGAACACCATTTTAGCCTATCTTCCTTCGTGTCTGCTGACAAAAGATGCCTAGAAACGATTAATATTTGAAGAATTATTGATTTTGAAATCTTGCATAAAATGGTGGAAGTTATAATGACCTAATTGTTGTCGTGTTCCCGTTTCTAATCATGACCAAACTATCGGTGTCTCCAGGCTCCGCGTTTCTCGTTGTTTCCAGTAAAAAAGTATTAGGACGCGCGCATATGTCCCGAGAGACTAATCCTACGTTTGTCGTGGACACATCTATAAACGCAAAAATAGCAAAAGTTAAACCGCGATAACTAAAAATGATGCATGAAAATTATTATATATAATCACTTTGTAAATCTAGGCTTCCAATGGGAGTTTTTTTCCGTTCGTCGTCGGGATATTTCCAGTAGGATAGCGTGGAACCTTTAAGCAAACACCATCTACGATGCCAAGCACCGAACCCAGAGACATCTTCGAACATTGTCAGGAACCCACTGTACTCGACTGACACTGAAAGTTCGCATGACACGTGCATCTGTAATCTGCCCTCCAATGGAGACTGCGATGGTACCTGTACATTAGAAATTAGAATTAGAAGTGTCTGTTTAAAACCTGAAAATTTTGGGGCGAGAAAGGAATGGAATTTCCCAAAAGAATCGAAATAAATCGACTCATTAAAATGAATATCCATAGTTAGTGGGTTCTTCGAATTTTCGGGAATCCCAACTCTTCCGGGAATCCCAATATTTTTGGAAATCCCGACAAATAAAAGAATCTCACATTTCTGTTAAAATCCATACGTTTAACAAATTAATTGCACTTGCCTTATTTAATGTGAATTGCTGCCGATGTACTTCTTTTAAACTAAAAATAACGTAGCCAGACAATTGGAAAGCTGGAGATCTCACAGCAGATGGACCTGCTGGACTTTGTACACTTGGCATTATTAATCGACTATCCTGCTTTAAAAATTTCTTTGGGGTTTTATTTACCATCTGGAAAATATTTAAACATTCGATAAAAACGTTTAAAAAGAAACCTTAATAGTTTTCTTGTATTACCTTTTTGTTACAATTATTGTTACCATTGCCACATCCATTGACATTGTTTATGTGATACTTAATCTCGTGTGGCAAGATTTCAGCTTGCGTTTGTAGGGAATATATTTCAATAGTGATTTTAAAATCACTGTACAAGTCATTCAGTTTTAGTGTCGATGGAAATCGGAGACACGAGTCGCCAGGTTCTGCTACAACCACTGGCGTGGCGACTATTTCCTCCAAATGTCGCATCAAGCAAACAAAATGGAGACACGTGTCTGTAATACATTTACCAGATTGAAGAAGATGAAATATTCTAAGATTATTCTAGATTCCACTATATTTTAACACGTTACCGACCGATAGACTGTTAATCGACTGTTTTACCGGCTAACGCTTACCGACCGACAGCGTATTAATCAACTTCTTTACCGACCAACGCTTACCGACCGATAAAACAGTTGATTAATAGGCTATCGGTCGGTAAAGTGTTAAAATTCGATTTATTGATACTTACTTGTACCAATATTACGTAAATACTCTCGTCTAAGGGGCAAAGTGATAGCAGAGACTGTTAAAGATCCGCTCTCTTGCACTTCCGGTGATCCAGGAGTAACGGGTCTCAACGTACCTTCTATTTTTAATCGCTGAACTTCATTCAATGCAGCTTGTCGCCTATGAGCTATATTGCAGAATTCATATTGTTTCATTTTAATCATTCCACGCCATTATCTCAAAATCCAGTGAGTCTTTTTAAATCTTTCACATCAAACTTTTATTTTCTTTATTTAAAACTCACTAAATTCGAAGATACCTGGCATTAAAAAATTAAAACACGACACTCTATATTTAACGAGTATCTCTTTTATAAAGAAATATGAAAATTACTGGCAACAAGTAGTAGTCTTTCTCCTTCGACCTGTTCCCTCGAATCATTGAACTCCACGGTTGAAGTGCATAAATTCAGAGCTTGACTAGCTTGACCGATAATTGTTTGTTGCTTGCACACTTCGTCCAACAACCGCTTCAATTTCTCTTGTACCAAAGTGGCTTCGTTCCTAGGATCGATTTGCGTCACCTCGGGTACAGTATCCGAAGGCTCTTGCGTTCTCGATATTATACGTACTGGAGTTTTAGGTGTCTGAAAGTAATTACTACGATAACAATAAGTTTCAAACATAAACGTGTATTGTAATGATTGCATTGTTCGCTGAACTCACTTGAGACTGCTGTCGTCTGTAAAAGCTGACGCTGTGCATTAATGGAACATAGCTATCGCCATCTACGATGTAAGTTTCACCCATACTGGGAGACGGTGGAGAAACTTTCTTTACAGGAGACCGATACGATGATCTTCAAATAAGAAAATGCTTTTACTCTGATTGTAACATTTATATTTTCATTACTATTGTCTTTCTATCTTACCCTTGGCTGTATTTAAAGCTCGTTGATGCGGTCGATGGACTTTTACCACCTTTGTTTAATTTGGGTGGCGTTGGACCTTCTATATTACCATTTCCTTGTGCTTCTTGCAGCGCGAGACACTCGTCTAAATATTCGTCCATTTCATCCAATACTGAAATATCGGAAGTTGTGCTATCCGGATCTGGATCGATCGACCTCTGCAATTGTATTATCATTATCGATAACAAGTTAACAAATTGAAAATCTATAAATATACCTTTTTTGTTAAGAATGCTTGTTCGTTCACTGCGCGTAAAATACTTCTACCGAGACTAGTGTTCACTTCGCATTCTTCTTCCTCGCTGTCGATCTCAGTCCCATCATCCTGTAGTCAGTTAATACAATTATAGCAATTATATTATTTTGTAGAATTTATATTTCATAGCGTTGTCTTACTTGTACATAGTATTCAGCTTCCGTTGCTGTCTCAGTATCAGTTTTCTCATCCAGAGTAGCAGTTTCCCCTTCCGTACTCTCAACCGTGTACTCTGTGTCTGTTTCAGACTCGGTTGTATTATCAATCTCAGACAAATTGGGATAAAGATGCCCGGGCTTAGGCGGAGCGACTCGAATGCGTTTAATGTCAGGTACTTTCTGTATCAATTGAGTCTTCGGTGGACTAACTACCACTTTGAAATACAAAAAATTAGATATCTTATATTTACGTAAACAAATATAGAGAACGTAATGTATACCTTGTCTTTTAGCTGACGGATTCTTACTTTGACTGGAAATGATTTTAACGCTCGAAACATGCTGTTGTGGAAGAGGTGGTGGGGGTGGTGGAACGCTATAATCCTATTATAAAAGTAATGAGTTTCTCAACCAAGAAAATACACATTTGTGTGCAACATAAGGAATAAAGGTTTGCTTACTGGCGCAGGTGTTGGTTTCACCGGACAAACTGGAGAATTTTTTGGAGAGTTTGATTTTCCTTCGCTGCTTTCGCTTGTTCTGATACAGGAACCAGCGGCAACTTGCGCCCTTTCTTTGTTTCTATTGAAACGCGATCGCAACATATCCAACTCACGCTGTCTTTCCAAATGAGTGTTACGTAAAATATTGTTTTCCAATTCCTGTGTACTTAAACCATGTTCAAATTTTTCTCGTTGAGCATTAACAGCGTTGCTGGGAATATTAGACTTGGCTTTTCCTGGAACAGAATCATTTTTATCATTGACTGCAATGACTGTTTCTTTCGTAATTAATTTATGTTATTAAAAATACCTCCATTGTTTGTATTGCCTGATGTAGAACTGGCCTTGTCTTTCTCTTGCAATTTTTTTGGGGGTATAGACATAGTGAGTGGTGCTTTTGGTAGTAATGGCGCTTCTCCTTTGTTCTTCTCAAAAAGTGCCATCCTCTCAGAGAGAGACATCTGAGCAGGATCTTTTGCCTTCGTTTCCGCGTGTTTGGATTCAAACAACGAAGCTTTGCTCAGCACTGAGCCTGGACTAGACTGTGCTGGGCTTTTAGGGGAACCATTGTAGCCAAATCTCGGTACCAAACGGGAATTGCTTGTGCTGGGTGTCGCGTTTCTCGATGTTTTTTCTGGAGTACCGGAGTTCTTAGTCGGAGTTTTAACACTCTTCGAATAGTCTTTAACCGTTTTATTGTGTCTTTCTTCGCGTGTGACTGTGTCTTCTGGGACGCGTTGAAGTTGTTTAGACGATGGACTCGTAGAACCCGCATCTTTTCCCTGAGAACAAGCCTTATAGTCATATACAAGGCGACTATTGCTTTTTGTACGACTAAAGCCTTGTGCCTCCTGTAAATGTTATTTTCGTCCAACAAACCCAATTACTCTTAATATATACCCTCACATTGAACGCATGTACGATTAAACAAAGTTCAGAAACCACATTAATATTTTCACATTACTACACAGAAAAACTTTTGAAAGCTTTAGTCATATACAATGAGTAAATGAAATTTATGTCAATGAAAGTGCTTACCAATGTTTCTAATACATTCTTATCCCATTTTAGTTGCTTTGTAAAACACGACTCATCTTTCCTGGGACTATAGCCTTTGCTATTCCTATTTCCTCTGCTGTATCCGCTTGTGCTTGGCTGTGGTTCAGATGCACTTTTAACTTGCTCGTTCAATTTAGCTTGTATCTTCTCTGCCTTGCTGTCCACTACTTTGATCTGGAAAAACATCCTCGTTAATCAGTTTTCTAAAACACATTTAAAAATATTCGTAATTAATTTACCAGAGTTGGATGTGATAGATCATCTTCCCAATTATTAATTGTTGAGGCAAGGGCTGCTAGTCTATCCAGTCTAGCTCCTTTCTTGGATGGTTTCTGTTCTGTGCTCTCCTCTTCTGCATTAAATCTTTCCTCTGTTCTATGAATAGGTGAACTTAACTCATGACTACTGTCATCTGTAAAAAAATATATAAAATTTTGTATTTATATGATCATTCTTACTATCAAATTTGTTTTAATTTTCTAGGTAAAAAATTGACTCAAATACGTTATATTTGATTAATAAAATAATATTGATTGAATCAATAGCAGAGGGAATTACATCAGAGCAAATTCTTAGAGCCAAATAGTGTTTACTGTTTGCATAAGGCTTGGGAGAATCATGCACACGTATGAAAGTAAAGCAGTGTAGGAAACCAGTTTGAACAAATCTGTGTAGGTGGTACTGTGGAATATAGCTTACCAGAATATAGTTTGCCAAGCCTTTGTAACTTTGACCTCACATTGTAAAGCCCAATCTCTCCATTCTCTTTATTTAATTGTTCGCCATTTTCACTTGTGCTTTTGGACATAGACTTTCTAGGAGGTTTTGTCGGAGATGTGTTTTCTATTAACACTTTGGCAGGAGACTTTGTTGGAGTTTTACTCTTGGTAACTTTAAATTTGAAAATAGACATAAATTTATACATATACATTATTTATTTGTTAGAAGAGAAAATAATAATGTTACCTGTAGCCTGTGCCAAAATAGCATTCGCATCCTTCAAAGGACTACGTCTCTTTTTAACATCATGTCCAGCATTTGTTAATTGAGTGTCCAATTTTTCTCTCCTTGCTCTAGCACGCTCTAACATCCGCTAATTAAATATTGATAGAAAAAATTTCATTATTCTGAATTTGGTAAAATTGTAAAAAAATAATATTTACGAAATATTTCTTGCTTTAAAATATACTAGAAATGTACGTTATGTTTCATAAAAATTGAATACTCCAAATTTAAATATTGATAACGTATATAAAAAATATAGAATTCTTATTATAATTTCTATTAAGAAAATCATCGATATGTCAAAGAATACCGATAGTAATTTTCCACCGTTGGATTTACGCATTGTAATTGTACGAAAGGGCCATACCTGAGTGAAAGGGTCCATTGTGCAGGTAAACGGTAATATCCTAATCCAAACCCACGCTAAAACGGTTCCTAAACTATCGACGGTCACGTACGCTAAATTCTGCGTGGTTTATCTGTAAATATCGACAAATTGTCAAAATTATTAGAACGCATTTTTACATCATACGCAAAGGGAGTTGTTTTCGACCGTTGAATTTGAACGCAAGCGCCATAGTAATCAAACGCATGCGAATTACTGAAAGTGACAGATCTTATTTTTGAATCTTTTTCAGTTAATAAGTTAATCGTTTACGAGCACTATGAACTCGTAAGCGACAACTGATACTTGCCGTTTTAATGGCGACACTTTCACGCGACAAAATTAACGCTAAACACCGGAAAATTCTCGCGCGATTCAAACATCGTAGAAAGAAAGCGTCGCATTAAGACCAACCGAAGTTCTTCGTGGGATTGGAGCAACTGGTGCTCAGCTAAAACGTCATTACGCTTGTCGCCGTAGGGGGGGGCAGCGTACGTTTGCATAGGATCATTTGAAATGGAAACGTTTCATTGGTCGACGGGCATGGCGAAATGTTCCAGCGGATGTATCGTCTTTCATTCAGATTCAGATGATTTTTAACAATGAATGTAAATGAAACGATGTTCTATCTGCTAAGATATGATTTTCAGAAACACGATCTAATATTGAATTAGATCTCTGTCGAAAGTACCAAAAACTCTAAAAATATTGAGAGATACCCCTATTATTTAATTTTGCATATTGCTATTACTTTGACAATATTTTTATTAGAAAATTACATATCAATATATTATTTAATAGAATTAAAAATTCTGTCCGTGTTTAAAAATACTCATAAATTGCCAACTATATCGGAGGATATACTGAGCAATAACAGGAATGTGTCATAATTCCTGTTTATCTTTTAAACGTGGGAGGATTCGTCACCGGTATCAGCAGCCATGGCTTCGCGATTCTCATAAGCCCAGAAGCCATGGAATTCTATTAAAATACTGACCATTGTGTCACCTTGACCACTGCAAAATATAAATAAATGAAATCTTTCATTTTTCTTTGGACAAATTTAAACTTATAAGGGAACACGATTATTTACCAGGATAGTAAGTCTTGTAAAGTAATTTTACAGGGGTCTGCTGGTTTTACCATGTCGAATATTTCATCTTTAACGTTTTCGAAGGTCACTGGTTCCTGGCCATGCATTGTCATTTGTTCTTGAATAGCCTGCACGAAATATTAAATGTTAAAGCTATATATTACAGAATATTATTACGAAATATTATTATGGGCATACGTACACGAAAAAAGTAATTAAGGCAAAAAGTATCGAGATAGCCACGATTATTAATATCGAGAATTCTAAATAAATAATGCAAGCTTTGTGGTTCGTGGCGATTTTCTAACGCTAAGACAAAGTCTAAATATGTTTTGTAATCCATTTCTCCCTCGTAAGTCAAGCATTCTTGAAATACTCTCTCGAGAAATACTCCGGTCAAGGTTCCTGTGCCATATCTGTTGAAAAGTAGCTTTGTAGAATTAACTATAAAGTGATTATGAATTTATTATGGTCAAATTACCCTGCAAGTTCTTCTTTATTGAGCATCCCATTGTGATCTCTGTCGAGGTTAAGATATTGTCCGTAAACTTTAAGCGCAGATGGGGCTGAAAACCAATTTGCTTCTTGCAAGTCTTTAGGTAAATCTTCGTCCCTCAATTCTAAGAGATCGTCGAGGAAACTACATGCTAAAATATCCTGTATCCTAACTCTCCCGGTTCTGAGAGGATCAAGAAAAAATAAAAACTTTCTCACTGCTGTGCAAACATAAAACGAATGAAAAGATTTCTCCAGCCCTTCTAATTGTGGTAGAGTTGGTATTAATTCTAAAATATAGTTCTCCAAATCCTATAAAAAATAAGAATTATGAATTGCATATTTATATTAATCACGCTAGTTTATAATTTGAAATAAAACAGTGGAACGTACAGATTCTCTAAGATATCCTTGACCGGTAACATCGTACAAGGAAAGACCGATTCTTGTTTGATGTAGCCAGACTTTTCTCATAACATAATTAAATAATGCCATTATACTGATCCTACCGTGAGGATCGCCTTGTTGTAATTTAGCGAATACTACCGCAGTGAAGTACGGACTGCATTTAGTACCGGCTAATTTACCTACTTTTTTAAAATCTTCGTAATTTATTAACTGTTCTTCGCCTGACAAAGGTGGACTATGATGTTTATCTAATAACACCCATAATGCCTTAAGTTCATTATTATCTAACAATTGTCGGGAACGTCTTTGTAAAAACAATGCTCGCGTTTCTTCCCGTAATTTTTGTGGTAAAATCTCATCCTCCTTTGGTAACTAAAAAACAAATATATCATAAAATAAGAATTCTAAAAAATTTTCTATACATTTTTTATTTGCATAAATTACCTTGAAATAAAATTTTGGAATCACTTTGTAAGTTAAATCCTTATCTTTAGCTTTGGCGCCCTTCCATTGTTCGTATATTTTTTTAAAGTATTGGTCCTCTTTTTGTTCATTTTTTTCCAACTTTTCTTCTGCTATGAAAACATTACATTTCGTGTACAAAACATGCGTTAAAGTTTATTAAAAAATACGTATTAGTTCAAGATAATGTTTACATTTATTTACTACAGCACATTTCCGAAATATCGTCTCTAACTCCATTTGTATTCGTTTTGAATGATTTGTAACTAAGGTTAGATATATGTTGTTAAGCACAAACACGCTTTATAACGTTATTTCCAGCTGGTTTTTCTCTATAAACTATAGCACGAGTGCATAGTGTAGAGTAAATTTTGTATAAATGAATAAATAAAATTTTAAATGACTATGCGTATAATTTGATTAATTTAGAAATTAAAATATGTACAATTATACAACATGAACACAGACATGTTGTGGTTCATATAATTTTATTGCCTTTGCATTTGTATAGCCAAATAAAAACATTAAACTTATATTTAATACGAAAAGAATTGAAATTAAAATCAAATTAAATTATAAAAATTTTAACATTGTTTAATTAAAGCTCTTCCTCTTCATGTTGTTTTAATTCAAAGTTTTGAAGAATCATTTCACTCTTATTTGTTTCTGTATACAAAGAATTCCCTTCAAATGTTAATTCTTCTAAATTGTTCAATAATGATAAATATTGTATTTCATGTTCATTCTGAAAAATAATATTATTTATTATTCAATTCATTACAATGTTTATTTCTTTTGTTTAAACTTACTGTTAAACAATTGTTGGCAGCATAAAGTTTCTGTAACTTTTGCAATACTTTTATAAATTCCAATGATTTTATTTTATTATTTTCGAAAGACAGAACCTTTAGGTTATTATTTTCAATAAAATCATCCTTGTTTAGCATCCTAATTTCGTTGTAATCCAAAAATAAAGATTCCAATGTGGAACAATGATTTATCCCTAAATAATTTATACAAAATTAAAGGCCAGTAATGTATAAAACGTACAATATCATCTTTGTATATAAAATAATATTACCATTAATATTTTGAAGATAATTATTATTTAGAAACAGATGTTTGATCACTGGTAGCTTTTTACTGAGATTCATTATTGATTTAATGCAATTATGATCTAGAAACAAAGTGTACAATTTTGAAAATGTACAGTTACTTTTTTCAAAACCATTTCCATCTAATGTTTCGAGACGATTGTAACTTAAACACAATGTACGCAAGTATGGAAAAGAATAGAGACCCCATAAATAAGTTATCTGATTCCTACTCAAGTCTAGACTCTCTAATTGTGGTAAAAGTTCAGCAGAAAGATCGACCTGGAATTAATTTTCATTAAATTTGTTTCCTAAACTTCTCAAAGTAATAATTAACATACCTTTGACAAGGAACAATCAGTAATACTCAACTGTGTAATGTTTATCAATCGATCTTTCCTATACAGTGTATTTAACACATATTTATCCAATTTATTTCCAAATATTTGCCTTGCTTCGGCAATTTCTGAATTTTGTACATATTCTCCAGAAATATACTAATAAAATCATATTATTTATGGAATATATGCACAATGATGTTAAAAGAACTTTAAATACATGACATTGCTTACTTTAATATTATTCAAATGAAATATAATAAATTTTTTATACAATGCATCCATAATTATTGGATTATTAGAGAGATCTATAACGTGTAATGTTTGCCAAGTCTTAACATTATCTATTTGAATTAAAGTTCTTATATCATTATTCCCACAGTAAAATTCTTGTAATGTATAAAACGATCCCATTGGTTCCAAACTTGTTATTAAATTATTTGTTAAATCCAGATATTTTAACGTGGGAAAATTGTCTTGAGTAAAATTATCCAAAATTGAAATGAAATTACTTCCAAGATTTAATTTAGTTAGATGTTTCAATGGTTTTATAATTGGAAATGTAATTAATGAGCAGCATGTAGCGCAAAGCTCTTGAATTTTTAATGCTTTTTTAGAAATACTAAATGCTACAATAAAATCTTGATATATATGAATATATTTTACATATTCCATACTGTTCTTTTTTATTAAAGCTATCTCTTTGCTACTTTTCGTTATATTCTGGTTCAAATAAATTAATTTATTACGTTGCTTCAGTTTGCACATATTAAATGCGCATGGGAAATAATTTTCTGGTAAATTAAGATTTACAGATACACAATTGTTAATAAATTGTAAATTTGGTAAATAAATATGTATTAAATATTCTTCTAATTCTGGGTCGGTAACATCTTTAAAAGGATTGTTGCATATTTTTAATTTATACATATTAGGTATGAAAGTTTTGAAGGTTTTGATACTTGTAAGACAATTTGTTAAACAATTCCATGATATATCTAGTTCTTCCAATGCCAACAAACTTTCTTGAATATACATATATTGTATATTGTTACAACTAATATTTAATATTTTTATATTTTTCATAAACTTCGAATTCGGAAATTCTTTTAAACGGTTGAAAGAAATATCAAATTCCCTTAAGTTGGGTAATTCCAAATCTGTATCGATAGAATTTATGTTTTGTCCAGAAATACATATTTTCCCAAGATTATATATTTCCACTTTTTCATCGATATATTGTGTAATATTAGAAGTAGACAAACAAACACATAAAGCGTCATTCAATGTATGTAGAGCAGTAAGATTCTTGTATTTATCTTCCTATAAACAGATTTGCAACATTTTTATTACAAATAAGCTAATAAAATAACAAATTTAATGTTAATACAAATTATTACAGGTGTGAGCTTGGTGAATATGTATTCGTACTCTATTACAAACATGGGATTTCTAATGCTTGTGGGCGCAAGGATAAATTTCTCACAAATTTCATTTGTATTATTCCAGCAATTTGAATGTTTCATATGTAAATAGTCACTAGCATTCTCTAGTCTGCAGAAATATAGTAAATATAGCAAATATTAAAAACAATAGTGCTATTATTACTTGTTTGTAGAGCCAAAAATAGATGTTTGCATAAGTATACAAACACGTCGCCTTTCACAAACATTAAGTGAACTTAATTTCCCATTTTCCATCATTAAGGACACTTTATGCAACCAATCTGCATCTGCTATTGCCAAACAATTAGTTACCATTAATTTGTTCTGTAGGAAAATTTATTTTAATGTATTTGTTTGCATAATAAACTTATATTCCTTGAACAAGTATATAAATACTTTATTAAATGGAGCATGTTTAAAAAAGTTAATAGGCCAACTTTGAATATCAGTCACCCCGGGTGATATTAAAATTTTTAGGATAATATTGCATTCGTCTGATTCCAAACTTTCCTCAAACTCTTCTTTGCAAACGTTCAAGCAATTAATTTCTTTATTTCTTACTTCTGTTACTTTATGTATTTTTAAACCGGTTATACCTAGATCTCTATAAACCAAAAAGGGTTTTCAGCAATTTTATTGTTTAAATATTTCCCTTGATACAATTAAAAATATATTGTGCATACTGTTTTATGACGGAACACAATGATCCTTCTAAAAATTGTTTGCATAGTTCGATCACCATGTTCTCAGTTGTTGCATTGTATTCGACAAAATTTATGTTTCCACAATAATCCATATCAAATATCAACTGCTGCTGAAAGATCTAATAAACAAGCAATACTCATGAATTTCAATTAATAATAGTACTTGTATGTATAAATAGTAAACAAGCGATAGTACTTTAAATTGTGTTATTGCCATTTGTTTCTTTTCTAAAAATTGCCGTTTATTTAATTCTACTTCTGATATTATACTTTGTAGATCATTCTCTGCTTCATTATTTAAACAGTTCTGGTTCTTCTATATTACAAATACAAGTTAATTAATTGAGAACAATTTTGTGCTATGCATAAAAATTAATTATAAGAGATTACTTTTGTCACTTTAATTGCGTAAAGCTGATTTTTAAAATAACACATTACTTTCAAGTATTCTTCATAGTTATTTTTCAATAATTTTAGATATTCGTTTAACTGTTTGTGCAATATTATGTTATGATACGTTATTTGCTTTCTAGAAATAAAAATTTATGTATTTAAGATGTACGAAGACTACTTAAATATTGTTAAACAGTAATATTATTACTTGAAGAACTGATTTTTCCAATATCTCTCTTTTTCGCATACAAAATAGTGATCTAATTTCTTAATATGGGGAAGGTAATGAATAACATACACACGATAATTGCAGAGTGTTACAAAAGGACACTCTCCGTACAACAAGTCCATAAACACTACTGAATACAATTTTTTTAACTGTGATAGATTTTGTATCTCCTTGTAAATACAAACAAACGTTATTATGCAAGGTAAATAATCTATAAATATAATTTATCTAAACATTGCGTACCCTTATGCTGCTCAAATGATTTCCTGCTAAATTTAAATAACGTATCTCTGATTTCTTGAAGGAACTTTTATCTATTTTTTTCAATCTGTTATTAGCCAAATTTAGTTCTTCCAATAAAGTCAATTTATCAAGACTCTGTACAAGAAAATATATATTAGAGATCGTTGTTGTAACTGTTGTGCACATGATACAATGTCACGACTTATTTACTATCAGAACACGTTTATTCTCGACTCGTACTGAATTGAAAATAGTCTCTATCATACAAGCAGTATAATACGATACACGAACGAAAAATTCATTGGTTATGATCACAGTGTTTCTATAGAAGCGACGAGAAACGATTCTTGATACTTTGTTGACGCCTACTGGAGATGGCGAATGTAGAAAAGAACAACCATTATTGCTTCCTTTGCTTCTGGTCAGCTGTAGCGAAACACAGCTACCTGTCGCCATTACCATACACAATGGGGATAAGTAGAGGGGATACGACATTTGTCTATATCGTGGACGAGTTTCAAACTTATAAAATATGTATTTTAATACCATAGGTTTCATTTACTCTTCAATCGCATTTCAGCTAGTCCTGACATTGTATCACATACGTGCACATTATACCTTCTACATAATATACCACATAATTTAGACAGACATTGAGAATATATTTTTATAAATTAAATTGTATACCTGGAGGCTGCATATATTGTTTCCCGATAAAAATAAAGTCGTCAAGCACGAACAAACTTCTAGATTCGATATGCAAGATATTTCGTTGGAATACAAATAAAGCTTCTTCAGTGGGCAATTTTGCTTGAAGAGCGGTATTTCCTAAACGAATAAAACATTAATTCTGTGGTAATTCACTGACTTTTAAATTTAATTTATTACCTTGATACCACATTCGACTATCCATAGTTCCTGTATGTGAGTTAATTCCGAAATTGCATCCAAGGAATGTAAAATATCGCGTTGACCGATTATAACCAAAATGGAAATATTTTGCCTGGTGAATAATAAATTTTCAAACGAGGCAACTGTAGAATAGAATAAGTATAACTCGTGTTTGCTATTAGTTTCTGTTTCTGCGAAGAAAATTATTTAATGAGAATAATTTAAAGTTTTCCAATAGAAATTCATTACCTCTGTTATCTATAAAATCATCCATTATTAATTTTTCTAATTGCAATTGTTTCGAGTCTCATATTTTTCTATTTTAATACGCTCATCGAGGGAAATGCGCAAAAGTAGCATAATTGTTCTACGTTGCACGTTAATGATTTCATTTTTTATTCAATACTCGTATCATGTAGTTGCTACACAATTCTCGTAAATGTCAATATAGACAAAAGTGATTATGAAAATCATATGAGTATATACACAGAACATTTCGAATGTTACATGCTACGTAAATATTACAAAATTGCGTTGTTCTATATTAATTACAATTCAATGATCATTTATTGGAATAGAGTTTAATTAATCTAGGAACTAAAATTTAAGTATAGTACATAAAACAAATCGTCGGTTTCTCTATCCTTACGAATCGAACAGTCGTAAATGCGATGTAAACGTGATAAACGGCGTAAAGCTTAGGCATTCGATTGTACCGCGTTTAAAAGTTATCGGAAGTTAACAGAAAAAGTAGATGGCGCTGTTGAAATGCCTAAGCGATACGTTTCCCCAAGCATCGCTAATATTTATTTGGTAGATCAACAGTAATACTTATAATTATTTAATTTAATATCTCAAAGCCATTGGATCATAAACATTATTTAAATACACAAATAATAATATACCGATGATAGGAACTTGTAATTCGATTGCAATAAGTACTCATAATATTATAAATTTTTTTGGAATTTATAATCATTATGAAATCCATATAAACGTTATGTATAACACTATTCGTACGAACGGAAGTGCTAATTAACAAGAACTTAATTGCATCAACGTAGAAATTTTATTTATGAATCACTAGCTCCGAGATTTTTAGTATTGAAGAAAATAACGATGCGTTAAAAATGTTCCTATGACGCTTTTATATATTTCATTTACTACAGTTAAGCATTTAATGTAATGGTATATTTTTAAAATGCCATAATTTAGATCAGGGGTGACGAACCGGTAGCTCACGTTGATGGCTCCTTCTTTTAATTTTCTGCTTCGCGTAAGTGTAAAAGAATCTTCCCCTCTTTGCTTATTCTGCACAGTCAGGACAAAGGCCTGCTGGATACTGAACCAGTGCTGGATATTCGCGGGAATTTTATACATGCGCAGTAGAATTTTCCCGCGTAAGATTCCTTTATGCGCATGCGTTAGCTTTCTCCCATAGATGAATCTTTGGCGCGAAAAAGGTGCATGGCGGGAATTCCCACGTTTTGTACAAAATTGAACTTTCTACTTCGAATTAACTTATCGAAGTTCGTCAGCCCCGATTTACGTTTTGAATGATTTTAAAATTTATATCGAAAATTGTATGTATATAAGTTGTATGAATGTACAAAAAAATTCGAGGTTCTGTAACTAAGCCTCCGTTAACAGTTTATTCACTATGTATTTAAAAAAGTTCTTTAATTACATTTACTTACCTCCTTGTACAAAGTTTGGTCAAACATTTGACTTGTGCAAAATTTCTTTTCTAGACAATGTAGACTAAATGTTGTTCGTTATCGAACACCTAGTGTTTTATGTTAATGTCTTTTTAAACTTTTGTAACAAAATTACACGCATAATTCAAATATACGCAAGCAAGGAAATTTCGTTCTTTATGCCCGTTTCTTTGTTTCTTTAGGCCCATATACAATGTATGTTATATTGCATGATATTAATATAATAATAGTATTCAATGCAGTTAATTATAGATATAGAAATAAACGAAAATCATAGAAAATTATTATCTTTATGAAGAAAAGACTATCTTATATACATATATGTATATATATAATTCTGACAAAACCATTAACTTTACGTATTGATATAAACAAAGTTGTAATAATTTAAAAAATAAATAAATGTCTGCGTTTTGAATATTATCCACAATTAACACATTACCGACCGATATTAATCGACTGTTTTACCGACCAACGCTTACCGGCTGAGAGACTACCAATCAACTGTTTTACCGGCCAATGCTTACCGTTACCGGTCGGTAAAGTGTTAACATTACTAATTGCGTAATTTTGTTAAAATTTATATAAAGATGCTACATAACTTTCGCGTGCTGGACTAACGAGATTCGTTTGATAAAAAGTACTTCTTTGGAAATTATTAGATAGTGTCGAAAATCTAATGTCATATCGATTATACTTCACACTAACACCCAGATATATGCCCATCATAAGTAACCCACGGAGCTACAATAAATTATTAGCGTTTCATTTGGTAGCAGTGTTCTAAGCTGTTATAAAGTACATATAAATGCTATTTAATAAATTTATCGATTGACCCATCTCTTCACTGGTTCTGTCCAATTGGATTCATTATCCTCTTCTTTTTCTCCGTCCGCTTCTTCTCTCTCTCCTCTCTCTTGTTCTTGTTCACTGGATGGAGTTGCAGACGGTGTTTGCGACATGTTAACATTGCGCGCCCGCAATTCCGCCAAAAAGTCATTTTCTTGTTGATAGCGACGTTGAAGTTCTTCCCGCCAAGAATTCCCGCCACCGCTGCTATCGTCTCCATCTTCACCAGCCTCGAAGTCTAAGGACAAGAAAATAATTTAATCATAAGCTGATGTATTACACACAAATTTGCTTCGTAACAATATTCAATTTTTGTTATTTTTAATAAAAAAAAAAATACTAACTTTCATAAAATTTTATCACATACATCTATTCAATTAAAATACTCAACTAGTGTTGTACATTTGTAGTACCGATACTTTTATTTACAATGAAACCAATCAAATTATGTCTACAAATTTTTAAATACAGATATATAGCAATTAAGCAACAGTTGATCGACTATTCCTAAGAAGAACTATACAAAATTTCACTGCGGTTTCAATTATTATGGAAATGTACCTGATAATTATATTTATAGTTTGATATTGATATTTAACATTCTGAAATAACAAAATGTATATCATAATGCCCATTCGTTGTAGTGATCATAGTTATGCAAAAAAAGCAAGTGATGTAATATTCTGTAAATGCTCGTGAAGATGTAAAAAAAGGTACAATAATGGTCAAAATTTCAACAAACTCTTACCTAACGGCTTTCTGATGTTAATTCGGCCAGAGTTGTGAGAATGATCCTCCTGGTCTGAGTCTGCAAGCCACCAGGACACATTCACAGGGGGTGCATATCACACACATTCCACAACACGTCTAAAGTGTTATTTGTATAGGAACGCTTATTTTGTTGTTAAAATTTTAGTACAAAGGAAATACTTTAGATAAAATTAAAGTAAAATATTTATAGATTATATTTATCAGAGTATCTAGAATATCGTAACAAAGAATAAGGAATTTCATAATTAAAAATGTTCAAAATCCACATATCGCAAATACAAAAGATAAATAATTCTTGCTACGTAACAAATTTTTAAATAAATGTTAAATTTTGATTTACTTTAATGTCGATTTCAAAGTCATTTCTAAACCCTTGTTATTTTTATTCGGATATTAACGTATAATTGCCAATTAAGCACTTGCTGTTTTGCGTGTAGTGTAGTCTGTGCTATTGCTAGACTAAACTTTGCTAACTCTATGCTAAATGAGAGAAAATAAGGTAAGAGTTACAACAGGCAAATGTGTAGAGAAGGGTGGAAACTAGATATTTACATGTGTAAAAATTTGTTTTTAAACAATGTACAGAACATAGAATATATGTATTTTAAAAGGTTGTACGGTATATGAAATTATTTTAATATATTTGCACGAACATTACTACCAGATTTAAATATAAGCAAAATTATTATTTTTTTTACCTCTCTTGTGAATCCCCCATAATTCACTCATATAGTATTAATTTTGTACATTTTGAAAGAACGTTAAAAACATAAATTTTACTTTCATTTATATTCTATTATATGAACACATATGTACAGCAAAATTTACTGTGTATCTATGTTCCAATCCATAATAAATTTGCAACATTTCTTTTACTAGAAACAGGAAGGGGAATACTAGTACTGTTACATGCCATATAAATCTAATGACATGATAGAATAAAAATACTGTGAAACATGCCTGTTTACACTAATATGAACAATATCATGAGATAAATTAAATATAAAAAGAACACTCATTTGAAACAGATTATTCTTCCATTGTCTTAACCGTTTCTTTAACGAATTGTTTGCTATCTAAAGAAATCATTTGAACTACTTACAGACATATCTCTTCATCGAACAATGTAGTTTATAAAATGATATACATGTTAAATTGATAAGTTTATGAAACATCAATCGTTACCTCTCAAAGTTGCCTGACTTTATTTATTTAAAGGGGTAAAAATTTCTATCGCTTATACCTAATCGAAATATGTAATTATCGTAGACCTGTATTAAATAAAATAACTAAGTACAGATTCTTGTGCCATTGTAAACTACGTAAATACTTTGCATTCATTTCTGATGCAAATTCTATTGTAACTTGTAATTAAACATACCTGAATTTAGTTCCCTCACGAGTGTTGACATGGCATTAGTAACACTGTCAGCAGCTACCAACAAGTCGTTTCGCAAAGATCGGCCCAAGCTATTATTCGCGCTGCTGGAACCACTTCCTGGCAAGCTGTTTGTCCTGAACGCAGACCTGATATCGAAAATCTCTATTTTCTTTGCACAAAGCAATTTCCAAATAATAAACTAAATTAAGTTTATGTCATGCCACGCTCACTGTTCAAGCATCTATAATTAAAAATATACTTTATTTTTGACAATGAATCATAACGATGTTACAAAATATGGAAATACTTGCAAATTTTACGCTAGCAGTATTCTATCGCATGCATCGTCAAGTGGAAGTAACTTCAAGAATATCATCGCATAAAATTTCCGTCGTATAAGAAAATAATTTAGTTCAATCCGTGGTGCATTGTGCAGGTTTTCTTTGCGATACAAATTTTAGCCTGTAAGACTAGTTAAAAGTTTTGAATTTCACAAATAAATCAAGGTATCGAACGAGTTTAAATCTTTCTTTCTGCCTTCTTTTCTTTTACCGTATCGTGTATGTTTATTAGAAAAATAGCAAACTTTGCATTATATTAGTAATAAACATAAAACATGTAGGTAAATGGACGAACATTAAAAATAAGAGATAAATAATACACATTACCTTAATTTATTAAAGACAAAAGAACATATGCGCAATAATTGTACAATTCTATAAAGTGTAACAACATTTTTCAAGTGTACAATAAAAATTTGTCAACATGCTATTTAAAGTGCATTGACATTAAACTGTTTTATTCTATAAAAAATACGCATGCTTGCAGTTCCACGAAACTAATTAAATGCAGCTGTGAAAAATAAAAATATAATCAATAACATAAGACTATAAAAATCCAATAGAGCCTAAAAGCGTCACAAAGTAGCAGAAAGCAATTAAATGTATCAACTTTATCTAACAAAAGAACTGAAATTAAAATTCGCAGTATCGTTTACGTAGGAATGTTTTAAAACATAAAAAATTGTCTTACATTCAACTTGTACTAAACTTATTGTTGTTACTAGCTGAATAAAAATATCTTCTCGTAAACATTCGCATGCAACAATTAAAGGTATCATTACTTGTGCTAATTTTTATACAATGTGCATTTACAGATCTACTACATTCAGCATTGTTTGTTCAGAAGAAATCAACTTTCGAGTACGTGTGCATACAAATAAATGTAATCAACGGATGTGTTATATAATTTTTTTTTGTTAATTAGAAGATATGATTGTAAAGCTATTTACATTTTCAATTTGATTCCTTCTTATAACTTAAATGATGTAGTAATTTACTTAATTAAATATTAAGTAATAATGACTATTTCAAATATGGCGCACAGTGTATGGATGGATGTAAATAATGTATAAAAAATTCTATTTTATGTCCTGTAAAAGTCAGCAGTATTAACTTCTACGAGATTATTAATTAAATATTGATAGAAATAAAGAAAGAGTTTTTCTTTATTCTGAATGTATCTCTAAATATAATTTTTTGCTAAATCGAGGAATCAGTATACTGTTAACCGAGATAATTCATTTAACAACGCGTCGAGACGATGATTGTTTGCTTTGTTTTATTCTTCTGGACTATTTGTTCACTTATCTTTTAACATATACATTTTATATGCCTGCCTACCTTACATCACCTCCAACGCACGACAAGTTATCTGGAATAGGATTTTGTATCGTTCCAAGCATAGCATTACTCGGTACATTTGCTACTGACGTTGTTGGAACGGAACTCTGGTAGCTTTGAGACATCTGCTGTTGGCTTTGCGATTGTTGCTGTTGTTGTTGCGGTGTTGTGGACAGTGGACCACCTGGGGTTGGCGGTGCAGATCTACTGCTGGGAACAGCACCAGGTGGTAAGGGAGGCGACTTTGTACTCCGCGGTGAGCTGTTTGGCGTCGATCTTGGCGACGCCTGATGATTCTATAATCATTGTCAGTTTCCAGTATTGTATCACAATCGTGAAATCAAAAGAAACCTTACGAATAAAGTTGTACATTGCATTACGCATACTACCTTTAACATTTTCATTAAACTTTCTAGCTGTATCATTAATTGTTTTCTAGAATCTTGCAACGACGCCAAATGACTTTCAAGCTCGTCTTTTCTTTGCCTCAGAGCTCTCAGCTCTGACATTAATGCAGGATTTTCTAATCCAGCTGCTTCTATTTCTTGCTGTCTCCTGTAGTTGGATTTAATAATCATATAAAAAACGTTAGATCATAGGTGAGCAAGTACTGGAATATCCGCTGAACCGGATATTCCATTTCACTGACTAGAAGCTGAAGCAAGAATGTATCATTGATGTTGTGTTTGTATGTGAATCTAGTGAGTATTAATATATCAGATAGAATACATCTAAACTAATTTATTGTAATTAAAAGTTTCTTATTAAACGTATTTAATTTTTCTTCTTTGAAATAAGAAAAGGAAGTTCAAGAAACACAGAATTCTTAAGAGGTGGGAGATTCAGTGGTTTCAGGCAAATTATTCTTCGCGTTAGAGTTGGATTGGGTTCTCCTCGATTTTATGTGTACAAAATACGAATGTAATTGCGTAAGGGGATATAAAATTGTAACTGTTAGTATCATTGTGATGTTTTCAACTGTAATACGCACGCTATGCAACCAAGGTGACGAAGCGAAACAGAATGTTCATAACATGCGTGATTCTAGGATGGTTCGACAGGATGATCTCGAGGTTTAGGCTTGATATAAAGGAAACAAACGACACAGGTATACCTTAACCTTGCAATCTCGCGCATTATTTCCTTGTTCTTTGCCTCCAACTGCGAAATAAGTTCACGTTGTGCCCTCGAGGCATCTAAGGATGCTAAATTTGCATCAGACGGCGCCCTACCCTGAAACAAAAAATTTGTTTTTTCTTTTACGTTAAAGTATAAACATTTTAACATTCTTTAAACTTCGCTTGAAACTTGCATACTTACTGCTTGGTCAGCTTGTGACATTCTGGATGCGGCACGAGGCTGTCAACGTAGTTACGAAATTATAATTAGTGGCGCAATGTCACGATACGTTGCAGTATTTAATTTTATTACTCTAATATTATCACAAAATATTATGTGAAAATCGTAATTAATTAAAATATTCATCCTAACTTAATAAAATTAAATACTTTTCAAGTTTTCTTTCTAAATATATTACTTCAACTCAAATAATTTTACTCTATGTATGGTTGCTTATGCGAGTACAGTGCAACTACAGAATTTGCATGGTACTTAACAGAAATATTAAACACGTACATGCAGACATATGTGTAGAGGAAAGTAAAGAATGTGCGGTAGAAAGAATTACGTTATCATGGCAGAATAGGGTAAAACTGATATCTTACCATGGTCCTAGCTTCCTGAGCCAACCTTTGTGCGTATCGTGCTATTAATTTATGTTCATCATCCAGTCTTGAACTATCCATACTGTATAATACCCAAATAAAAAAAAAAAAAATAAAAAAAAAAAATAAATAAAATGTGACTTTATATGGATATTTCACAAAAATAAATGTGCAAATAAGATCGTTCGATTGTTTACCTCCTCAAGGTAGAACGGCTGTCCATGGATCCAGAATCGAAGGGAGCCATAAATCCTGGATCTGGGAAACCGTTGTGAGACGGTAATGGCGACGGTGGGCTGAAATTGCAACGAATTTAATTACTTAAAATGTTATAGATCAAAGTTAAAGAATATGTATTGTGTAACTCACACTATGTGTGACAAATCTAACGTTTTCTCAGGTTGCTCGGGGAATCTTGGTAAACTATTCTTCCCCTTCTCAGGTACGCATCTGAAGCTTTTCCGCAACGAATGTCCAATTTGCTTGCTGGGCGATTTCTGTTTGCGAGAATAGAAATGTTCCATTAGACACGTGCCCGTCTATTGGCACAACTTTGAAACCTCAACTCCAGAATACGTACAAAACTACTGTACTCCCTCGTTTCGTGATCGTTATTATGCGTCCCGGAAACTTTGCCGCGCCAAAAACAGTCTTGGCAGAGCTGATACGAGTGGCATTTCTGACATCTGTATCGGAACCCGGTGAAGTTCTCTTTGTGGCACGCGTCGCACATTACCGGATGAGCCACTGGAAAGATCACGCGTGGACCAACACAATCACCCACTGTACACTTTCTAATTATCTAATTATTCTAATTAGTCTGCTCGAATTAAGTAATCGATACTCACGGCAAAGATCCTAACCAAAAAATGACTTTAAATCAGACTTAAAGAGGTGGAGGGAGGAATACAGTTCGCTGTTACCTTTTTGAATTCGAATTACGCGCCAATTTTATATGATTTGTTAGGAAAATATGTGTATGAACGATGGGCCACATTAGTTCAATAATAAATAAATATCCACAGGTGTGAATTGATTGGTATTACGAGCAATAGAGAAGAAACTATTTTAACGATACTTTGGACGTTTGAGCCGCCATCTTGGTTCTCCTCGGGAACTTATAAAACGATACTACGAATAAATAAAACAAAGGTATGAACTATGAATTAAATAAGAATAGAAAAAAGAGAAAAGGGAATATATGAATGTTATTTGGTTTTAATAATAAATAAATATCCACAGGTGTGAATTGATTGGTATTACGAGCAATAGAGAAGAAACTATTTTAACGATACTTTGGACGTTTGAGCCGCCATCTTGGTTCTCCTCGGGAACTTATAAAACGATACTATGAGTAAATAAAACAATTATGCGTATCATAAGAGTGGATAAAGTGGTATTTACAAGTAGAACAGTAAAAAACAAAGGTATAAACTATGAATTAAATAAGAATAAAAGAAAGAGAAAGTTTAACATTCTGAGTAATATTTAAAGATTGCAATACCAATTAATTTCTATACATGGATATGTATTATTAGGAAAAAAGAATTCCATTCCGGTATATTGATCTTGGCAATGGTTTCACTGATGATTTCACTATTAAAATGTCCTGTGGAATGTTATTGTTCCTGGAATTGTTCCCCAGAATCGAACATTTGGTCCATTCCGCAGCCACGAGATCCTCCAATCATTTGAAACGTTTTACACACATACAGAGAGAAAGAGATTTTGTATTCTCGGTAATTTTAAATCGTGGGAAACTCACCGTTCTCAACAGCAGCCATTCTGTGGTACAATGGTAGCCAGATTAAACAGTGCGGTCCTGGATCAGACATAAGCGTGTCCAAAAAATCGTTAACCGTGACTCTCGAGTTCTGAAACACGGTACGACACCATTTTCATCGCTTTCCCGGCTCACATCAAGCCCGAACAAGCTCTACGCGTTATCCAGTATGTATCAGGCGTACAAATGAACAACACAAATTATCTTAACACTAGATTTACGGAGATATTTTTTTTTTTTATTAGCAACGTATGTTTATTGATACTTTTATTTATTTTTCTTTTAATTAGAATATGTATTAATTGTATAAGATGTTGAAAAATAATATTTATAGGGTCCAGAAGCGTGAAATTTTTCTGAGATGGAATTCATCAGCTGAAAGATGGCTGACAGTTATAGAAAGTAATGACAATTACTTCCATTGAACTTATTGAATTTATTTTCTTTTAGAATGAGCATTGAATGTGGCTGAAAGAGTTGGATTATTCATTTGTACACCCAATACTTGAAACAGAAGTTCAGTTCAGCGAACTTACTTGGGGGAATATTGAACTGGCAAGGCCTTCCGTGTATCCGAAAGACGGCGACTCGTAAACCGCAGCAGTTAACGCCAGAACTTCTTTCAAATATTCGGCGAACCTCCAATGTATCATGTGCCCATTTCCGTCTGATATTTGCGAGTATATATCTGCTCGATAAACGGTACCAATTAATTTCTAAATCCTACGCACGCTTCTCAATGGAAAACAGTGACTTACAGCGAAATTTGTCCATCAATTTCCCAGCGCACAACGTGGCCAACGCCACTTTCACCGAGAACACCGATATTTTATTGTTCTCCCTGCGAAACATTCGTTTTCACATTTCAGTCGATGATCGACGAGTACCATCGTGGCCAACAAGTCCTCTATCAACCTCAAAAACTTCTGTTTGTTATAGTTTTTTATTACTTTGTCAAGCTTGCCCTAATTGAAGATTTTTTGGAACGTTTAGTTCTGAATTTCATTTTCAAAGAAATCATTGCTGTGTTTTTAAACTTTCTTTCAAGTTAACTATTTTCTGGGTCAATTGTGTCGTTCGATTATTTAAATTATCTGCGTTATTTGAGTCTCTGAGAATATGGACGATATAAAATAGTTTGATGTATTATCAATTGACAAACGAAACTTAAAATTGAAAACTTTTAATAATTTTAATTGGATAAACATTTTTCCATAAGTCGCTCTTCATACCAAATATGATAGTTTTTAATATGGATTATTTATGATGAAATAGAATTGATTTATATCGTTTAATTCTTTGATTTACCTTCCATTTCTTATTTCTAGTTTCAGAGTATTTGGTTCAGGAACTTATCAGCCACTTTGACGTACTTTTACCATAAAATGATTGTGTATACCCTGTAGTATATGCAGCAAGCAACCAATTCATCAGCAGAGCTGTTGTGGCATCGACTTTGGCTTGTTGCGAAACGGGTACTCGTTTATTAAGGGCATGAAATAAGGAAGACAGTAAAGTTTCGAGCCTGGATACCCCCAGCGTGCTCGATGGCTCCAATGTGTTTAAACCGTTTTCTCGGAACGCCTCAATTACATTCCATATGTCGACGTTATGCACTACGCAGAAAACGTGGAATTCATTGATTATGGCTGATGAGAATGCTTCGAGGGAATGTTCAACGCGAGTTAATTATTGCTCGACTTATAAGTATTGCGAGATAACGACGATTACTACTGCAAATGCTCTGGAAAATATAAAAATTAGTGCAAATAATTTTTTATTCAAAATTAACGTGCTCCTGATAACTGTTTTTCGAAAAAAAAAGAAATATAATTACGAATGTGTAACGCTTTATAATAAAAATATGCGTAAAAATGGAAGTAGAAGAGATTTGGCTGAACATGCCAAAAATAAAGTTAAGTATAGAAGCACTGTAATTTATACGCTGTTAAAAAATAATAATCTATTGAAATTAGGTAATTGGTATTTTGAAAAGCTATTTTTACCCTATAAATTGAATATTTATACTATATTAATTGAAATGAGGGATTCTAGAGGCCAAAATAAGACGTAAATCAAGAATACCAATTTGTTGATGGAGGCTTCGTTAAAAAGTTATTAACAATTAAATTAAAAAATTTCAAATCGGTATAAAAAAATTATATTTAGTTACAGGGGTTAATTACAATAATTTTTGGTGAATAGACATACCCCCGAAATCCTACCCACTTTCTAGAAAAAAATTCGACAAAGTGAAACTTTCGGCAAAATTTAAAAATTTCAAATCGTTATAAAAAAATTATTTTCAGTTACAGGGGTCAATTACGACCATTTTTAGTCAATAGACATACCCCCGAAATTTTACTCATTTTCTAGAAAAAAATTCGAGAAAGTGAAATTTTTCGACAAAATTAAAAAATTTCAAATCGTTATAAAAAAATTATTTTCAGTTGCGGGGGTTAATTACAATCATTTTTGGTGAATAGACATACCCCCGAAATCCTGCGCATTTTCGAGAAAAAAATTCGAGAATGTGGTCAAATTGCCGTTCAACAGCCACAACTTTAAACGTTAATAACTTTTCAACGAAGCCTCCATCAACAAATTGGTATTCTTGATTTTCGTCTTATTTTGGCCTCTAGAATCCCCCATTATAATTTTTCAGTTCATTTTTAAAACTTGTATGCAGCAAAAATGGACGATCGAATGATAGTTCTTAAACGTGCCAATAACTTGTACGTCGAACAGCTGAATAAGCATAAAAGTTAATTGTTAGGAAACACATAACCGCGTAACGCGCCAGGAAGAATAGATATATCGAATACTTGTTCGAAACATTTCTAAAGGCGGATGAGTCGGACAAATGTGCTGCAAACAATGGCTTCTGAATGCATCGTTGGCTATGCAAACCAGATTTAATTTGCACAATGTATATATCGCTGTGGTTGCTAACTACCGACACCTCAGCTCCTTCATCATGCGTTTTACAGCACGCTTTATCGTAACAAGCAGAGCGAAAGACGCTCGAAGCATTTAAAATCGAAAGGGGGGAACCACCCACAAGAACCAACACAGTATTATCTGAACCACTCATCTGTTACAATACTGATGGCAGCGATTTGGCGGAGATAATTCAGATCAAACGAGAAGTATTTCAGATCCGTGGAACACGCCATATCTGACACTGAACCCGTGGGACAAGATGCAAACAATTTCGGACTCCTGGGACTCGATATGGACAATTCAATTATTGAATTTAATGCATGCAACCTTGGACTCGTGGAATACGATATGACATGGGACTCGGGGGATTCGATGCGAACAAATTTGAACTTGTCTTCGATGTACGATTCGACACGGACAATTCTGAAGTCGTGGAATCCGATCTAGGCTATCGTGGACTCCTCAAATCAGATAAGGACGACACAGACCTGTGGGATTTGATACAGAACGAGTTAGAAAGGTTAGGAAATATAGAATTGTTTCGAACTGCAAAAGTTCTAGTCAAGAGTGTTACGAGAAACCTAAAAGTCCAGCTACACATCAGTTGAATGTCCTTTTTGCATTAGAGATGGGAAAGGAAGGTTGGTCGAGCGCTTGCGAGAGAAAGGATCCCTCTGGCGGCAATTACTGGAAGCGATGGGACCCCACAGGTACTACAGAGGACTCTGAACCGGTTCTGAATCTATTTTCAACACAAAAATTTTGATTTAACTAATATTTAAGAATGATCATTGCATAGAAAGGATTCATGACTTATATGAGACCGCCAAAAGGGGATTAGAAATTTCCAAGTCTCCAAATTTAATTTCCTTAGCCTCTTTTGGCGTATCTTGGCATTATCATGGATTCAGGTTCCTGCCTATCGAGTGCCCCAGGAACGAGGTCGACCAAATCGATTTCCACAAGTTTCAAGATATCCGTGCCGAATTCTCCAAGCCCGAGTCGTTTGTATCTCATGGATTTAAGATTGATTGCGTCTAGATTGGATAGGGGAATTTTTATACGAAACAAAGCTTGTTCTTTTTGATCCTTTCATGGTCTGTTGATAACATTAGCCCATTTTAGCGTTGCATTTTGTCATCGACACCTTAGCTTCCTTATGTGACACCCAAAATTCGGCGGCAAAGTGGAAAAGAGTAGCCAAAGTTCAGGTAAACTACTGCTACCTTTGATTAGACACGCATTGAAATAGCAAGAGATACCTTGAAAGAAAAGAGTCGGTCGTTTTGTACCCATTCTATTAGTCAATATTAGTTCCATTAGTAATTTAACAAAACAAGCTGATTCGAGATTATAGACATGTAGATAATGCTTCAAAGTTTCAGGATAAGAGATTGAACTATAAGTACACTGCTCCAAATAATAAGTTCACCTACTCAAACGACGTTTTAACATATTATATCAGATATTTGGTACAATTGATAATTAAGGACTCCACTATTGTTGTATTTCTTTTGTTTTTATTTTTTCTCTCTATTATTAGAAGTTTTAATATGAAGACTGAGAAAGGTGGAACACAAATTGTTTTAAGCAGTGTGTTTCTTATCTTATAGTGGAATCTTCTTTTATTATGTACTCACAGTGGACCTTCTTCTGGATGAATCTCAACTTGCAAGCGGTGCGGTACGATGCAAATCGAATACTGTCGAAATTTTGCTGTCGCATCTCTTGCAAAAGCTGCAGCCGACTCGCCTCACCGGAGCTGCTGTTCCCTGACCCTCCTGCTCCATCCTCCGCCATTTTATCTATACGAAAAAAAACTGTGATCAGTACTAAACCTAACACGACTTACCAAAAATTATTGGAAAATAATTTTTCCAGAATTTTCGATTAGGAATTTTTTTCTCGAAAATGGGTGGGATTTCGTGGATATGTGTAATGACCAAAAATTATTGTAATCGACCCCTGTAACTAACTATAATTTTTTTAGTAGGATTTAAAATTTTTGAATTTCGTCTAAAAATTTCACATCTTCTCGAATTTTTTTCTCGACACTGCGTAGGATTTCGGGGGTATGTCTATTCACCAAAAATGCTTGTAATTGACCCCTGTAACTAACTATAATTTTTTTAGTTTGATTTGAAATATTTTAATTTTGATGAAAATTTCACACCTTCTCGAATTTTTTTCTCGAAAGTGGGTAGGATTTCGGGGGTATGTCTATTCACCAAAAATGCTTGTAATTGACCGCTGTAACTAACTATAATTTTTTTAGTTTGATTTGAAATTTTTTAATTTTGTCGAAAAATTTCACACCTTCTCGAATTTTTTTCTAGAAAATGGGTAGGATTTCGGGGGTATGTCTATTGACCAAAAATGATTGCAATTGACCCCTGCAACCGAAAATAATTTTTCTAAAACGATTTGAAATTTTTTTTTTCGTTGAAAAATTTTACACCTTCTCGAATTTTTTCCTAGAAAACGGGTAAAATTTCGGGGGTATGTCTATTGACCAAAAATGCTTGTAATCGACCCCTGTAACTAACTATAATTTTTTTAGAACGATTTGAAACTTTTCAATTTTGCCGAAAATTTTCACACCTTCTCGAATTTTTTTCTAGAAAACGGGTAAAATTTCGGGGGTATGTCTAATAACCAAAAATGATTGTAATCGACCCCTGTAACAGAAAATAATTTTTCCAGAACGATTTGGAATTTTTGAATTTAATTGTTAATAACTTTTTAACGAAGCCCTTTTTAATCGCGGTTTGTTTACGATTCAACTATTACACGCTCGACAATAGATTTACCTCAGCGGTCCAATAACCACATACATGCTGCGATGGTCCAATCGCAGTGTGGTCGATCGCGGTTCAATCGAAATAGGAAACATTGTGTTTCAAAGGCAATATAATACTAACCAGTCCTATACATATATTCTTACAGGGTAAATACGCTATTTAAATGTATTATTTACTTCTACATAAAGTAACATATACTATGATTGAAAAGAATTGAAATATAAAAACTGTTATTATAATATCAAAAGGACTTAAAAAATGATAAAATAATTTACAGAAAGTGCAGATATTGTTTTTAGTTGGTTTACTGTTTTTTAAGTTTTAAAAAAGATCAACACCACGATATTTTAACTTTCTTATTACTTTTTCTTTGTTACGAGTTACTTCATTAAATATAGTAGTTTTACTTTGTACAACGCTAAATATTTAAACGTGAAAATCGAAGACGTTTAACGGTCGAATAACAGTGCGTAAATACGTGGCGCTAATTGCATAACGTAATTATCTTGCAAGAAAATATCGAGGTGGCAAGTTTTAATTAACGCATCATCGACTACCTTACTATCCTTGCTGTCTTAAATAGCAGTAGACATGAAAATTGCATGGCTTCGAAGGTAATACCTTCCCCAGAATATTTAAACAGACAAATCGATCCGTAATCCCCTCCATCTATCTATCTAATAATACCTTTCGTGAAAAGATACAGAAATAAAAATATCTGTGCACGAACGAGCAGAAAAGAATATTACAACTTTAACAAACACATCTAATCAAACGTAATAAATATAGTTTGCAATATTATTTTGAATTTATTATTCCCAGTGCAAGATTTGTTATTAATTTCGTTAATTTTACAAGCCCACATAGTATTGATACTATTGTTATTTATTGAGAAATCAAGATATCACGACTTTGATATAAATAGCTTGCATGGGTCAAAATGGGCCCGTTGGTCCGCTCGACGAGGTTTAATATTAACACTTTACCGACCGATAGCCTATTAATCGACTGTTTTACCGGCCAACGCTTACCGACCGATAGCCTATTAATCAACTGTTTTATCGGTCGACGTTTACCGACCGATAGCCGATTAATCAACCGCTATCGGTCGGTAATGTGTTAATATCAAAGTATTTTAAAAACGCTGTGTTCTAAGAAAATGATGTTTAAAAAGCTTTAAGGTGATATTACCCTTTAAACAGTTCAATGTATCCCGCATGACCTGCAAAGACCGAGCTACGAGAAGGTTAAATCTTGTTACGCAAATGGCGCGAATAGAAGGTTCCGCCGCGAAGGGTGAATCGGCATCGACGGTTCACATTGTTCGCCACTTCGAGCTTTAATTACGCGCCGGAATGAACTTCACAACAGCTTTCCGGGTCGAATGTTCCGCGCCATAGATTTCCAACCAGCAATTATGTTTTTCCAGATTCGAGATTCGAGAATTCTCCAATTTACATCTCCAGATTCGGGGATTCTCTTTCAAGAGAAGATTTTCACAACACAATCACGAACACTATTTAACATGGTCTTCTATTTACGCTAAACGGAGCCTGAAAATAATTTAAAAAAATTTAAGAAAATTTAAGAATTAAATTAGCGTTGAATTCAACATATACAGTATTTTTTTAAATCTTTGAAATTGAGAGAATTGTTGTATGGAGAAGTATGGCTGGGAATTTATTGAAAAATCTTGATAATTCTCTAGCACGATCGCTGGCTTCCAGCAACCGGTATTCGCTTGGAAATTTTTTCGTGCGTTTTCGTAACGCGTGCATCGATTCTCCGTTCCGCTCGATTGGTTACGGGATCAAGCTACAGTAACGTATCGATAATAATACCACCGGAGTGTTCTAAAAACCGAAGGACATCGATTATTCCGTGCAGGAATTAAACGTTGGGAGCGGTAGCGCGCGGAAAAATATTTCAGCCGTCGAACGTGTTTGTAGATGCACGAGTACGCCTCTATCGTGCCACACAACCATGAAACCTTCTCGCATGACTAAAGATTCTTTGATGTCTCTATGAATCCTACACTTCTTCTGCAAACAATTCTCAAAATAGGCGAAGAAGAATGCTAGAATCTCCATTATCCGTATTAATAGGGACCAGACGCTGTGGAAATAAAGGAATTTTAAATAGAACATCTACAATTTTTTCAAAAACATGTGTAATGATAAAAAATTATTGTAACTTACGATTTGAAATTTTCTAATTCTATGGAAATATTTCACATCTTCTCGAATTTTTTTCTCGGAAGTGGGCAGGATTTCAGGGGTATGTCTATTCACCAAAAATGCTTGTAATTGCCCCCTGTAATTAACTATAATTTTTTTATAACGATTTGAAATTTTTTAATTTCGCCTAAAAATTTCACATCTTCTCGAATTTTTTTCTCGAAACTAGGTAGGATTTCGAAGGTATGTCTAATAATCAAAAATGATTGTAATTAACCCCCGTAACCGAAAATAATTTTTTTATAACGATTTGAAATTTTTGATTTTGACGAAAAAATTCACACCTTCTCGAATTTTTTTCTCGAAAATGCGCAGGAATTCGGTGGTATGACTAATAATAAAAAATGATTGTAATTAATCCCCGCAACCGAAAATAATTTTTCCAGAACGATTTGAAATTTTTGATTTTGACGAAAAAATTCACAACTTCTCGATTTTTTTTCTCGCAAATGCGCGAGATTTCGAGGGTATGTCTATTCAACAAAAATGCTTGTAATTGACCCCTGCAACTAAATATATTTTTTTTAGTAGGATTTGAAATTTTTTAATTTCGCCGAAAAATTTCAAATCTTCTCGAATTTTTTTCTCGAAACTGGGTAGGATTTCGAAGATATGTCTAATGACCAAAAATGCTTATAATGGACCCCTGAAACTAGAAATAATTTTTTCAGAATGATTCGAAATTTTTTAACAATTGTTTAATAAAGCCTCAATGAAGAAATTGATATTCTTAACTTTCGTCTTGTTTTGACCTCTATAAACACTCACAATCAGTATAATTCAATACGGTTCAATTGGTATTCATAACGGATTAATAGATTGAATGTCTTTTGAATATTAAGTGCATTAAAGCGGGAAATTGGTTTGGCGAGAGTTATAACGTTAAATCGACTAGGAGAACTGGAGGAAGCAAATCCTCCCGGGATAACTTATGTAATCTCATTGAAGGTTCGTTTTGTGGAGGTTTGTATGTTACTTCATGCCAGCTACAAAGCTTTTTCGCTGATCTGGTTAATATCAACGGCACAGAACAAATCGCAGCCGTGGAATGCACGATAAATGTACCAGGGACTGTAATAAACGGATGGAAAAAAACTATGTAGGTTTCTGCACTGGCTGATCGATAGTTTACGATACTCACGGCGGAGTGTAAGTACACATTTGCGTGCGCCGCTGGCGAATTTTATTTTACGAAAGATCTTATCTCGATTCTTCCGCGAAGTAACCTAGAAAATGGTTTTCAAAGACTATTCACTAATTTCGATATTTAAGAAACTTACTTTTCTCTAAATTATTACAAACACAAAAACTTAATTCTTAATTATAAGTTATAAGTTATAAGTTAATACGATACTGACCTTTCAAAATTATTAGTTAATATAGATTTCAATCTAATCGTAATATTTATAAGCATGGTTTGCTGACTAATTGTGTAAGTCATACTGTTCTAACCAAACAAAAGAAAAAATTCCGTATGAATAATATCTACGTATAATATTCATTGCTGAAACTGTATCGATTAGTCATCGCTAAAAAAGAGAACAAATAATATAAATGCGACGTATTAGGAAGGAATGTATAAATAATGAACGAAACGTTACGTCGTGAATGAACCGGGCGGAAGAAATCTGCCAGCATGAAAATCCCCGAGTTTATCGGGTCTGTCATTTTCCCCGGTACATTTCCTCCCGCGAAACGATTGTGACGCACAAATTGCTGGAAGGATCAAGCCAGGAAACAACAGAGGGAATAGATATCGTCGAGCAGGAAGTTGCGAAGGAATGAGGAACGTGTGGATGCCTAAGTTTGAATCAATACAATAAGTGGGCCAGGTGGGGTGCATAAGATCGCCCGAGGAGACAGAGGAACGGCTGGGAATGTGGGACAGTTTCCGTGCGTACGGAACGCCGTGAAACGGAACGACTAAAAGGCGCGGCCAATTTTGGTTTCAACGTAACCGAAATTTTTCAATCACGATCCGAAGAATAGGATCAAACAAATTACCCATCATTGCGATCCAGGACTAGTGTATGCTATTATAGCGAGTATAGCTAGTTATTATAACGAGAATAATTTATTAGACTATTTTTAAATTTCTAACGTTTCAAATTATTCTTTGAAACGTGAACCTTGAACAGGTATCAACGTCAGGGATAAATGTCAATAATCGGATGTATCGGTCAACTTTAAACGATGTCGTATTATAGATAGAATTTAGTGATTACGTGGCGGTATTTTACGAACGATATACGACTACAATCGAGTATAATGCTTTGGACCGATGCCGAGTAGAGGATGCAACGCGTGTCATACTGTTTAACTAGGGGAACAAACACTTTCGTTGCCAGATAGGTCGTACACTCGGCCCGGGACAGTGTCCGTTATATTACATTAGACACATACGACGTTAATCTTATTTGTTCGAGCTTATCGTTGCCGTTATAATACCCGGTAACGGTAAATAAATAAGGGAACTTAGGAAATTTAAGTTCGTACCTTCACAATCGATGCATAAACCTAGACAGTTAAATAATAGCTACTTTTCTGTTTATTTTCTGTTCTTTAAATCTTCTTTCCGTTGGTCATGAATATCATTTTTTAGGGACACCTTGGGATTAACTTCCATTGGCGGTAAACGGTATTACCGTATATTCAGGATTCACTCTGTCACCGTGTGAATTAAACGTACGCAGGTAATGTAGGTGTACCGGATTATCGTGTTCGATAAAATTTGAAAGTTCGTATCGAATTCGTGAGGAGCACAGAGTGCACCTAACCTGGCTTGCCGGTGTAGTACATACCTCGGACGCTTTCGATGCGCGTCAGAGAAAGAAAGAGAAGAAAGTGGGGTCGCCGTCCCCGTGTCGACAAAGGCTCCTTTGGTATCGTTCTATCACATACGCGACGTCATTAGGACAACCGGCTCTGAAAAAGTTGCTGAAGTGGCGATGGTAACGACACTTCTCACGGGCACTCGAGCTACTGCTACCTGAACACGGGAACTGTCAATAAGACCCGACCGCGTCGATTTCACGAACCGTGGCGGCGAATTCGTTACATTCGCGGCGAATTTCTCACCGCGAGAACGCGTTCGCGTTCGGCCACTTTCGAACCGGAAACCCACGGAATCGGTTCTTGCCACGAGAACTGTCGCGATAAACAAACTTGAGCGGAATCACGACGTAATGTACATCGCGAGCCTCGCGGCCATCACTGATTTCTACTGCCACTGAGGCTAACGGTGGCGCCATCGTTTCTTTGAACGGGAGAACAAGGAATCGGACCATTGCGCGCGCGATTGCCAGCTTTGGCGGTTGGAAAACACGTTTGCAAAACCTAGTAGCACAAAATATTGTATACACATTCACATAATATTAAAAAGAGATTCAATCTTTTTTTAATATTCAAATATACATACAATATTTATTTCATATCATGGAAAATATATTTTTTTTCATTATACAATGAATCTTTATGTAATATTTGAAGTAGAATATTTATTTTTAAATATTTAGGAAATATTTTATGTTTATCATGAATGAATATTCCCTAGTAGCACAAAATATTGTATACACATTCATATAATATTAAAAAGAGATTCAATCTTTTTTTAATATTCAAATATACATAGAATATTTATTTTATATTAAGTAACAAATATTTTCTTTTTAAATATCCAGGAAATATCTATTTCATGTTACGAGAAAAATATGTTTTTCTGAATATTAAATGAATCTTTATTCTATATTAGAAATAGAATATTTTTCCCTGATATACAGATAATATTTATTTCGTATCATGGAAAATATATTTTTTCTCATTATAAAATGAATCTTTATGTATTATTTGAAGTAAAATTATTTTATGTTTATCATGAATGAATATTTGTTCCAGAATATGATGCGAAGTAAAATGTTTACTTTTAATTTACATTAATTCGTGTATGTCACTTAATCGACATGTATTTATATTATAAGAACATTAATGCAACAAAGTTGTGTATGAAAAACAATCGTGTAGCTCTTACGTCTTACGTAATATGATTGAACTGTAAGATTAAACATTCTTTTAATTATTATTAATTTTTTTTATGTGTTAATAAAATAAATTTAAATTATTAGAAAATGGTGAACTTCGGACATCATTTTTTTATTTCCCCCCTACGCTCCCCGTGTCCAACCAAATGCCACTAAATTTTGTTATTATTTAAAAAATATTTATTCGGTACGACATGTACAAACATTTCGCTCGATTGCAATATATTAATCTACATATTAAATACGTGTAGTAATTCTTTCAAGGCAAAATAATCGTCTTATTTAAATACAGGTTATCGGTACAAGATGTTACCTTGGTATGGCAGTGATTTAAATGATTTCTATAAATGTTCGTTGTTCGTGAGCTCGTTAATTCTTCTCCACGCTAGCGGAAGTACGTTTTTAAGGTCCTTTCTCGTTGCCGCGGGTGTACTGTAAGTAATTGGCGCCCGGGTAATTGCAAAACTCGCAGAATCCCGGTAACCCTTGGGGCCCGGATGGACCAACCGTTCCAGGAAGACCTGTCGATAAACGAAACTAAAAATACCAGTACCAGATCTTAAAAACGTGTTTGCATCTTTTTTCTCTTTACCTGGTCTGCCCGGTTCGCCCCGTTCTCCTTGCCTTCCAGGCAATCCGACGCCATCGTTGCCGGATGGCCCTATTAAACATAAATAACAATTCTAAACGGAACGACTGAACAAAAAATTTTTTAGTACCAGGCAATCCTCTTGGGCCGATCGGTCCTTCGACGCCAACACCTTCCGGTCCCCTGTCGCCTTTCTCTCCCCGTTCACCAGGTGGGCCTTGAGGACCTGTGGGCCCTTGTGGTCCAGGTAACCCTACGAAGCCACGTTCTCCCGGCAGACCTGGATGGCCTGGATCACCTAAATAATCACAGTGCAATTGCGTTTGATGCAACACTATTCTAGTCTATATTTGATATTCAAGACATGCTATATTGTCTCTGTTTTGGACATTTTAATTTGCTTTACTAATTAAATTTTAACATGCAAAAGTTCGGTGCAACTGTGACGTTTGTTACATTGATATAAAAGAGAAGCAGGAAGAATATGTTGGGATCCTGCGAGCGATAGGTACCTGGGATGCCCCGGGTTCCGGCTCGACCGGGACGGCCCTGTCGTGCCAGTCCCGGCAACCCGGGTGGCCCTCGTAGACCCTCTGTTAGTTCTTTCAGCCTCTCTGTGACACATGCAGGATTCCATCGTCTTTATCGGCGCACGGCAACGTGAGATGTTAATCCCCGATCGATCGATCGATTGTTAATCGAATGGATCACGCGCATCTGCATGTACGTGAATCACGGCGCTGATAAATGCCGGTTCTAACTAAGGATGAAGGTGGAATTTCAAGCAACGATGACGGCGATGCCCATTGCGCCATTCGCTATGACTATCGATAAAGCTATGGATGGTTTATGTCTGTTATGAATTTCTGGCAAATATTATTAGCTCTCCACTAAAAGATACCAGAAACCCATAACAGGATTCTTTCTGTTTCAATTCCCTAATCTCTGGCATCGTGTTCTACAGTTACGAGGTAAAATGCAGGCAAATGGGGGTGGTAGCCCTTTTTCAGAGGGTGTACCTGGACGACCTTGTGGACCAGGTGAACCAGTACGACCTGGACGGCCTCTGCCAGGTGGACCAGGTGGACCTTGCATCATTGCCGCCATCTCAGACATCTGCTCTGTATATATAGATGGTAATAAAATGACGAATTATCTCTCTGTGTGCAAAGATCGTGCCCAGAATGAGTCACCTCGAGGGTGCTATTTCTGTAACTAACCCCGAAAACGACAACTTTCTTTTTCTCCTAATTTACTCATTGTTTCTAAGTTCGCTACTGATTTCCCAGCTATAACATTTTACTAATTTTGTTAATTGTTTTGAACGAATATCCACCTCGCAGCACGCTTGTGCATATGTCCCGAATTTCCGAATCTGTGATACTTCTGCCTGGGATTCCCTGAAGACCTGGCATTCCTGTTTGGCCCCTGATTCCGGGTGGCCCTTGTAATCCTGGCGCTCCATCCTTCCCTGGTATTCCTGGTTGCCCGATTTGACCTTCTGGACCTCGTTCTCCAGGAGGTCCTCTCTCACCTGGCTGACATTAAGTAACATTGCAATGAAATAGAAGTTGTCAGGCCTGTTACTGTCACATAGATTGCAATAATTTGGAACTTGATTCTCTTCTTGATGTCTGAACGGATTACTTACCAATCCTGCAGAACCTGGTGAACCTCTAGGTCCACTGACTCCTGGACTGCCGATGCTTCTCAAAACTTCGTTTGTACTTAACATGTCTCCGGTTGATCCAGCTGGTCCTGGAGGCCCTGGGGGACCCGGAGCACCCGCTGGACCAGGTCTTCCTTCCAATCCTGGGAAACCAGTGACACCTGGTGAACCTGGAGGACCCTGAAAAAGGACATTTCCACTTACACATTCTACAGACTTCCTAACCTTAAATTTTAATACAATAATTGAGAGCATAGTAAGAATATGAATCTCACGGCATTTCCTGGTAAGCCACGGGGTCCGATTTGACCTTGCTCTCCTGGTGGACCTCGTTCACCTTTCACACCAGGCTTTCCATCGAGTCCTGGTGGTCCTGATGTTCCAGGTAAACCATCGACTCCTCGTATTCCTGTTAAACCTGGTTCTCCGGGCACACCAGGTGGGCCCTTACGGGAAATTGATGAAATTAATGAGAGAAATATATCTGGAATATTTGAGGATAGAGTGATGTGAATTACTTGCAATCCTAGTGGACCAGGGACACCAGGTTTGCCTTCTGGTCCTGGGAAACCTGGTGCACCAACAGGACCTGGTTCTCCTTTCGCCCCTGGATGACCATCTTCTCCAGGTGTGCCTGGAGATCCTTCAGGGCCAGGTGATCCTGGTACTACGGTACCAATCACTGATCCTGGTAAACCTGAACATGACGTTTCGTTTAATTATTGATTTATGCAATAACATTATTTTACAGACCATCACGACCGGGTTCTCCAGGCTCTCCTTTTGCTCCTTGAATTCCTGGTGGTCCTGAGGGACCAGTCTCACCACGATGACCTTGTAATCCAGGCTGCCCTGGTATTCCTGGAAAGCCTGCCACTCCTTTAAGGCCAGGAAGCCCAGGGAAACCTGGTTTACCTTCTACTCCAGGGAATCCATCTTGTCCTTGATCACCTTTGTCCCCCTGTTCACCTAAATAATAAGTACCATTTAAAATAAAACTGAAAACTGTTAACACTTGCCCTAAATAATTGAAAAATATTATGAAAAGGTTAATAAGTTGTCTTTTAGGTGAAAATATAAATTTCTTTGATATTTTAACTAAATAGATACTGTCAATATAATTTAATATTTCATATTAAGATGTCAGTTTATGAAACTACTTTGAACACATACTATTAAACAACTATAAATAGTGAAACTTATTTTCCTGAAAGAGAAGGGTTTCTCAATTTATTTCCACTTAAAAAATCAAACATTTAAAGTAGTTTATGTAATGGCAGCAATTAACTGGACGTTAAAAGCTCTGTTGCTAGTTTCTATTACGAGAACGACATACATTCAGCGAATAATAAAATCGGTTTAAGGGTATTGCAACAGATTGCAACAAATTGATTTACAATCGCTTTGAATGACTGTATTTAGGTCGACGTCGATATGTCTGACAATATATCGTCTTCGTGTCACACAACAGAGCATTGGAATCATAGCTTTCAGTAATATTCAATAGCATACTATGCCGGTTAGAATGCTGATCCAAAGAAAAACTATCTGAAATATAAAACATAATATTTCAGATGAGGAATCGTTTTTTAATTATCCTATCATTCTCGTGGGAAGAATAATTCAGGGGAAAGTAAAATAAATTATTTCAGAGTAATGTTTTCAACTGTTTTAAATAGGAGGATAGATGATCTTATCAAGTGTGATAATTAGAGCTAAATAAATCTGTTCTAGCAAACCTAATGATGGATTTAAGGAATGTTTTATGCAAGTTTGGTTTATTATTAAGTTATTTTTGTAGTTATCAATAAAAGATTGTGTAAAACATCTGTTAATAATTGCAGAGAAAGGGAGGTTAAAATTAAATAAATTGATAATGATATATATGGGATTATTTGGAAGAAGTAAGCTGAGATTGTTGAAAATGCATTGACCATGCAGTGTATTATTAATATAATTATTATGTATATATTATAAGCTGTATAGTTGTAGTAGAAATATGGAGAATGAGAAGATAGAATAAATGGAAATATGTTGGTTGGATGGCTGAGACTATTAAAACGATTGTGCTCGACCTTTAAACACACGGCTGTTGACACACTTTATTGGGAGGAATTATTTCTTCTGGAGTGTCAATGACCTTTTGCAACGTAGCAATTAACGCATTAACAGATTTGAAGGGTATGAGAATGATTTACAGGGACTTAACAGGATGAAACTTGATCTATGCGAAGATAACAATTGTTTTAAGATTTGTCAGTATACTTTTTGTAAGGAATTAAGCACACGATCGGATTAATCGATTTATACGCTGTTTCGTTAAAGGGGGCAGAGATCAAGCGTCCTGCGTTGCGAAGAATAATGCGTTTAACGATGAATCACCCGTTCACGTGGACACCCACAACTCCACGCGATTTCTAACAAGATTAAATTAGTTTACGCGGGGCACTTCAAGGATTACTGATCGGATGAATCAACGTAATCGTGTTTAAACCCTAACGTTTAACATTTGACACGGTCAAATCTTTACGGTGTTAATCTTTAACGGGTTAAAGGTCTAAAAATGGACGTCGAGGAGCTACCTTTACGACCTTGCCCTCCTTTGTCGCCACGTTCGCCTTGCTCGCCCTTTGAACCCTTCTCGCCTGGGTAGCCTCGAGGGCCCGGTGTGCCTGGAAATCGCGATAGAATATCACCATAATCGCTAATGTTTACAGGTGGTCCGGGAAGTCCAGTATGGCCACGTGGCCCTGGAAGACCCTGATCTCCTTTCAGGCCAGGAAATCCCATGTCCCCCTATTTGCAACACAATAAACACTGCAATGTTTTCTCCGTTTCCGTGGCAATAATACGGCGAAATACGAGGTCTGTTAACAAAAATAATATTATAATATTGAATTTTTCAATTGTCATAATTAGACTGTGGATCTTTATGCAAATTCATATTTTTATTAATAAAATTAATGAAACGGAAGCTTTGCAGAGGCTGTCTCAACCCTTAAATATAATAATTCGTATCTTACTTGAAGTATTTCTTATACTTTTGCATATTAAATCTTGAATCTTAAATTCTGTAGTTTCTTGAGGTTTAAAATTTCCCATAAATGCATAAACATCCGCAGTCTAGTCTTAATCTGAATCTTCCGCGTAACTGACTCTTTTTACAGATTGTAACATTGTGAACAGAGCTCGTAGTATCCAATAAAGTAATTAACACACTCTTTCTCCACGTTCTCCTTTTGATCCGGGAGGTCCAGGTGAACCGATGGGTCCTTTGGGACCCGGAATCCCAGGATAACCACGTGCACCAGTCAGTCCCTGCGAGCCCTGAAGAACAACACAATAATAAATCAAGAATGTCTGGAAATACATGGCTGAAAGATTATTAAGATCTCTTACAAAATACAAATTATAAAAATAAATTGATTGCACTTCAACTATACCTACCTACATATTTATTTTTCTACATAATCACTATATTTAATACAGGAAACTTTTAATAGAGAAATATTCTCTATTACACTGGAATTACTCTTTGAATACTTGAGGAACTGACTTCTGCCTCGATAAAGTTTATTATATAACATTAATAATTAATAATAAATACAGTCTATTATTAGAAAAAATGAAACGTGTTTAAAATAGCGTGTCAGTGAACGGTGGAAAAGTATAAACGAAAGGAAATGAATACTTTGACGGCTGTCATCTGTTGGTTTCCCCATGGCTTTTGAGGGTCACGCGAAAAACAGCATATGCGCCATTTTGTCACAGGAAAAAGAGAAAGTAATTTTTCTACGTTCGCGCGTGTCTTGGCGAACTGGAACATTCGCCATGCAGCTGGTTTATTACTCACGTCCGCTGTCAGCTCCCCGCTTTAAATCCATGGTGAGAAACCGCCTTTTCAAACCCACTGCAAATGCTACATTTAGAACTACGATATTCCATGAGAACGGTTGACTTTTCAGTACCTCCCTCAATCATGGGAACAACTGGAAGTCTTATGGTGCTACAATGGGGTTGTATTATACATAGGGTGCAAACTTCTCATATTAAACATTCTATCAATGATCTCAGAAATTAAACTCATGATTAGACTGCGGATATTTATGCATTTATGGGAAATTTAGATTGTCAAAAAACGTTAGAATGCTGTTTATTACAATATTAATATAAGTAACTATTAATATGCAAAAATACAAGAAAAACTCGAGTAAGATAAGAATTATTGTATTTTGGGGTTGAAAGAACCCTCTACGAAGCTCTTATTTTATTAATTTTGCATAAAAATCCGCAGTTTATTCATGATAAATGACACTGTCATGCAACGAAGCTACATGGAAACCTGAAAGCTTGCACGTTTGGACCAATTGCTTTTCAGACCAATATTAGAGTTTGTATGTCCCTAATTGCACATGCAATGGTGTTGTTAGAGATCTTAATTATCAGTAAATTCTTGTGTATGATGCAATTGAGAGGCATTTGCAAGCACTTGCCATTTTTCCTTTTTCACCTGGAGTGCCAGGTGAACCAGGTCGTCCAGGTAATCCAGCCTCTCCAGTTGGTCCAGGGGGTCCAGGTACTCCTGGTAGACCAGCCAAGCCCTGAAGAGAGAAATATTTTTATTGAGCTTCAGATGTTTCTGTTTTGATAATAAGCAAAGATGGTCGCCTTTGTACGCTTACCAAAGCCTATTGTATTAATCAGCATAGGGGATCAGTGTTTCCATTTTAACATAGTGTGATTAGTATTAATTTTTGATGAATTTAGTGTGAAAAAATCATTCTATCCTAAAGCTTACTTGTCTACCAAGCTGATGTAATTAAAATAGGAAAATAAACAAGCTTTTTGGAGCAAAACACTTGGGGGACTTGGGGCCCATTTTAGTCCAACTCTGAAATTTACTATTTTACATTTTAAGACAAAGTTTCTGATTAAATTTTTAATGTTGTTAATTTGATAAGCTCATTGCAAAGTTATTTATCAAAAAAGAAAAGTTTATAACGTCAAAAGGAACAGTTTGCACGGATCTGAATGGACCCAGAGTCCACTGGGTGGAGATTAAGAAAGAATTTAATGTTATTGTGCAAGTTCTTCCATTAGATGGGGAGTGTTTATCGATAAAGAAAAGTGACGACTCACATCCGTGCCATTAATTCCAGGGGGCCCCCGCGGACAGATAGTTTCGCAGCCCCGGCGCCTCTGGGGCAATAAAGGGTTGCTAAGGCTCTTCTGCAATTGCGTTAATTACAACCGCAGGGATCTTAATGGATTGCGAACTTCTGTAAAATATATGGCCTTACCGGAAGTTCCTCGCAGGTCTCCCTCTCCGGTCTCGTTGGATCGCAATTTAACACCATCCACTGTATATCGATCTAAAGAAACGTTTCAAAGTAAACAGAAATCAGAAATTTCAACAATCAAAAATTATAAACAGAATCTTCTTCTGAAAAAGACTTTTTCACAGAGGGACGTTTCAAATTATTATTCGACTCTATTTTAAATGTAAGGGAAACCATATACATATGTAGAATGAGCTCAGAAATTAGCAAGTAGCACCCCCCTTCCATTTTTGAGAAATAAATAAAGATACAAAAATTTTAATCGTTGAAATTGAACTCTTGTCAGAAAAAGCTACTTTTTTACGTATTTTTCATTTATTTTTTTTTAAACACTCTTTCCTATAGGTCAAAATTTTGTTTTACATAGAAGTGAATCTTATGAATTTTATTTTGATATAAATAGAGTGTTGAAACTAACACTTTTGAAGACTGTTGCAAACAGGGACTTAAAATACTGATATACTTTGATTTTGGAATTTTGTATACCGATATAAGTCCCTGGACGACATCTTGCTACTTTTTGGCGTTATTTTGAATGTTCTTTACATTTGAAAATAGAGAAAGAATAGTCAATATCCGGAAAGAATTGAAACAAATTACCATATCTAACAGAAAATACGTTTTTTATCAAAAGAAAGTCGGTGTCTTATTATTACGTCATTATTCCTGTTAAATGACTAAATTTATCCTTCGTTTATTCGCGAAACTGGGCTAATAATACAGTCAACACGTTTTTCTAGGCGCGGTACGGTCTTAGACTTTGAATGTGGCACTAAATCTAGCTTGTCCCAGTTATGCCTTTAGCCTCGTTCATTACAAAGTGTTTATTAATTAAGTGGTTCTTAATTGCGCCATGTGACGGATACATTTGTCTCGAACGCGAGCATCCCCCGCGGATGTGCCATAAGCTTCTACGAAATCCGCGTTCGCGAACTTGTTTCCATCGCGATCTTCACCGAGTTTGACGAAATTGACGTTCTGGGAACTATCATCAAAACGTTTCGTTAAACACGGTCATCCAATTGCGTTAGAAAACTGCATCCATTGAGTTCCATTCGTATTTTTTCATTCAGTCATACATGGATTGTTTTCTTCTCAAAATTTCTCAAAATCCAAGCTTTCTTTTTTCTGAAAGTACATAAAATCTTAAAGTACATGTCTTTAAAAATACGTCGACAACAGAATTTTTTTCAATTCATCAAATTAACGCCATTATAATAGCTTCTGTCTTAAAACTTTAAATAAGTTAAATTCTTTATATAATAGTTGACCAAATGGCTTCAAATTTATTGTATTGTATAGACTCAGATTTTTATATGATTGTGGTTCACACGACAGACACATTCATACTAATTTAACACCGTATATATATGGTTTACAATTACAGGAAAATTTAAATTGAATTTATGATTAATTTTCTGATTACATTATGGAAGAAATATTCAAAATAAATTTATACAGGGTGTTCGGCTACCCTGGGAAAAATTTTAATGGGGGATTCTAGAGGCCAAAATAAGACGAAAATCAAGAATATTAATTTCTCGATAGAGGCTTTGTTAAAAAGTTATTAATGTTTAAAGTTGTGGCTGTAGAACGGCAATTTGACCACCTACTCGAATTTTTTTCTCGAAAATGCGCAGGATTTCGTGGGTATGTCTATTCACCAAAAATGATTGTAATTGACCCCCGCAACCGAAAATAATTTTTTCAAAACGATTTGAAATATTTTTTCCGTCAAAAAATTTCAGCATCTCTTCGAATTTTTTTCTCAAAACTGCGTAGGATTTCGGGAGTATGTGTAATGACCAAAAATGATGGTAATTGACCCCCGCAGTCGGAGATATTTTTTCCAAAACGATTTCAAATATTTTTTCCGATCGAAAAATTTCGCAAGTTCTCGAATTTTTTTCTCGAAAATGGATAGGATTTCGAGGGTATGTCTATTCACCAAAAATGATTGTAATTGTCCCCTTTAACTAACAATAATTTTTTTAGAACGATTTGAAATGTTTTTATTTGCCGAAAAATTTCACATCTACTCGAATTTTTTTCTCGAAAATGCGTAGGATTTCAGGGGTGTGTCTAATCACCAAAAGTCATTATAATTGACTCCCGTAACTAAATATAATTTTTTTAGAACGATTTGAAATTTTTGAATTTAATTGTTAATAGCTTTTTAACGAAGCCTCCATCAACAAATTGGTATTCTTGATTTTTGTCTTATTTTGGCCTCTAGAACACCCTGTATAGCGACCTGATGCATGATGTTCACTCTCTATTTAGAAGATCTATAAAACAGTAAACGACAAAAGATTAAGGAACATAGGGTAGTTAAATCGTTAATTAAAATTGATTAATGAGCACCTAGGTCCTTGTTAATAGCGACGCTGGTCTTATCGCTGGCTCTAATAGACAATGTATATGGTTTAAGAGACGCATGATGGAACTTACCGGTACAGTCAGCTTGCTGTGGGACATCTTCGATATCGAGATCTCGCCATCCACTTTAATCGGTCCTCGAGACTTCGCCAGTAGAGCGCCAGCGTACTCGCAGTCGACGTACACCACCAATTTATCCTTGAACGCTCCGACGTTAATTTTGTGCCAGTTCTTGTCGAACATCTGTTTCGATCGAGCGTCTTATCAAATTTCGTGTGTCACGCTTTGACGAACTTCGGAGTTCGCCAAGTGTAACGCGAACGAGCGATAGCAGTCATCGACGACCAACGCGGTGATTCCCCTTTCGGTGGTTCACGCGAGCTCCTTTGAAGCGTTACAAATGTCACGAGGAATGCTATTCTAATCGATCTAAGCGATCTTACACACACAGTCGGCCAAAAAAGCCCTGGTAGTCACATTAAAAATTATATTACATAGTCTGGGTTAGAAGAAACACCCTGTATATTTTTGGAAAATTACATTATTGATTCAGAATTTTATACACAATTTTGTGTTGGTTTTTCTCTTCTAGAAGAGAAAGTTTTCTTTATGGGACAAAAACTAGTCAAGAGGGGGCAGCTGTGCCCCTTCTTTGGCTTGTTTAGAAACAGTTTAGGACCAATTGGGTCTAAGCTTTTCATTCTGTATGTTTCTTTCAAACCGTGTAGAGGAACCTTCCAATTATTTTAATAAAGCTTGATTAAAAATTATATCATCCTGATTATTTTTTATTCCACCCTCTATTTTCAATAGTTTGATACCTAGAAAATGATGACATATTTAAATGAAATAAAAGTAATTATTTAATTTAGCTATTCCTCACCAATTTCGATGACCTTCAAATTTGTTGTGAAGGTCGCCCTTTGTTTTCGAGATATTTGCAAAAATAATTTCCTCTCACAATGCTGTAATTTCTACGCCCAACGCGATCGATGTTCGACAAAGGATCGACGCGTCATTTTCAAGTATGCATCGGGTGTCCGCGGTCTCGTAGACCGTTTTTAATCATCGCGTGATCGTCGATGACACTTTTAAGAGGTGCTTGGGTCCAAACGAGGCCTGACACGACGGTGCTCGAGATTGGAGACGCGATCGACTTTCGGCGATTTAATCGTGTTTTGCTGTTCACCAGCGTATTTCCATTGCTTCGTAATCAGGTCAGCCGATCAGAGAAATTCGTGTCAAGCGGCGATTAACCATCGAATATTGAATTATACGATTGACAGAAACGATTTGGTCTACTTATATCTTTGCTTTTTCTATTTCTTTGACGTCTCATTGCTTTAGATATAAATTCATTTCTTTATTGATGAAAATTGTAGAAAGAATTTAAAAAAAAATATACAAAGTTGTAAATTTTATTAGAAATTACGAGTGATTAAAAATGTCGTGTTCATTATTCGAATAAAAATTCCTCCCCTGGATAATTATCCACGTTTACTGGAAATATACTTGCTGTTATATAAACGTAAATATGGTAATGTTTCTCAGATTTTATTCAATATTTTCTGTCGACGACATCGTTTGTACCGAAGCATTCAGACTGAAGCATTTAAAGCTCGTTAAATGTTTCGAGAACGTTTAAGATGTCAAGACCTCTTGAGACTGTCTGGATTCGAATAATGATCGGAGAGATTCGAAACCTCCCAGCCTCGAAAGTTTCGAATCTCTTTGAGGATACGGATTCAAACGTCCATTGCTATACGCAGAGATATGTGTGGCTATTATGACCGCCAATTACGTCAACTATCTTTCTAGTGAATTCTTTTTACAATAAAGACAGGTATACTGATTCTGAACAACAATTTTCTTTGCAAAAATGTGAGATGAGGCTTCGTTTTTGAATTATTAACGAAAAACACTGACCAATCACGGCGCATTCAGAGCTGTTCAGGGTTTTTTGTTAATAATTCAAAAACGAAGCTCCATCCGACATTTTTGCAAAGGAAATTATTGCTCAGAATTGTCCCAGCTACATTTCCAGCTTTCACACTATTTACGGGACACCCTGTATAACTAAACTTGCGATATTAATTGCTGTAAAAATATTTTTAAATTCGAACAATGGTAAACTGGTAGGTTATAAATAACTACTTTGATCATGTCACGAAAATTATCTTTTGTGGCGATTGTATATGTCTAGAGTTTCTTTCCTGTTTTGGTCATGGATTCCACGAACTCATGGTGTCCATTTCACAGAGATAAGAGTCAGCTAGGGCCAACTGCGCTTCACTCTCGCCTTTCTTCTGACCCTCAGGTAGAGAATATCGGTCGCAGAAGTTCTGCATGCGTTAACAATGCTCCTCGTAAACTCATAAAACGCCTGGATTCGGAAATTCCAAGGATGAAATGAAAAATGAGCTGTTTAAATGGCCTCGATGGCACTAGGCTATAAAAGAGAAATTCTAATTTTTCTGAAGGTTCGAAGCTTCATTTACTGACTTTATGGCTTTATGGCTTTATTGTTACGACCAATCAAATGAAATTTCTGTTTATCCATTAAAATCCTTGAGTGCCCAAACTGACTGAACCATCTGTGGGGGAAAAGTGGATAAAATGAGAAAATCTAATTTATAAAAAATCATGAACACTATATTAAACCTACTAAATGCCATATTTCTTGAGAAGAATTAGGTGGAGCGAACAAACTGCTCCCTACGACCCTGAACCATTTAGTTTTCAGGTACCTAGGTAATAAAATACAATACACAGGTCAAGGTCTACAAAAAGGTTACGGGGAAACCCCAGAAAGGAACATGGCCATTCAAAGCTACAGGAAAACCCATGTGCAGTGGTTCCCAACCTCATTTCCACCACAACACATTCAGGGAGAGGACTAACAATTATGCAACAGTTTTCCAGACGTTAAATTAATACCATAACAAAATTAAATCCTTATGATCAAAGTAGTTACTTATTTTCTACCAGTAGAATTGAAGTTGTAACAAAATATTTGCAGTTGTGTTTTGGAATGTAACTCTCATGTAACTCTCATGTTTAATATAATTGGTTACCTATTATTAACCAACCTACACCAATGATGCTCGTTCCAAGAACCGTAATCAGTGTTATCGTTATTTCCAAACACTGCTCGCAACATTCCATGGAATTCTACTCACGCGATCGGCTGAGAACGAGGTGGTCTGCAGTTCCCCCTTCTCATCCTTCACGGACACGTCCAGGGTCAGAGTTTTCGGGTTCACAGCGATTAAAAACTGGGGCTGGTTTTCCACGTCGACGATTCTGATAATATGCCAAGTGTACTTAGGCAGTTTCCTGGCTCTGAACGTGCACACTGTGCTGAACTCCTCTGGCAGTCCGTTCGGAAGTATGTTCCTAGCAAAGGCCATAAAATGAATATGGTGTAGTCGGTCTATCCCTTCAACGGATTTGTTTGGAGGATTGAAAGCACCGTTTATCGAATCATACTTCATTGGCATAGTCACGTCGATGTCTTTCTCCAGTCTATAGGCAGTCTGCATGCGATTGCTACCTCTGACTCTCGTCAGACCGGCGTAATGCGTTTCCAGTAGATCGAGTTTTAGCTTGCTGATGAAATCGAACGTCTGAAGATCGTCCTCGCCGCGTCTGTAGCCCTCGCATGGTCCTCGCGATGAGTCTATGATCGTTTCGTCCCCGGAAACATGGTCTATGAACGTCAATAGCACTGTATTTTTATAAACATTACCATTAGGTGAATCTTTAATCAATCTTTAATCGTTCTATGTACGCAACAAGAACAAAAGGTGAGTTGCGTGAACAAAAGGGCGGGTAAACTGCATAGTAGTACGATAAAACCCGTATAATGGATTTAAATGCCTATGAAGTGACAATGCTTGATGACATAGCTAGGAAGAAATGTCCTATTGTTACACAACTCAATAGGTTTCTGCTTGAGTCATTCAATGATTAAACCATACTGGTGGTTTCATTCTCACGAGTGTAGAAATTGAACATCGTACAAGCACAGCAATTGTATGTTTGTTTTTATGATTATCAACCTTGAATTTGAATTTTTTATTATTCTATTATTAGAAGAAAAAATTGCCTTAAATTCTCTGACATGAGTCTTATATTTAGAATTATCGTGCTAAAAATGAAAAAGATTATTAACTAAAATCTAAACGAAATTAAAGATATGATTTAAAATTAAAAAAAGGACTTACGAACACGTCTGAATTGCACAAGCACGAATATCCATATTGAGAAGTACATTCGCAGATTTGTGTTATTCCTGTAGAAACAGTATTCAATTTTATTTCCACGCATTGAGCGAATATATAAAATATTAGTTGATTATTAAAATGTCTGTGAAGCTAAAACTGTGTTAAAATTGCATACCATTCCCCCTTAGTAACAATTAGTAATTTCAATCAAGGCAAAACATTCAAATGTTTATAATGAATCTTGCAGTATATTATATAATCAAGTGCATTAATGTTTTATACGTATTACGTCAGGATATTAAACGTCCCTAAAAATCATGTACATGCTACGTGAGGTTAATGCTCGTTCTAGATCGCATAAGCTCTTTGCATGTCCTTATTTGATAGAGTATACGTATGTATGTGTAGCAAGGTTCATTACACTTTGTCATCAATGTTAAACGATACGCAAGACTCATGCAACAACTTGGATTTCTTGTTACGTTTTTTCATTCTTTTTTTAGGAAACGATCGCCTGATTTAATTGTTTTACTATTAAATATATCCATCTCTCCTTTTCTCCTGTATTTAATATAATAATTAATATAATAATCATGCAACAACTTGGATTTCTTGTTACGTTTTTTCATTCTTTTTTTTAGAAACCTTGATTTAATTGTTTTACTATTAAATCTATCCATCTCTCCTTTTCTCCTGTATTTAATATAATAATTAATATAATAATCATGCAACAACTTGGATTTCTTGTTAAGTTTTTTCATTCTTTTTTTTAGAAACCTTGATTTAATTGTTTTACTATTATATCCATATCTTCTTTTCTCCTGTATTTAATATAATAGTTAAAAGTTGATTAGTTTAGACAAAAATGAATATTTTTATATATTATTAATTGTCTAATATAATAAAATAATATTATTTTAAATTGAATTATACCTTTCCAAGGAAAAAAACAATGTTTCGCGCGTAAAAAAAAAAAGAATCGATCCTGCCAGGATTCGAACCTGGAATCTTCTGATCCGTAGTCAGACGCGTTATCCGTTGCGCCACAGGACCGGTGTGGTAGACACTTTCATTTTCTATTACATATACAAACATAATAGTACAATTTTTTTTAATTTGTATCCAACGATTAAGTTTTAAGATTATTGTTGCCACTTATAAAGTAGCAACAAAATAATACTGTTACAAAAATATAGTTAGTGAGATTACTTAATTAATTATATACGCTTTTACGTTTCATTAAGTATATTTTTGTATTAATAACTTTATAATCAGAAACTCTATTTAAACAAGTACGTTTCAACTACTGATTTTCTTATAATAAGTTTACAAATTAATAATTATTTAATGCAATAATTAATACCATTTTTAAGTCCAAAATTTTACAGAACTTTCTTCTCAGTCCATAAGAATCTAACATTAATGTCACACAGCTGCGACATTGATCAAGTGTTTATGGCAAGGCGTGTTTAGTCTCGCACATTCAGTGGTTCTCAATAAAGCAACGTAAATTTTTTACTTGTAAATTCATTAATTTCAATGGCGTTCCTTTTGTTGATGCAATTACAGTCCTCGACTTGTCATAGGGTCATTGGAAAGTGTAATTGTTTCCTGATTTGGGAAATAATATGATTTAAAATAAATGCACATTATCGTCTCTTTACCGCCAAATTTTGGTCAATTATTTTATTTCTTTGGTTATGCATAAATTACGAACAAAATGTCTTCTCTTCTCATACTTACGTTCCTTGCATTCTTTGAGAAACTAAATATTCTACTGAAATACGTTTTCTGTAACCAAGCCAACGGAATTATGTTCTTCGCACGAGTAGATAAGATTCCTAATAAGGATTCGCATTGTAGAGTGAGCGAGTGATGCGTGGGACGAAGAATCAGTCAGGATTGGTTAGGTTGTAAACTACGTGGCTTCGTATTGGTCGAGCGACTTGGGCTCAGCCGATCACATGACCGTGTAGTGTTGCCATGTTTTGTTGGGTCTACTATATCTCAGTTTTGAGAACTACGTCGCATGAAGTTAAAGGTGAAAATAACACTGCGTACCATTCTTAATTTAATCAGTTATTTCGGCTTGATTTTAGCGCAAATACACGCAGAAAACTAGCTCGATAGACTCGTGTAGATACGAATGTTTGGCAACGTTGGAATTGCGTCATCTAACTCAACATTGTTTCAAACAATGACTTCATCATTAGGCTTCATCATTTAATGAACAATTTACTTTTCTTCCTTCAATTTCATGGAGCCAGGGATCTATACACTGCGACAAATCGTGTACATACGACGTGTTTAATTGTAAGTAAATAGGTTTTATTTCAATTATTTTTATTGTAATTTTCCCAAACAACTATTTGTTTTTCAAAGGATTTGAAATAAACATTGAAAGGTAATAAATTGTATTGAAAGATGTTTGTTTATAGAAAGTTCAATGTATAGTTTCTTAATAAATAATGTAACAATCATATTTATGATGTCAGTGTATTCTGTTACATAATAAAATATTACGACTTTAGTAATTCGTATTTCTGATTTTGTTCAACACTATATTATCTAAAATAACTTATTATAAGTTCTCTAACATCTTTGGTTAACAATTACTCGAACTAATACACATTTTTTAGTTTGCAGAATAATAATTTTGTTCCAACCAAGTTCCTTATCCTGTTATTATACCGAGGAAGGATTTATACACTATGAAACAATAGAAAATTAAGTTACCTGTCGTCAAACACGTAATTCGTCGTATGTTTAAAAACCCGCCTTTTGTATAGTTTGTTCGATGCAGAACAATTTTTATACCGTAATTAATTGAAATGTTTTGTTAGATTTGTGTATTTTCCACGCGGTATCATGTAACGGATATTAGTATGATGATAGGTCTCCGAAATTTATTTACAGGGGTCAATGACCATTACGAGATGGCGCCACATATGCAAAGAGTGTACCATAGTACTGAGGAACCAAACAGATACACGTTAAGGACGACTAAATATGGTGAAGATTATTTTCCACGATCGCACAATGCCGATATATCGAATATAAACGGGAAAAAAGATTTCTTACTTTGCATGGGGCTTCAAATGAAAAGATCTCAGTGCGAATACAGCCATGCAACCGAAAGAGTTAATATTTCCAACGGGGTAAAGTTGCGTGACTGTAGCGTCGTTATCCTGGGAGCGTCGTGTAAAATATGTGGAAAGTGCTTCAAGTGCGAAACGGACGTAAACTTACATCTGTTTCAGAGACACCGTTTATATTTCGAAACGGACGGTATTACCGCGAACGAAATTCAGTGTTTCAACGTCGAAGACGAAGAGCGTAAAATATTCCCCGATCCTTGTGAACTTCCGACTATCGCCGCTAGTAAGAGCCCCGTAATAAAGTTGCAAGATACAACAGTTTTGGTACTCAGAATAGGGAAGGAAGAGGTGTGTCGATTGCCCCTGAAGCGCAAGTATTTGAGAACAATCAGCATCGACACAGGCACGCAAACCGAACAGCACAAAGAACTGACCTCCGAATTTCCCAACAACGAATTCACCGAGAAAAATGTCGACGTTGGTGTCGTTCCTCATATCGATTTCCCTGTATTCGATAATAGTTCTTGCAAGTGTTGTACCACGTCTATGCATGTAGTAAACAGCACGAATCGATATTTGACTGGTAACAATGCAGCAAGCAAGGAGACCCAATGCGAGGAAAGTACAGCGCAAAAGAGAACCTCCATCTTGAACAGGCGGACTAAATCATGCGCAATCACGGCCTTGGAGGGCAACGCTGTTCGTGACGTTTTACCAAATTCGGACATAATGTGCGTATACGAAAAAGATACCAAAAGTATGCGTTGCTACAAAAATAGCAAACCGACATTTAACTCGAATAAAATGGACGTTAACAAGAAGCAACAAAATGCTTTGCCAGAGAAACAATCGCAGCTGCTGGAGATATTTAAAACCGTGAAAGTGATAATGCCCCCCCTGATCTTTCCAATAATCATGCCAAGAAATGAGATTTCGTTGCAATTAAACAAATCTGTTACCGACGACGAACAGAATTCCGACGACGAAGTGCAAGAAGTATTGCGGATCGTTAGAGGACGCGACTCGAGCGAAGAAATTAATCATGAGTCACCGAATCGCCTCGAACAGGAAATGCTGGTGCGGGATGCGATGAAAGATATAGCGAGAATGGAAGAGGAGGGCTGCCAATTGTTAGAGAAGGAGGATAACAACACGACGAAGAAAAGGAAACGTGTCGTTGCGAAATCTGACACCAAGAACGATATCGCGAAGGACGAGGCGGCGAACAAACGGCACAGAGTCGCGGTTCAAACCAATTTCGAGAATAATATTGTTACAAACGCAACGGAGGAGAGGTGTTCGTCGAATCGCGATGAGAAACTGTGCATAGCGGAGAACGCGAAGGAGAACGTAATAGCGTATAATAAGAACATTAATATTCCCACGGAGGTGTTGGAATGCCACGGTATTGGACACTATAGCGAAACGAGCGAGGGAAAAAACAATAGGGAGTCGATACAGGAGCCTGTTAGCCGTTTTCTTGTACCGTATTCCTGTAGAACGAAGAATAGGAGTAATAGACCGACCGTAATAGATCTAGTCAATGACACCGACGAATAGACTGTAATGAAAACGATGAGCGACGTTTTATAGGAACGTTGGCACAACTGCGAGGAATTGTGTCATCGGTAGACGCGTTTCCGGAATTCCGTGTTGGAAAGACAGACAGTTTAAAACAGTTTCTGACAAATTACGCTATGATAGAAATATTGTTATTGTAGGACTAAATGAGATACAGTCGATGTTAACTATTGTATTTGCAAACAAGTGCATTGTTTGTGTTTTATGCACCGGTTTGGTAATATCGAAAATTAACATTTTTAATTTCTTTTTATATGGATTGCTACTTAAGCACACGCAAGATTGTATGTCTCGTACGAATGTTATTATTACTTATTGCAAATGAGTAACGTTGATATTAATGTACGTTTTGTTTACATATTGTTTATGTGAATCATCCGAAACATACAAGTTCTTAATTTTATATTGTTTTTTATTTTAAATTCTACTTTATACGTGGATACGTGTATTTATAGTTGTAATGTACCATAGATGTATCATACTTTAATACGCGATGACATTCCAAGGAAACGGACAGTGCACTTAAAACGATCGATCTAGAATTTACCCGGTAAAATACTTGAACGATATCACTTTCACCAACCCCTGTAACATACTGTTTAAAAAAGGGTATCGCGACTATACGTACAGGGTATTCAGCCAGCCCTTTTAATGGGGAATTCTAGAGGTCACAATAAGACTAAAATCAAGAATACCAATTTGTTGATGAAGGCTTCGTTAAAAAGTTATTAATAATTAAATTAAAAAATTTCAAATCGTCCGGGAAAAATTATATTTAGTTACAGGTGGCAATTACAATCATTTTTGGTGATTAGGCATACCCTCGAAATCCTACCCACTTTCTAGAAAAAAATTCAAGAAAGTGCATTTTTCGGCAAAATTAAAAAATTCCAAATCGTTATAAAAAAATTATTTTTGGTTGCAGGGGTCAATTGCAATCATTTTTGGTCAATAGACATACCCCCGAAATCCTACCCACTTTCTAGAAAAAAATTCGAGAAGTTGCATTTTTCGGCAAAATTAAAAAATTTCAAATCGTTAGAAAAAAATTATTTTTGGTTACGAGGGTCAATTGCAATCATTTTTGGTGAATAGACATACCCCCGAAATTTTACCCATTTTCTAGAAAAAAATTCGAGAAGGTGGTCAAATTGTCGTTCAACAGCCACAACTTTAAACGTTAATAACTTTTTAACGAAGCCTCCATCAACAAATTGTTATTCTTGATTTTCGTCTTATTTTGGTCTCTAGAATCCCCCCCATTAAAATTTTTCACCCTGTATGTTACTACAGCACAATGTAATTGAAATAAAATATTAAGGAACATAACTATGTAAGATGATAAGAACATTTCTGGTGTTGAACATAATGGGGGAAAAAAATGATGAATATAATTTAAATTCGAACACATCGACGGGACTTAATTGGATTAGGTCCAAAGTTTTTAAAACAATGTGGAAACAATAAGAACATTACGTCCATTATGTAGTTCCTATAAGTTCTAGAATATTGTTAAGATGAACCAACGTATTAGAAATAAAATTAAAACCTTTTCAATTTGTTAAATTAATGTTGTGTTTTGAATCAAACCCCTACAAAGTGCAACGATAATACTGTGAATTAAAACTTTCATAAAAATCTGTATGCACAGGTAAATCTCTACGTGTGTTTTGTTAAAGTTTTGCATGCTCGATGTCCACGCGTTACCAAAGTCTTCTGAAGCTTCTTCCACTGGTAAACGTGACGTACCGAAGTCTTCGAGGGGAATGGAAGAACACTGGTTCCCGATTGGTTCCTGTTCGCTCAGCGGAAGTTAAGCGGCCGACACATATAGTCCACGTAGGGCTGTATGTATGTCACGCGTGAAATCGTAGGCACAATTAAGCTGCGAGACGAGGCAACGCATTGCACGGCTGCCGGACACAAACTGATAAGCGCTGGAGAACCGCGTGTGGCTCTCTGTGGCTCTCTTCAAGGAGATTCGATCTTGCTTTCCATCTTCCGTCATCGGGGCGTAAGAGACAATTACAGTTGATCCTGAATTACCATGTCACGCGTCGAGAGAAAGGGGTGCCCTCTATTGGCCGTCACGACATTCAATTTTGAGCGTTACAGATTACCTATTATTAATTTTCTTCGCAAACAATTCTCCTGTTTCGTTTGAAGCTTAAATACTCTTGAGCACTTTTCTCATAAAATAGAACATTCTTCATTGGAAAAATAGAAGAGTTGAAAGTAATTTTAGTGACCAAATGTTGCCATTTTGCTTTTGATAACTCTTGATAATTCCAACATCCTTCTTCTGGAAAATGGAATTCCTCTATCCATCCTGTAACTTCCAAACTTTCTTTTTAATATCCTATATGACATCAGGAATCCATCCTCAGTGTATTAATAATTGTAAAAATTAATTAGACAAATGTTTTGGCTTGGAACAGTGAGTGCATGGCCGCATAACTGTCCATTAAAGAATCGTGTATGTCAGTAAGGCTTTCAATCGTACGTGTGCCTTCGATTAATTTTTCATACGTATCCTTTCAGCCGTAAAAGACAACAGGTAGGTAGAGCACACCCTTATTACATTTCGCATCCTCGTCACGAACCGGATAATAATGCACATTGATACCCACGCGGGCGTAGTCTCAAATATCGAACGCCGTAGAATGTTTATTAGAGAACAAAAGGCCGCGGTAAAGTGACGAGAGACAGTTTTGAATAAGTAGGTTACATTGTTCTTTTGTATCGGGCATTATTGCAACGGAGAAAGTAATTCTGCCGTAAACCGCATAAACTTGAACGCTTTCTTTGTTGTTCCATTCTCAATGGAAAAATTGAGATAATTAAATTTGCCTTGGTCGTGTTCAGGAAGACTCGATACCTCGGAACGGTGTCGAATTTCATCCTGATATTCACACATATTCATCCAATGAAAGTTCCTATACATATATATTGCACTAACGTGCATTAACGTCTCTTGCAATTCACTCTTCACTCGACGTGTATATTTAATACTTTTATGGTCGCTTATTTCACTAATAAATATTCAAATAATACAGTCTACATAACTTTTTCATTAAGCAGACACAGAAATATAAATTTTATTAAATCGTATTACTCGTCAATATCGTCGTAAATATCAGACAGAGTATTTTCACATATTTCTTCAACCTTAGAGGTTTTTATTTTGAACTATTTCTGGACTCTGTTAGCTTATTTACCATATTGACCGCTTAAAAATGGTAACAGAATAAATTTGGTACCTGATTTTATTCTACTTTCCTTTGTTCAACGAAGTAGATGATAATCGTCATCACGTATACACCTTTCACGAAACACATAATGCAACATGTACATATATACGATCACGAAAAGATTAGAAAATTAGCACGACTAGAATGGTAGACTATACCATATCATACATTGTTAACAAAACACAGTACTTGTACGTGCTTCCATCTCGTGTAATCAAATTTTAACAGGTACTTGTTAGCAGTCTAATTTACGGTACGACTGAAAATTACAGATTAACGGTTGAACGGACAGAGGTCGCCTGCAGCGATGGAATTACACAAACTAGAGCAATGCTACTTACCAAGACAAGAGATAATAAATAAAAATTCAATTTTCCTCCCTCTTCACGTGCACTTTGATTCTCCTAAATTCCAGAAAATGTTCGAGACATTCCTCCATCGCTGTGCACGTGTCTTCCCCGCTTCTTTCCAATGTTAATTCGAGGGAAGCGTAGAGGGTTTCCAAATCGTGGCACGGCCATGCTTCCGTGATCTCAATGATCTTCTCAAGCAGCTGTTCCGTGCGAGGATCGGTCAGTTTTTCGGTGCTGGACGCGGACAAGCTTCCCACGGATGTATTCTTCATCTTCTTCGACGATGGCCCCTCGCCAGACGCGCTAATTTTCCTTTTAACAGCGATTTCTGACGGACAATTAGGTTATGTTACATGTAAGCCCCAGGAGCATAGCAATTTGCATTGTAGTTCACGTTACTTGTCTTTGAAGTTGTCTTGAACTGAGCTGATCGCACGGTGCAGAGTTTGTTGCGCGTTTTGGTCCCTGGTTTGGTCCTCCGTGACAACGAGATCTCTTCTATCATTGTTAAAATATTGTTATCGCCTTGTAAATTATTTTGTTAATAATTGGCAATTTACTCACGCGTTGTAGAATTTTCCGCGGAATTTGTTTTCCTTGTTGATCTTCGCTTCCTGCCTCCTTCTTTGGTCTTCTTTGGACTTGTTTCAATTTGAACGAAGTCCACTATTTTAATTGAAAATCAAAAATTGAGATACTGATATATAGAATGTTGGACTCTGTATTAATTATAATATTCTTCAAACTACTTCAGGAATATTTTCAAGTTAAAAGATCCGATTATGTACAATTAAAAATTGTTTGGATTTACATCTAATATGAATACATAATCACAAATGTAAAATTGTATTTTTCTGAACAAACAAAGACATTAAAGTATACCAATTGCTCTAAATATGATCGGGACCACTAGGTGACCCAATTGTGGTCACTAATAATCAACAAGGTGCATGTGACCTAAAACGCTAAAAAAAAAAAAGAAAAAACAGCGATGGGAATAACTTCCTCTGTGTGTGTCTGTGTGTGTGTGTGTGTGTGTGTGTGTGTGAATAATTTTTGATTTCTGTACAACTGAGGAATACTCCATCACATTGTATTTGACAATGCTATACCTTGTGAAGATTGATTCGATTCAATGTCAGATTCTGTGGTAGTGAATAGCTGCTTGAAGAATGATTCACGCTCCTGCTTCTCAGGGGGCATGACTTCGAACACTTCGCCCTGATGATCGTCGAACAAGCACGCGACCTAATAATTTAGCAGCGTTAAAGAACATTTAAAAAAGAAATGAAAGCTGTTGAGTGAAACAACAATGTTTATAATTTCACGTAACATTAATCCATTTGTATATGAAATTTGAAAATGACTTTCCATTCAATAGCATTGTTAATTTAACAAAATTGTCTTCTGGAATCATAGAACACTATTATTAATCATTTAATTAACTGTACATGCTCTGATATGGTAAATTGATTTATGGAAGTATAATATATGTATTCAGTGTTATAAATTAAGTTATTATTTCTCTTACATCCGTTGGTAGATCATCTCGTGGACAATTGGCTGTGGCCAGAATTAACATATATACCGAACGGTCTAAACCCTGCATCAGAGATGTAAAAACAACGCGTGCCGCCTCGTCCACTAATTCCCACCAAGATAAAATATCAGGAACGTAGAGCAACGATGGTAAACTTCTCCGAGCCATTTTCATTTTCTAATTCGTTGAATAATCCATAACATTAGTAACAAACATTGTTAATATACATTACATCATGAAACTAAAGGAGTGGTACATTGATAAAATTTAGGAACTACTACAATTTCTTGATTGAAGCTTCGTTAAAAAGTTATTAAAAAATTAAATTAAAAAATTTCAAATCATTCTGAAAAAATTATTGATAGCTGTGGGGGTTCATTACAATCATTTTTAGTCAATAGACATAACCCCGAAATTTTACCCATTTTCTAGAAAAAAATTCGAGAAAGTGAAATTTTCGGCAAAATTAAAATATTTCAAATCGTTATAAAAAAATTATTTTTGGTTGCAGGGGTTAATTACAATCATTTTTGGTCAATAGACATACCCCCGAAATTTTCCCCATTTTCTAGAAAAAAATTCGAGAAGGTGTAAAATTTTCGGCAAAATTAAAAAATTCCTAATCCTTATAAAAAAATTATTGTCGGTTACAGGGGGCAATTGCAATCATTTTTGGTCAATAGACATACCCAAAAAATCCTACCCATTTTCTAGAAAAAAATTCGAGAAGGTGCATCTTTCGGCAAAATTAAAAAATTTCAAATCGTTATAAAAAAATTATTTTTGGTTGCAGGGATCAATTGCAATCATTTTTGGTGAATAGAGATACCCCCGAAATCCTGCGCATTTTCTAGAAAAAAATTCGAGAAAGTGAAATTTTCGGCAAAATTAAAAAATTCCAAATCGGTATAAAAAAATTATTTTTGGTTGCAGGGGGCAGTTGCAAACATTTTTTGTCAATAGACATACCCCCGAAATCCTACCCATTTTCTAGAAAAAAATTCGAGTAGGTGGTCAAATTGCCGCTCTACAGCCACAACTTTAAACGTTAATAACTTTTTAACGAAGCCTCCATCAACAAATTGTTATTCTTGATTTTCGTTCTATTTTGACCTCTAGAATCTCCCATTACAATTTTTCCCAGGGACCACCCTGTATATGTGTAATATATTATTAGTAACAACTCATCGCGTGCAGTTACTTGAATGATGGCTTCTTCCGCTGCTTTACCAGTTTCCTCGAACAAAGTCGTAACGTCCAATACGTGACAAGGTAGGTGTTCGAACGTGTGAAGCAACGCTGGCCCCAGGTGACGAGTATGGGAATCATCGTCACCACATAATAAAATTCTCGGACAGCTGGTCGATCTGGACGCTGCCTTCCCCGTTCTGTAAAATAATTCCCCCACGATTATTTCGTGTTGTCCCATAAAAGTACTCTTCGAAGATACTATCAGAATGAGATTTTGGATTGCATATCAAATTTTACTAATTATAGGATCAGTAGCTAAATTTACACAGTAATGATATTGTATGTATTTTATAAACTAATAATATATAGAATTAAGATCAATGTTAGATCATCCCAACGACTTAAAACAATATTTTTAATATGGAGTTTTATTGAAAATTTTGTTTTCTTTGTCTACTATATTACTAATGCTACTTTCGTCCAATACTTTGTACTATACAGTGATTACTTGATGGCTAGGCACGCTGATTGGTCGTAATAGCAACGCCTACAATCACATTCATTGTTATTATTGGCTGAGTCGCTCACAACCACAATTCCATCGCGAACGAAACGTATAGGGACAGAGTAGGATAAGACTGAGGTACATTGGCGTAACCGTACGCTGAAAATACTAGCCATGAATAGAATAAATCTCTTATGGTTATGGAGACCCTACTACTATGTGGCGTGACGTCAGAGGGGCCCTCTATGGTGAGAATAAGGCGGCGCCTGACTTTAGACTTTATCTGTAGGATACAGTTAAATCAGATGATAATCTAACACTTACATGACGTCGCAAATTAACATTCCTGTTGGGCACAGGCTCTCGAGTTGAGCCAGTATATGCGACAAATTATCTTGAAGCAGAGACTGTATCTTAAATGACAAAGACTTCACAGGCACAACCGAAACACGATGAGACGCTGGCACGATATTCTGCTGAGCCCTCACGAAATCTTGTTTCTCGATCTATTTTAGCAGTAATTGCAACAATCATTGTACAGAAATTTAAGAACATGTTACAGAGGAATTATAGGGGCTCAAATCTCCCCCTTCCAACTCAAAACTAAAAAATTTGAATCGTTTCAAGTAATTCCTTTGTTCTTTGAGAAATGTTAATCATAAAATTGTGATTATTTCCAAGGATTCTTAAATGCTTGGAACCTCGAATGTATTTGCGACTTTTTATCAACTCCTCCTCATCTTTTACCTTCCGGTTCTTGTAGATCCGTCACTGGCATTTGTAATCAGAGACGTGCTATTTATTCAGAGACAGATAACAACGCTCGATCACACCTACCTCTCTCGTTGGCTATCGCCCCTTGGTTCCGAGTACGGTTATCGACAGATTAGCGTACATTAACGTTAAAAAGCTCGTTATCGGAAACGTATGGGCGTGCTTCAACTTCCGATTGGTAGAATACGTATGCGTTTGCTGATTGGCAATTACTCTAGCTTGAGAATGGAGAATCTATGATCTATGATTTTTACTACAACAAAATCACCCTCAAAAAGTTGGGCAATTAAAAATCGATTACTATGACAGAATATAATTTATAGTTACTGTCAATAATAAATAGAAAAATTCAATACAAAGTTCTTTTGCAGCGAGTAAATTGTCGATCTCCGAATTTGTGATAATTACTTTAAGATGGCGTTCGTTGATCTGATATTTTGTCTTCGACGTATATATTTCCGGATAGTTCCGTCGAACGCAGCACATAACCGCCTCTGCGCAGAGCGCTTGCAGATCGCTGCCGCAGAATCCGATCGTTTTCGACGCCAGATAAGCCAGAAACTTCTGCGGCGGTTTGTTTCTCCAACTTTTTATGTGTACCTAAAAATAACGTGAAATATTAATTAAAATTAATCACACATTACTGCAACGGTTTACAGTCAATGGTACCGAGAGTATTTCCTTTCTCGCGTTGTAACACGGCAGAGGAAAATACAATTCCCTGTCGAATCGACCGGATCTCCTCAAGGCGGGATCTATAGCATCGACTCTGTTCGTTGCCCCGATCACTATGATTTCCGAATTGTTCTCCAAGCCGTCCATCAAGGCCAACAGAGTGGAGACGATGCTGGCGTGCACAAAATCCTGTCGACTGGATCTCACAGGTGCTAATCCATCCACTTCGTCGAAGAAGATGATGCAAGGCTTCGATTGTTGAGCCTGGAAGGTTTATTCAATCGTGAGAAGGAAGTTTGCAAACTGATAAACAAGTTCGCTTAGTATTAAAAGGGATAAGAAACACTCAAACTGAAACAATTGTAATTTATTGTTATTATTGTTACTATTAAACGTCTTTATTTGTTTATTCTTTTCAATGTTACGGAGTGAAGAAATGTAGCCTCCAGTGCTCGCCACCAGAGGGCTCGCGCTCTCACAAGCGCTCGATAGACCCCTCTGTTGCTATAATACACTCTTTGAACGATTTCCCAATATTCCAATCGTCTAAGGCAGCCTAGAAAGCCTTGCTTATAAAAATAACAATCATTCAAAGTGTTAAATTTGAAGAAGTATATGAATACTCCCATGACCAATGTATTTAAAGTAGATTGTACCATCAGAGTTAACAAAAACCTTTACATACTATCATAAAACGTTTAATACGTTAATCCACGCATGTATTAGAATGATTTCGACTTCTTACACGTTCGATAAACACAAAACAAGTATCTCTGAAAGGGTTTTTTAAAATTAAACAGTATTGCTACTCTTACAGTATTCAGTGCACAGTGTGTATGGACTTTTGTCCATTGCTAGACACACTGTGCAGCGTTCTGAATCTCCCTCCATTTTGGGAAACAATGATGTAGGATTTCTAAAGCAGTTGTACTAACCAGAGAAAAGATTTTCTGCAATTTCTTTTCGCTCTCTCCGACCCATTTACTGAGGCAATCGGAGCCCTTACGGGATATGAAGGAAACCTTACGTTCGGAATTGCTGCATTCTGCGGCCAAAGCGCTGGCTACAAGCGTCTTCCCCGTACCTGCGAAACAGAGATCGTCAAATTGCGGTTCCCACAAGATTGTGCTTCATTACGAACCGTAGAACAGCGATGGATATTCGCGGGAATTTTGGTCATGCGCACTGGGAGCGCACGATCACTGACGTATACACTCAACCAGAATTTAGGGTACCGTTGGATCCCAGTAAGAAAGTTACAGGGAAAGAGACGAAAACAAACAATTTTCTCATTTAATCTACACGAGTATAGCTAGAGAAATATGTAGAGGATCTTTGATAAGTTTATTTTTGTGTGATTGGCGAGCATTTGAAGTAGAAAGTTCAAATTTGTAAATTCCCGCCATGTAGCTCTTTTTGCGCCAAAAATGCATCTATGGCAGAACGCATGCGCAGAAAGAGATCCCACGAGGGAAAGTTTAAATAATTTATAATTACTGTCAATAATAAATAGACCAGAAAAATAGAATTCGTCCCTGAAGAGGTTAAAACCTGAAATATCCTACAAAGTTCTTTTACAGTGAATAAATTGTCAAATTGTCGATCATCGAATTTGTAATAATTGCTTTAAGATGGCGTTCGTTGATCTGATATTTTGTACAAAACGGGAATTCCCGCCATGCAGCTCTTTTTGCGCCAAAAATATATCTATGGCAGAGCGCATGCGCAGAAAGGGGATCCCCCGAGGGAAAATTCAAATACGCATGACCAACATTCCCACGATTTAGTTTACCAGGAGGTCCATAAAAGAGCAACCCCCTCGGTGGTTTCAGGTTGAATTTCGCATAAACGTCACCGTACAAAAGCGGGAACAGAACCGTTTCCTTTACAACTCTGATGTGCTTTTCCAGACCTCCGATGCAAGAAAAATCCTTCACGCCGGACATCTTTCGTGACGCTGACGCCCAAACTTCGATTTCGCATAACCGACGAACGTATCCTCATTTAGATCGTTCGATTTTAATACTTGTTCTTCAAATTTACAGCCCCCTTCCACTTCAAACACCAATAACGTCGATGCGCACGTACATTATGAGTTTCTGTAAATTTTACTGGAATTTTTGCACGGTGTTTGGTTGATTCAAATCGATTCACAATAAAATTTCATTATTTTTGACGTTTCGTCCGTTCGATCCTAACGAAACATACGAATCGTTCAATTGCGACTTGGAGCAACATTCGTGCAACATACAATGTAAAAATTCTTGTAAAATAATAATTACATTACAGCATTTTATATGTACATGTATGAAATGAACCTTACAATGTAAATCTAGTTATAAGTTAAAAACTTAAACACTAATTATGAAGAGTTTTATTTCTAATCAAATTCTAATGTTCTCCACTTCTCTAATATTTAATATCTTTTAATTGTTCTTTTTTTTATGTAAGATTTTACGTTGTATAATTAGCAAAACAATTTTTATACAACAAAAAATCAAGGTCGATTCAATTTTGTTTAACAACACTGTATACATATGTATAGTTTATAAGTATAGCGTTAAACTGTAGTTTCGATGTAATTAGTATGACAAAGGGTTAAATAATGTAGGATGAAATAATGTAACACATTGAAAAATATAATTATTTACATTGTTCATCATTACATTCGCCATAAGTAAATATTACACATTTTTCGTAATATCTAGATACTGTTTAATTAATTAATAAAATAACATTATACAACATTATTTAACTAATCAAGTATTAGTATCGAGCATTCTATAACATTTTAATTCAATATTTAACATTTTATATATCTAATAAAATTTGTAATATTTCAATAGTTTGAATGAAACAATTTGTTAACAGTAATTATAATTTTCAATAAAAAACCAACGTAGTAGGAATTGTAAACACTACACATGTTATTACATTATGAAACTTCAATTTATTATGCTACAATGAATGACAATAAAATGTATCACCTATATGGTAAAATAAATAAGGCAGTGTATGCTTTTTTGCTTTCTTTTCTGAATGTTTTATACATCCATTCCCTATGCTTAATATTACTGTCGCTCCAAAGATCACACAAAAATTTCATTCGGCTCTGTCTCTTTGTGTTCTTTGTCGACAGTAACGTTACAATCTTCGTTATCCAAATACTTTAGCAAAGTAATTATATTAGTTAGTTCAAACGGCAGTGGTTATGAGAACCTCTCAATTAATATAATTTACATGTAATTACACAGTACGTTTTGCAATATTCTTGGTAATACAGAGATGATAGTACTTCAGAAAATAGCACCAGAAATTATTCTTGGAGTAATTACACGTCTCAGATTTCTATTATAAAGTGGAATGTAAAATATATCGATGGTAACAGAAAAATCACAATAATTCAATTAACGTTTTTTATTAATTGCACGTGCGATTTTTCTGTATCATTTCCTATTTATCATGGTTAATATTTGAATTTTTATTATCGAGATGTATTACAGAATTTCTTTGGCAAATATCAGCGATATCCGTTCAAGGAATATCTTGGAATTAAATAAAACATGTAAAAATTAATTTAAGTCATAAGATGATTACACAAGTTCAAAGCAATTTTTAGTATCGCTGAAATTTTTATTAATTATTTAAGAGCTAGAAGCAATATTACAGCTTACTTTTTAAATTTAGAGTTCCTTGCATAATATGTTTTATATTCCATCGTCGCTATAACAAACAGATCATACTAGTAATCTTTTTACTACAACGCGGCACAAATTAGCGTAATTTTTAGTAGTTGTAAGAGGTACGTGCCAGAATAAAAGAAGATATTCAGTCTACCAATTTTATTGTACTTCGTTTTAAAAAATTCATTGCATCGTTCTAATGTCGAACATCTAAACGGAAAAGAATATTTATCGAGCAACATTTTAAAAGGTTGCTAAATCATTTTTATTTATTTCGTTATTCGAGAGATCTTTGGACATTAGTTTTTAACTGTTCTGTTCATTTCAAATTTATATAAAACAATATGTATGCAGGAAACATTGTTCGACAATTTACAATTAAGCGTTGAAACAATTTTGTACATGAAATTATACTATTTGTTAGATATTACCGATCAAATCTTTTATGAATACTATAAGCAATTTATGATGAAAGAAACTAAGTCATTTTGTGCGACGTATTTTAATTACATGTTATTATTACTTTAAATCAATTGATATATCGCTGTGAAACATTGGACATATATCATGATATTAGTTACATAAATAGTTGTGTATTGTATTCATAAAATTAGATATATAAAATTATTTTATCTCAAAATTTGGTATTTACATTATTAAATACCACTAATTTACATTATTAAAGATCACGTGATAGGATATTGAAAATTATTTGTTAATTCAATCTACACGCATGGTGTAACATACAGAGAAATAAATACTACGTAGTGAGCGTTTCTAAAGTTCAGTCTTTTCATTTCTATCTTCCTAATAAGTTTTAAGTAATGACCATAAAAAGATTTAAGCAATGATTTCAATTGTAAATTTATAAATTAAAAAGAAAAAGAAGCCTATAGCGGTAATCAATTAAATTTTCATACTTGAAAATTCTGGTCAACACGAAAATAATAAACTGCGAAACTAATTAACATCACTTTTCAACCATATTGTATTACATTTGCGTACTATCAATGGCATATCATATTCCTAAAACACGTATTAGTTATTAATCACATAGCATTCTTTTAAGAATTTTTTTCATATTATGTAATGCATAGACGAATTGCAAGGATCGTTATCAAATCCTTACTGTCCGTGCTAAATAGTCGTAGTTTGGATACTATGTATATTGTTCGAATATAATAGGAAGAACTTTGTTACTTGCACTCTAGAACGTATAAGAATCTTTTTATCCCGCATACATTATCTGGTAACTACCCTTTCACAGTTACGGTATGAATCACAACCAGTATACGAATCTAGAATGTAAGGTTTATATTAAATTATTTAATAATATACAGATAGAGCTCCCTCTGCATATGTTTAAGATTTTTTACCGAGGTATTTCATATTTATAGTTAAGTTTTCAATTATGTCCATTTTTCCATCGACAGTAGAATGAAAACCTATTTATAATTATTTTCACATATGGCTTATAACTTTGGTCAAAATAAATTTAAGAGCACGTACTATATTGCAATTATACCTTATCTACCGTAACTAAACTGAAATAATCACTTACAAATAAATTTACCTATCCGTTTCAATTATAATCAATTAAATACGCTAATATAAACAATTACTAATTCCGAATAACCTCATAACAACATTGTAATGATTCATTTTATTAATGGATATAAAATTTCTATCAATGTTAATTTACGTTATTTTAAATAATCATTTATATCCATTCATAAAAATTCATTGTGTCAAGTGTTATTCTAAATTTGATATATTAATCTAATATACTAAATTATTCATCATTTTTAATTCTGAATATTTTTAATACCTATCGATTCGTTTCTACGTTCGAAATAAAAACTATAAACTGAGAAAATAATATAACAAATTACTACTGAAAATAAATTATGTACAAAGCCAAAAGTTCCTAATATGTAACATTGCTTATAAGATTTGGAATGTATTTACAATCTCCTTTTTTTTTTATGAAATCAACTTATAAGCTTTCATCAATTTGCTAATCAATCAATTGACATGACTTCATGAGCTTTGTCGTGATTGGTAAACAAAACTATGCTTTACAATATGCATAAAGAGTTATAAAATTATATAAAATTATTTTGTTCAAATTAAAATTGTATCTTTTCTAATAAGTGGCGTTTTCTCTAAATCTTTTTAAAACAGGGCACATGTGATTTTTATGTATGTGTGTTTGAACCTATGCATCAAGATATGTCTATGTTAAAAGTATTTCTTTTAAACATCTTTCTCTAAAGAACTATAAAAATCCAAAGTAATAACTGGCGCAGATGAAGAATCTTTTAGGTGTATTTTACATCATAGTGATTTATCAAGGTGTTACTGTTGTGAATGTACAATAAAATAATTTGATACAATGTACTGTAAAATACCATATGTAAAAAACTATAGTTAAGTACATATTATATTAAATTACCATCATCTTTGTATAACCAGTGTCTGCAAAGTTTTGTTGATATGAAATAGTACACCTTTTGAAGGTATAACGTATTACATATTAATTCAGAAATTTGCACAAGTACCCCATTAAAATTGACTCGTGTGAAAAGCAAATTGTTCATAATCTTACGAGAACTAATTCCATTATATCTGATTTTCCATGTCAATTTTTTTATAAATATCGTAATAAACGAAAAAATTTCAAGCAAAAGTATTTTATCATTACAATTTTGTATGAAGAGAGGTCTAACGTCAGTTATTAATTATAGGTAACGAAAGCCGATGTGATTATAATAATTTATAATTTTATAATTAGAAGCCGAAGCAAAATGTTCAAATTCCCTTTAACTTCGTATATAATACTTCTTCGTTTCTTAAATTTCATGCACTGTTACATTTTACCGTGAGCTTAGAAACACTGAAGTTTAAATATACCATTATCTTGATTTCTTTTTTTTTATAAGTATTCGTGTAATAATAAGAATTCTTTCCTTTGAGTAAAAAGCCAAAAAAAAAAAAAAGAGAAAAAAAAGATACTATTTCAAGTTATCACGTGATTCAACTAATCGATAATCTTTGTTCAGGGTAAATATACAAAAGAGTTTTGTTATGATAGTACTAAAGATAATAACATGACTTATAGCATGTCAGTTTGGTTAGCAACATGATGAACTTTCTCGTACGTTGTCTTGAACTCTTCGAACCTTTTCACTTCCTTGAGCAAGTCCTAGGAATATTATAAATCATGGAATACATAACATTAGAGAAACTATGCTCTTTAAATTTTAATATAGAATTAGAGAGTCAGAAATGAATAGATGTTACAGTATTTAGTTCAAAAGGGAATATTTACCTTTGGCAGTGATTTTCTATCGTAACTCTGAGCATATTTTCCTACAGATCGGCTCAGTTGTACATAAATGTCGCATAATACTTCTACAGGAAAATCTTTCGTAACATTGACAGTATGTTGCCACGCGTTCTCTAATTCGCTTTTATCTACCATTAGTTTGTCGTTTTCTTCGAATTTCACTAGACTAGAATCGCTCTCGATAGCAAACGATAATTCATCTATACTTTCCCGCCTAGACGAAGAATTGGATCCACTGTTTTCCATGTTCTTATCTTCCTCCGTGAAAGATATCTGCATAGTTTCATGCTCATCGATATGTTGTTCGCTGATGTTGTTGGCCTGAATCACTTGGGCCTCTTTCGAATTCTCGTTTTGCGAATCATTCTCGGAATCCGAGTTATCGAACAACGATACATGGCCATTCATAACACTGTTTGCTTCGGTTTCAAACTCCTGGAATTTTTCTAAATCGATACTTGTAGTTTCGGTAGTCAAGCAAACCTTGCTATCGAATGTAGTTACAGTTTCGTCGAACGCAATCTTTTTCTTTTTATGAACTTTTTTCACATAGCCTCTGGCCCAAGCTGGTATTCGACGCTTTCTAGAATTATTGTATCTCTTCCCGTTTACGAGAGAGTGACTAGGACTACCGGTATCCTTTTTATCTGTTCGTTCGGTCGTGGACGAGGAATGATCTGTTTTTGACTGATTCTTATTCTCCGCCTCGTTGTTACACGTGTCGGTAACTCGACGACTTTTAGAAATTTCGCGACATTTGTCTTCGAAATCGGAATCTAACTCTGCTTTTATCAATGCATACGCATTGTCACGGAGGGAGCAAGCACGGTGCCTTATCAATTTATCCGCTGGATCTCTGCGAAAGAGCACAATAGAACATATATACGAATGGCAAAAAAGTACATCACTAGTGAAAAGCAGTATGAACTAATACGAGTGGCCTTCAATGATGTAAACTTTTTATTTTATATTTGTAAAACTACTGTAATATGAAGAATTGAAGACCACTTTTAACTACGGAGCAACAACAGCAACGGATAAACAGGAATGTCGGAACTACCTCTTCAATATTCCAAGGGAAGGCCTATCACGTAAGCTGACATGAAAACACACAACATGAATGTCAGTATGAACTTTAGCTCCATTATTTATATTTATATATATATATAATAAAGAATAGAAAAAAAAAACGCTTACACTAATAAATATAAATAATAGCGTGTAAAGTACAAATCCTTTAAATACTAATAATGTTTCTATCCGGAAACTTAATTTTTGCCAAAATATTATCTTTTAGAAATAATTTGAAAAGGAAACGGAGTTAAACGCACTAAATACTTCTGTGCTTAATATTTACATATATATTCTTAGTAAATTTCAGCAACGATATACACGGTATGCATTTAGGGTACTGACCTATCAGGATTGTATTCCAAAGCGTTTTTGCAAATCAGATCGATATCGTCAAGAAAATCTCTAGCACAAAGATAACAATGCATATCGATCTTTGTCATCATTGTTTCTAAATCCATAGGCTGTTTTATTATCATATTGTAATCTGGCACTTCCTCCGTGTCTACCGGTTTCGTAAACATGAAAAATCTACAACAGAGGCTAGTTAACTCGATATCAGTTAACATTTCACAAAGTACACGAAAGAACGTGATACTATGAAAATACTTACTGTCTATTCCGCGCGAGTTTCGCGCAAATCTCCCTCAAGAAAATTCTCAACTCTCTCAAGGATACTTCTTGTTTCTCATACATAACTTTTTTCTCTTCCTCCGTTAATTTCATTGGCATGGGATCCGGTGCTAAAGGAAGCTCTTCCAAGACCTCGACTTTGTCATCCTTTATTTTTGGTAGCTTCAGGCTCTGGACCATGAAAATGTGTCGAAAGAATTTCGACCTTTGATCCGCTGTCGGTGTTTTCATCAAATAAACTTCACCGCGAAGCTCGCTAAAAAGACTTCGCAGTTGGCTAGGGAGGTCTTGATATGTTGTGTCGCTCGTAGCTAGAATTAAAATAGGCAATGAAGGAGCAAGCGCTGCAATACGACACAAGAAAACCGCTTTTACAGTTTCAGGTACAAGTGGCCACCACTGATCTATCGACCGAATATAAATTATGGACGGTACGTTCCTGGCAGCCTCGTTAAATACCTACATCAGAGAAACGAATGTAATAATGTATGAAAATGTATTTAATTAATATTACTATCATCGATAACCAACCTGCACGCAGGTTTCTTCCGGAGATCGTCCACTTTCTGCAAACAGAGTACTAACGTCTAGTGTTTGAACTGGTAGATGTTCCATATGATACAATAGTGCTTGCGCTAAGTGTGGCCCTTGACCTTCAGATAGATTTCCACCAGAAATTAATAATCTTGGGCGATGTATTCCTGTGCTAATTTTTACTCTGACAGAACATTTAAGATATTAACATTAAAGTCAAATATGATTGCCAAAATTACTAAATTCTGGCTGGGCGATGGTTATTATTCGTACAATAGTATTTTATATATTACATCATAAATAGTTATGAGACTTTATTACTTTGCCATTGTAGGGTTGATTCCTTGAGGAAATATTCCTTTTACTGAACTAAGTAACTCTTCTAGCGGAGGTCCTAATAGAGGTTCTATAAAGGGTTGTAATTTTCTTCGAGAACAAGGTGATACTCTTTGCGATGACGGGACAAGTATAGAACTAGCTTGTATAAAATCTCGTTTTTTTACCTGTAGAAATATATATAATATAGGAGTGTTAAGAATGTATATAAAAATTTGTATATAAAAACATACTGCAACTCGTTCAGGATCTAAAAGTAATCTATTGCTGGTCATGTATATTTGAGGGTACGTTCTTCTCAAGCCTTGTAAAACTGCTTCGGTGCACAAAGCTCGTAGATCTGAACCACAATAACCGGTTGCCTTCTCAGCCAATACTTCTAACAATTGATCCGATGGAGGATTTTTCCATTTACTGACATGGATTTTCAATATCTCTAGCCTCTCTTTCATAGCAGGCAAGGGAAACAATAATTCCCGATCGAAACGACCAGGTCTGCGCAATGCTGGATCAATAGCATCTATCCTATTTGTTGCTCCAATAACTATAACCTGTTGTCGAACGAACGAAGGATGACAACCTGTTCTGTACATCGAGCAGTTATAATTAAAAATATTTTACCTCTCCCCTGTCACTTAGGCCATCCATAAGCGCCAAAAGAGTAGACACGATACTAGCATGAATCTGATCCTGCTTCGTACTTCTAACAGGCGCAAGGCCATCTATTTCATCAAAAAATATTATGGACGGTTTCATTTGTTGAGCCTGCTCAAACAACAATCGCAATTGGCGTTCTGATTCTCCAACCCATTTGGACAGACAATCTGCACCTTTTCGCATGAAGAACGCCATTTTCCTACTACCTTGACTACATTCATTCGCCAATGCTCTAGCTATTAATGTTTTACCAGTTCCTAGGTTAAAATTTAATAGAAATTATAATGATATACACATATTTATATATTAATAAACCCTATTGCTTTAAGTATACTTGATGTAGTTATGTGGATATGCAAAGTAATACCTGGTGGACCATGAAACAGTACTCCCTTTGGCGGAGTAATATGGAAACGATCAAAAACGTCTGGATACATCATAGGAAAAACAACCATTTCTTTAAGGCAGTGAATGTGTGACTCTAAACCACCAACATCATTAAATCTAATGTTAGTATCTAGAGTGATTGGGTTTATATCTGCTTTACGATCAGGTGGTCCACCTTGGGGCATTGTCGATTGTCTGTCATGAAATTAGTAAAAATTAATAACACCGACCCAACCTGAATTTCTTCTCAAATCTCACCTTGCTTTCTTGCTTTTCTTCTTATCGTAACGTTGGGGTTCCGAGTCACTGGAATCGCTAGAACTTGTACTTTTGCTTCTATGTTTACGTCTTCTCATGGAATTGCTAAGAACACTTCTAAGTGCTTTTATGGATCGTCGTACTGGTTCTACGTTAGCTTGAAATCTATCTACAGCCGGCTTCTTTTGACGTAAACTGTACTTTCTAGGACCAGGGGAATCCGAAGATTCGCTTAAATCACTATCCACCACTGTGAAACACGAGTATAAATAATATAAGCAATTTTAATCAACGAAAATAGTCATGTATGTATATTAAACGTAAACCTCGAACCTGTAAGCTTCTTACCCCTTGGTAATTGCCGCTGTGCCGTTCTTCTAGTTCGTTTAATACGCGTATACATATCTTCGTAACCCTACAAATCAGATTTATTAAGTACAAGTAAATTAAAAAATAAATTGTTTTATATTAAGAATTCATATTATTTTACATCTTCATTTTCAGAATTATCATTATTTTCCGCTTTCTCGCTTTCTTGTGAACTATCTTCGTCGACTTCATCTTGTTCCACTTTAGGCTTCTCATCTTTTTCAACTAAATTTCCACCGAGTCTTGTTACAGGTCCCTCTTTAAGTCTGCTTGGACTATCGGACTTACTTGTTCTATAAACAAATGTTTCCAACACATGTACCTAATCTCGTTATCACAGTCTCGTAACCACAGATATTTACCTTACGTCCTTCTCTTCGTGCGACTTACTTCTGGTTTCTATTTTATCTTTATGTTCTCTGTCCGTTCTTTCCCGATCTTGCCTATCTTTAAGTTCTCTAATATCTTTTTCCTGTTCTGATTTTTCTCTAAGATCACGATCAGCTCTACCCCTAAGTTCTCTACTACTTTGTCGATCATGTTCCGCCCTTTCCCTCATGTGCCTTTGCGAATTCTTATTAGGAGGATGATTCTCACGTGACCTGAGAGGCATACGCTCTCTGAGATCTCGTTTTCTCTCAGGAACTTCATCCACCATATCTTTATCGGACGAAGAACCATGTTGTTGAAACATAGGATAACCTTTTAATGTTTGTGTTCCTACAAAAAATTATAAATACTTAAAAAAATGTAATGATAATAATATCTCGTAAAAGAATAGTAAAATAATTATACATTTGCAGCTACCACAAGGTAGCAAAGTGTAAATTAGCCAAAGGGTCAAAATGAAAGAGTAAAATGTATCATAAAATATATAATTTTGTATCGAATGTAATTTAAAAGTATTCTTCACCTAAAATCCAACTAGTATTAAGATTATCATATGTTTGCATTCTGTTTCGTGTGCTACGACGAACGCTTGAATTATTCATAGATATATGGGAATTAGAGTTTGAATGCGATCGTAAAGTACGTAAACTTTGAACCCTCCTGGCACTAGAGCTAAGACGCCGACTTCTTGGAGAAAAAATATCTTCTTCTGTATCCATTGAATCCAATGCAGCATCATCATCTGACATTATCTAAAATTTATCGATTATTAATTATTAATTGTTTCATATTCAACTAATAAAATAGTGGTTAAGGGTTACACCACCCAAATAAGCAGTATTTCCACAAATTTTCTATAGAAACTGTGCACATTCGATCAAAATTATCTATTCATCATATAAGAAGCATTTCTTGAACTTTTGGAAACAATATTTCTTTAAATATCTATGTCTATTTATATTAGAGAAAATGGCGTTATCCCAAACTGTACATTATATGCTAGTATGTGGTAACTCAAAAACAGTTCAACCAAATTAACTGAAATTTAATGTACATATTCTCAATGACAGCCTCTATCAGTTTATGTGCAGTTTTCTTTATGTAATTGGTTCTCAAGGTATTGATAAAAAATGTTGCGGCGAAAGATATATGTTTTTTAAACTGCTACAATTTTTACAATTTTAAAAAATCACACGTGTCAATCGATAGAGAATATTATTGAGAATATGTATCCCAAATTTCGTTAAATCCGGTTGATCAGTTTTTATGTTATCACGAATACCAATACATAATTTGGAGTAACTCTATTTTTTCTGTTATAAATAAAAAGATTGTTTTTAAAAGTTTAAGACAGGCTTCATAGATGATAAGTACATTATTTCGACTAAATATATACGTTTCCTGTACAAAACTTGTGAAAATGCGACTCATTTGGGATCCATCAAGGTGATATAACCCCTTAAAAGAACTGCAAAACTGATAACTAATAGGAAAGATATTTCTCTTTTTAAATAATACAAATTATGTCCTTTATTACATCTTCCGATATAAGAGAACAACTTAGGTGCCATATTCGATGAATAACCTTGTATGTTAATATACGTCAGACATCCATTATGTTTACATGTAAAAATTAAAAAACAGACTGATTTATAAGAACAATAAAGTTACAAATATATTCGTAAAAATGTTTAAACAAGAATATATAAATTTACTCTGCAATGTGAGAAACGAAAGACAATGTTTCTCGACAATTAACAGGTGTTTTTTCTCATTCTTTCCTTTTTTATATAATGAAACACCACCCACTTGAATAGTTTTTTGTGAAGGCAAGAGCATAAAAATAAATACCAAATACCTTTTAAGAAAAAGTAATTATGAGGAATTGTATAAAATACAAAAGAATAGAAATTAAACGATACTGTCTATAGTAATAATAAACAAAGCACCATGGAAGCAATTAGTGTCTTCCTGAAACAGACGAATTTTAACCTCTGCGATCGTTTAATATTTTAAACCTACGGGGTAGAAAATATTTAATATTTTACTGCGCGTATTACCTTCATCTGGCCAGTTCTTGCTGCCAATTTTTATTTAAATTAAAAACAGAACTTATAATGTCCGTCATATGCCTCGGGTAAAGGAACACCACTTTCTCGATCGAGTTCACGCAGCGCATGCACACTGAGGCTCGACAAAGGTCGTTTTACGATCGACTATCACTTAAAATTATTATACACTAAACAATGAGAAATTAAAGCTTGCATAATGCAAATTAAAACTAAATAGTTCGCAGATACGATAGGAAATCTTTATTTCCTGTCAGCGATTACAAAATTTGTATTGGAAACAGTCTCTGCATATGCGAACTCATACTGAAATTAGCTGTAAACGTATCCATAGACCTAACCTAACCATTAGCCAACAGGCTCACCTCGAAACATACAGGGTGTTCATCATAGCGATGACTACAATTATTGAGTAGCTTCCAACTATTTGTTAAACAAAAATCGAACAATTTTCAACAAGAAATGCACGATTATAACTACGACTGTAGAATTATGTTCATTTTTGCAGCGCAGATTTAAGTAATTGTCGTTTTTAAACGGAATCGTATTACTTCGTTTTGTAGTATTGATGTAAATAAATATATCGATAGTAAACAGAATTAATTCTAAATAGATAAACTGTAAAATAATGTTTTTCACGATGGTTCTACTTTTTCCAACAGATTAAAAAATTACTATACTTCGATCTTAAAATTTGCTTATTTATAGAAAAGTATTTTTATTTTAATTGTTTATAATAAATTCAGAGTTTAACATCGAAAATGTTAAGAAAATTTAGTAGTTTTTCGAAATATGTAATTACACCATAGAATTTCTCACGTGTGTGCTCGTGGTACACACATGTAACCTGTTTAAACTACATACACAAGTGTGTCGTGTTACTTTTAATAATTCGTAAAAGACATTTAATATTATTATAAGATTATCAACTAGTAAGATCATTAAGGTTTATATATTTAGCACATATTTTACCTAACAAAATTATTTATCTCCCATTTGTTATAATTGTAATATTACAATCTGTTTCGTTTTATAGGTTATGGATACGTACTGAATCGTCTGAAACACTGAAATTTTCAAATAGTTTCATCGATTGTTAGCAATATATCTTGCTCAAATGTATTATAGTCCAAAATATCGTGTTATAGACTATTTATCGTTTTTTCGTTCATTGCGTGTCAAATTTGGTAAGATGTGATTTAGTATGTATTTACAAAACAATATAAATATTAGCATATGGAATTAATGCACATGAAAAGATGTATATTGCAGTAGAATAACATAAGCTTAAATGTATTTAATTGTTATATAATATTTGAGAGTTTAAAGGCATTATCGTGTTTCTAACATAGAATTCTCTCATAGCCGTTAAGTCTCGTCGCTACTTTCATTATACACTTTTTTCCCTCGACAATTTAATCGTTGGAAAGTTTTTAAGTCTATTCTTTCATTCGTTACATCTTAGTCTCTTAAAAAACGTTCATAAATAGATTAAGTTGGATAACAGTACTGTGAAAATGATGGAGAGAAGAAATATAATATTAAAATATTCTTTAACTTATAAACTGTTTAACAACTGTATTGAAATAATTATTTATTGTCAGATAATTATTACTGCAGCATGTCTGCTTCAGTCGATACTATCGAAGACGCGAACAACCTTCAGAAAATTAACAAAAGACAAATAGACAATGACGATGACGAAGTTGCAGTAAAAGTACAGAAGACAGAAGCAGCTAACGAAGTGGTAGAAAAAGTAAAAAGGAAAAATTTTGTAATAATGATGGGTTATAATGGCAGAAATTATTTTGGTATGCAAAGAAATCCTAATACAAAAACTATAGAAGAAGATTTATTCGTTGCTTTGTTGAAATCTAATTTAATTGCAAAAGAACAATATGACGATATTAGGGAAATTAAATTTCAAAGAGCTGCCCGTACAGATAGAGGCGTGTCAGCGGTTCGGCAAATTGTTTCCCTGAGGTTACGTAAGTAATATATTTTCCAATAATATATCTGATATAATTATAAACTGATTTTTAGATTATTCTATATTAGAAACACAACACAATTAACAAATATTATCGTTAAATATTTTAACAACAATATTTTTTAGCAAATCATGCAAACAAAGAGGAAATAAATAAATATCTTCCAAACGAAATTAGAGTATTTGGTATAAGGAGAGTAACGAAAGGTTTTAATAGCAAAAATCAATGCGACGCGAGAACATATAGATATGTTATTCCTACATTTGCACTGGCTCCGGAAGATCCAAATTTTTTACAAACCAAAGAAGATGAAAACATTGACGCAGATAAACGACTCGAGCAACTTTTAATAATAGATGAAAAACCGTATAATGATTTTCGATTGACTACAGATACACGTGGTAAAGTGAATGAAATTCTAAAGTTATTAGAAGGTACACATAATTTCCATAATTTTACATCAAAAATGTAAGTTATTTTAAACAATAAAATACTATTATATAATTAAGCAAGAATCGAAAAATTCTGTGAATTCTTTTACAGAAGACCATTGGACCCACGCGCTCGACGTTATATAATGTACTTTCGTTTTATCGAAACATTTGTTGCAAATAACATGGAATTCGCTGTGCTCGAAATTAAAGGCCAAAGTTTCATGTTGCATCAGATTAGAAAAATGGTTTCGTTGGTAGTAGGAATTTCACGAAATATTATTACAAATGATGTTGTTAAAGATGCGTTTTCGGTAGAAAACATTGACATTCCTATTGCCCCAGGTTTAGGATTGAGTTTACACCATGTAAGTTACTTAAATTTTAACTAAATCTTTTTCATTTGACGAACTACGATTTTTATATTTTATCTTTTTAGGTACATTATAAATATTATAATGAAAGGTATGGAACAGACGGAATCCATGAAACACTGGATTGGGAAGAATACGACGAAGAAGTAGAACAATTTTATAAGGATTACATTTTAAAAAATATTGTCGATACGGAAACTACCGAAAAAACGTATCCTTTCTTCCATAATTATTTATATATGGAATATCTTATAGAAAATGTTTTTCTTAATTAATATAATCTAGGACATTAAACTGGCTGGCAAGTTTTCTGACACCAATGAGGTTTGCATATAGAGAACCTGTCGCATGATGAAAATGTATTTCATTATAAATAACATTGTATTTACATATTTGTCAAAAACTATATTAAATACATTTCTCAATAATTATAGTTAAATATTTTTTAAATTACGATATTTGCTAGATCTTGTTTAAGCGTTATCTTTACTACGTTTAGATTTTGCTCATTGTGAGAATATTTTACCTTGGAAATACCACTAAATTAAGTTATCATTGTCTCTTCGTTAATTGTAATAAGTACATCGTTTTGGTTTTCCTGGTATATGCAAAACAGCTTGGCGTATCAGTTGTATATTATTTACGTATTTTTTTTTATTCGTAATCTTCGGATGATATATGCTGCGTATTTTCCCCTTGCGATACACAGCATACACGTACATGCACATGCACACACTAACACAGAGACGCGACGCTAACTTGTTCCGTGTTCGTTTGAGTTTGGTAAATCCAGATTGACTCAGGGCTTGTAGATGATCGACGAATAAAAGTAGTGAACGAATAGGTGACTCGTGTCTTTTTCCATTTCAATTCGTTACTATGAAATCTACGATAAATATAATTATTTTAACGATTACGTGTAAGCAAACATTTATATTGCATTATAAATTTGTATGACTCTTAAATCGAATGAAATTCGAAGTGTAATTTTAAATAATTTAAAGAATATACTCGGTGTTAAAAACTAAATTTTACATGTGATTTAATAATTTCTAGTTTTAAAATTACGCATCTAATAAACATGGAAAACTGGTTTATTAGATTCAAGAATTATGTACAATGTATTTAAAAAGTATCTGTAATATATGAGTTGAAATATGAACAATTTTGTTCATCTTTTCATTTATTTGATCCTTTTATTTACAGATGTCTAATTTCAAGTCAAACAGAATTATAAAAATTATAATTTAGCTTCTCTAATTTTAGTACAATGTGGTAGTAAAAATAAAGCATGTAGTCAGCTTCAAAACCAGTTTGATAATGACCTTGAACTTTTGAAAGGAAGATCTTTCTACACCATAATCTAAGATTCAATCATATATAATAATAGAAAGAAATTATGAAACAAAATTGCATTGTTCCTTTAGAAACAATTTCTTGTCAAATATAAATCAAAAGTATAATATGTAATAAAATGTAAATATATATATATACAATAAAATAAAGCAGAAGCAAGCATTTCAGAAAAAATAGTACATTTCCATTTTCTTAATAGGTGTAATAGAATATGGGTATGGACAAAAGAACAATTGTGGGTGAGTGCAATAAATTTTAAATATTTATCAATAATGAAGTTTCTTGTAATTGAGAATGACCGAATGAAATTATGTATTGTTTTTTATCAACAGTTTGAACAAATTTAAGTGTAAAAATGGAAATTGTATAGCAAGTGAATTGTTGTGCGATGGGCGACCAGATTGTGAAGATCAATCTGACGAAACCTTTATAGAATGCAGCAAACCTGAGATTAAGTGTCCTGGATATGCATTTCGATGTGCATACGGTGCATGTGTAGACGGAGACTCTCCTTGCAATGGAGTGAAAGACTGCTTCGATAATAGCGACGAAACATTGTCCAGATGTTTAGGTACTCAGTATAATACATCCACATGTTCATCGAATCAATTCGGCTGTGATAATGGACAATGCATATTTGCAAGTAGTTTATGCGATGGTACTCCCGATTGTTCAGATAATTCGGACGAAACGTTTATTCAATGTGGATCAATCCTGTAAGTTTAAAATGAGAACTTATTATATTATGAACAATTTGTCTAGATTATTAATTTCAGCACATTTTTACAATATATAGACAATAGATTTGAATTTATACGATATACAGTTATTTCAAAATTTTTATAGTTGCTCGCAGTTATTCTTCCGTTGTCATTACGGTGCCTGTATTGACAATGACTTGAAATGTAACGGAGTGATAAATTGTGCAGATGGTTCGGATGAAGATCCAAGAACATGTAGGGATGATACAGAAACTACTACGAAAAGATTCGAACCACCTGTGACACCTCCTTGGACTCCTAAACCTACAAGACAGTTTTGTAGTGCACCACAGCAACCAGAAAATGGTTATTGGAAATTACATAAATCACAATGTTCTACGGGAGAAAATTGTGATATCGAACAGGGTATCGAATTACAACTGGGGGCGTATTTAGTTTATACGTGTAGACCGGGTTACAAAATCAGAGGCTCCCCTGATGTAGTTTGCGGTGTGGGAGGTAAATGGTTAAACATTCCGATTTGCACAGGTATGTGAACATTGCAATGCGTAACGTACATATAGAATTGCATACAAATATTATGAATAATTTTCCGTATTTCAGAAATACGTTGCAAATCTTTGTTTTCATCTTCGGTCAATGCACAATGTAAATATGATGATGTAGATGTGCCATGTGACTCTGCTCGGCCACGTACACGGGCACAATTATCGTGCCGCAATAGTTATCGTCCATTAGACATAACATCTCCCTTACATTTGCCAATTAGATGTAACGAAAATGGTCAATGGGAACCAGAGCCGATACGTTGTATCCCAGGTCCGCCAACAATACATATTTATGTTAACGGAACCTCTCTCTCATTGCAAACTAATCCACAGACGAGTAATTCCACATTGATAGAAGTATTAGAAGATAAAATTATTATTTACAGGAATAAAGGAAAAGAAGTTAAATCAGACTTTATTGTCGGAATTGATAATGAAAGTAAAAGTAGAAATATTATTACAGAATATTGAACTTTTGTCAATAAAATATAAATAATTTCAACGATTGTATCGATAAATGTAATTTGAAATTAGCAAAAAGATCTCCCAAAGAATGTGTATTACATTCTTATATATACGTTGAGATAATTCACATATTGTGCGTAAATATAATAAAAGAGTATTATAGATAGACTTGTTGCCACCTACTGGTTGAAATTATGTTTATAATCACTTAATAAATACATTTATGTTCTCATTTCCTTCCAAATTTATTACTTATTCCTACGAAGTATTACTAATTTAAGAAATAAATGTGAATTATCTCTTGCAAATTATTGTCTGAGATTGGATGCAGTATGTAGAGATATATAATTGATTCTGAATAATTTAACAGTTTAAAAATGTACTTTTAGAATGTGGTGTTACTCCTCCAGACACTACGCCTCTTATTGTGCATGGGACTCGGCCTAATATTACTGAGTTTCCATGGCACGCTACACTTTATAGAGCAGACACACCAAACGCGAGCAAAGAATTTATTTGTGGCGCGACAATTATTCACGAGAGACTTTTAATAACAGCAGCACATTGTGTTTACATTGAACGTAACAAGAGGTTAGACGATCCTTCAAAATATTACATAGCAACGGGTAACATTTTCAGAGAGTACGATTCCCCTGCTCATAATCCGTTGATCGTAAAGAAGGCGCAGGTTCTTATATTTGTATTATTTAAATTGTTTGAAAATTATATTAATGACCATGATACTAATGTATATTTTTTATTTCAGGTAAAAAAAATATACATTGTTTGCAACTACTTGGGTCTGGAGGGAAATTACGCTGGAGATATAGCTGTGTTAGAAATCAGAGAACCATTCGTATTTTCGTATCTGTTGCTACCGGTGTGTTTGGACATTTTCGATCAAGTTGAATTAGAAGCGGGAGTTTACGGGAAAATAGCAGGATTTGGTAGAACTGCGGTTGGATCGTCCAGTGCTGTCTTGCAATCACTTACGGTGCCATATGTTCCTTTGAATCAATGCATATCATCGAGCATTGCTTATGAGACTGAACGATACATTACTATCGATAAGTTTTGTGCAGGTTATACAAATGGTTAGTAAACAACTGAAATAATTAAATGTTTAATGATTACCTTTTTATATCTAAATGAGAGCATTTATAGGATCGTCAGTTTGCGATGGTGACAGCGGCGGCGGATTAGTTTTTAGAAGAGGACATTTGTGGTATTTGAAAGGCATTGTTAGTGTTAGTCTTGGTGTAGCGATATCAGGAGCCAGTACAACTTGTGCCACAACTTCGTATTCCCTATACACAAAAGTATCTCGTCATATGTCATGGTTACAAGATATTATTCTTAGATTGCAAACACAAAAACCATTTTTCTCGTGCCCTACAACATATTAATTTTGAGTATAGAAAATAATACGTATTTTACGTGATTAAATTATATTTCAAAAGAACGCATTTATATATACAATACGCTAATACATATTATTTTACTATAAGTACTTTTTATATACGAAACAATTTAAAAAGCAAGATAAAACGTACATAGATGTATAAAAATACATGTATCTGTTATTAAAATTCTGTAAATATTACAAAATATCAACCTATTTTTGTAGACAATTCAATGTACACGAATCACACACATTCCGGCTGTGTTAGCTTTTGTTTATTGCGAATGCTTTGTGACGATGATTTAGATGAAGAGGTATTGAGCGTAGTTGTACCTATAAAATAATATATTATAAGTTATATTGTAAAAATCGTTATAATGTACTAATAATATTAGAAGTGTCTTACTTTCAATATGTACATTTTTGAAACTTTGTTCAAGCTCATCGACATCGGAGCTTAATTTAGTACTTGGTATCACAGGGAAAGCATTATCATCGAGTTTCATTAATTCTTCTAGTTCTTGTTCTAAATCAACATCCGAGTCATTACTTTTCAAAGTCTCTGATAACATAAGTTGCACTTCATTTTGTTCTTCCAAAGCCTAAAATACACCATTGATAGAACTCACAGAGATCATTAACTCATAACAGATTAATATATTACTCACCTCCGATAGGCTATCCATAACATCTTTAACATTAGTTTCTGTTAGACCGCTTTCGTTCAATTTCTTTAACACATTAGATCCTGTTTTATATAACGACAGCACAGCAGTGTTTGTGCAAGTATCCTGAATGCTCAGTATAAGAGCTTGAATATTCTCAAGAGTTTGAACTCTGTTTGTAATGGTTTTCTCTAATTTCAGTTTTTTACTCAAATGTGTTTTTGCAACTTGCCGTAATCCTTTGGCTAAGTACGACTTAGTTTGATTGATAATATTGACTTTCTGTTCTTCCAGAAGCTGTATTTCTTTTACAAGTTCGTTTTCTTGTTTTGATAATTTGTATAATCCTTCCTCAATTTCTGTTATATTATCGGACGAATGTACAGCAATTTTAATTAACAAGTCACTTTCGTTTACACTATTTGTAAAGGCCACCATTTTTTCACGTCTTAACCATATTAAAACTAACATGACAGTATCGTCCGACATATTTTGATTCACTTTGGATTTACAACTTTTTACTACTTCAGAAAAAGGCACGAGAATATTTTCTTTCTTTTCTTCTAAAATGGAAAGTATCGTTTTTCCTAATTCTCTAACAATTTGTATATGTATATATCTAGTTTCCTTATTAACTTCATTGTTTACAACATAACTTTTAACTTTTGAAAATGACCATACAAGCGGCCTCTTTACAAACGTATCGATTGACCATGTTGTCCAAGAACCGCAAGGCTCTTTTAAAAATTCAGATTCCGGAATTATTTCATTATTTCTGCAATATCAGATGAATTCATAATCATTAATAGAAAATACAATTTATTGAAACAAGAACTAGTTGACAAAGTTAATCAAGAGTTGATTAATTACCGAAGAAGTTCCTCAACAACAGATACCAAACAAAGTGGTGAGCAACCTTTTCTTTTAAAAGTTTGATTTAAATCTGTAATAGAGAAACTGCACTGCATGGTATGCTTTAACCATTCATAAATTATGTTGTGCCAAAACTTGTATTTAGATATCCAGTCTTGCGGATTTACAGATTTACTTCGAAAAGGCGAAAACAAAGCATTCATTCGTTCTTCCTCGTTCCAACATTTTGGCAGTTTTTCAGGCGGCAATGGCAAATTGTTATCCATATTTTCAGTTTCCACAGGCATTTTTCAGGTAAATGGATTTACTTTCATTTTTAAATTAAATTGCGTATTTAAACGTTATTAAAATATAATTATTTAACCACCGATGAGCAGTGATGGACATTCGTGGGAATTTTCACTGCCGTATACACGTAACTAGAATTTAGGGTACCGTTGAATCCCAGTAAGGAACAAAATTTAAGGAATTTACAGGGAAAGAGACAAAAACAAAAAATTTCCTCTTAATCTGCATAAGTATAGCTAGAGAAATACGTAGGGGATTTTTGATAAGTTAATTTCTGTGTGATTGGCGAGCATTTGAAGTAGAAAGTTCAATTTTGTACAAAATATTGAAATTCCCGCCATGAATCTCTTTTTGCGCCAAAAGTACATCTATGGCAGAACGCATGCGCAGAAAGAGATCCGACGAGGGAAAATTCTAGTGCGCATGTCCAAAATTTCCGCGAATCGCCATTACTGTCTCATAATTTGAAGAGTGAACATAACGTCTTCTATTCGTGAAAAACGTTTAATTTAAAATTGTTGAGACGTTAGAAGTGATAGAAAATAGAACCTAGAACTGCTAGAAGATGTGTGTACGAAATTGTAACAAATTCAAAATTTGTTAACAGTGGTAGGAAGATTTGAGTTGCATGCTCGCGGGCTGTGCTTCATAACCTAATTCTTTGAATATTTTTTGTTTCAAGGAAATTCATCGCGAGTCCAATTATGGAACCTGATGCAGACCCAAACGAAACGGTTTGGGATCCCATTAAAATATTCAATCCTTCCACGCACTATGAATATGCTGTAGTTATACTGAATCGCCCTCTTTCATGGAATCGTGATATTTTACTCAATATCTGGGAAAATGGTATGTTTTTCATATCTTAAAGAAAAGATTCAAACTTCTTTTGGACCCAAACTATTTCTTTCAAATAACAATAACAAAATCGGAATATAAAATTAAGTACGTTAATAAATAGAGGATTTAGATACAAAAATTCTGATTCTAGTGCAATAAAAAAGTAAGGTTCATGTTGTAAATTATAAATGCCAGGAAGTCGAGTGCTAATTTGTTAAACATGTATCGAATGAAATTTCTCCTAATATTTTACTAAATACGGTAAACGGTCCATTCGCTAGGAATGTTTCGACGTACCTTATCAGAAATTGTTTAGTGATAGATTTAACATTAAGCTCAGGTCAGGGTCACTGTTGATGGTGGAACGCTTAGGTGGATACATTATTTACAAAAACATGGTATCGACCTATTGAATGAAACATGTAGGAAATATGTGCCAGATTTCATTATCGGCGATTTGGATAGTTGTTCGTCAATAGTTCTTGAACAAATGAAATCCATGGGTTCTGTGGTTGTCGAGACACCTGATCAAAATCATACAGATTATACGAAGGCCTTGATTCAGATAAAAGAATTAGATGAGAAAGCAAACATGAAGGTAATATCGGATGTTTCATGAAATTCTTTTGTCCAAATTACGTACAATAACAGGGACATTGGTATTTGCAGTTAAAGGCAATATATGTATTTGTAAAAACTTCGGGACGATTTGATCATCTCCTTGGGAATATTAATACGCTATATAAGAGCGATCAGTTTATCAAAGATGTACAGGTAATTGTACTAGACATAGTATTGGTGTTGTTTGAAAACGTTTCATTCCACTGCTTGTTTTCCATTTATGTTAGATTATACAAATTGCAAATAATTCGTTAACGTGGCTTTTGAGACCAGGTTCTCACAGTATAAATATTCCTAATCTTTTGGTGCAAAATACTAGTCCGTGTGGACTTTTCCCGGTCGGTGCACCTATTAATTCCATTACAACAACTGGTTTAAAATGGAATTTAAGTATGTTGATTGTTTTAATGTAATCTGTTAAAGATCGTAGAATTGTCTCTGAATAATATTATATAACGATAGAATGTTTCGTTTGTTCAGATAATGCGATTATGCAGTTTGGGGGTTTAGTAAGTTCTTCGAATACTTACGGTAGTTCCAAAGTAACCGTCAATACAGATTCACCAGTGTTATGGACCATGAGTATCAAACCGCTTAAAGAAAGCGCGGACAATTGTGAAGAGCTGACAGTGAATTCTGATTGACGTTATCTTTAATAGGATTTTTAGATAAACTTCCGAAAAGCATGTCCCAATCTGGCTGTAATTTTGCACAAAGTTTCTATACGAGTATATAAAAATATCTGTGGAAAAGTCATGTGCGACCAATCATTCCGGAGATATTGAATTTTGATTGCCAGTTTTCTGTAGAGGTGAGAAGCGAGCAAGTAATACTTACATATCTTGGTCAAAAGTTTATGTCTTAAGGATTAAAATAAACCCAAAAGAGAACTTAGTCTTAATGCAACTGAGAGGGAAACAAAATATAGCAAGTAAATACAATTTACAGGTTCGAATTGGGTTTGTTCGGAGGATCGAGACGACGAAGCGTTTAATTATTGTACATATTGGATTGTTGAGAGGGGTACATTACAGTTTGTAAATTCGCTTATGTCGGAAAAATAAAATGCAGTGTTTCAGTCTTATGATAGATGGAATTATTTCTAACATAGATTTTAATTAGATTTTTCATCATGGAAAACATTAATTCCTTTTTTTCCGACATGGTCATGTAGTGGTCGTTTCCCCTTCCTCTTCAGTCCTGTCTGGGAGGGGGGCACAACCTGGCCCCCCTCAATTGGTGCCCCCCGAGGGTCTTCCCTCGAATTAGTTACTAAATTTTGTTTAGTTTTCAATAAAAGTTACTTTTTATTATTTTAATAGGGGTGAATGGGGAGTCTAAGATATTTTGTATATGTATAGTAATCGAGGGGTCGCTCGAGCGCTTGTGAGAGCGCTAGCCCTCTGGTGGCGAGCATTAGAGACTCCACATTGATACTGATATTAGCTACCACGGAAAAACAGAAATAATAATAATAATAATAATAATGAAAATGACTTTTTTACGTAACTTGACAAAAATTCATCCATAACAATGAAATGTAGTTAATATGATAAAAGTTTAAATCTCGATTTTTTGATTCCATGACTTAGGTCACTTTCATAATAACTGGCTCATATATTCCTGATAAAACTGCATAAAGTTTATCAAATAGTCTGTTAGATAAGAAATGTGCTTTTGTGATTGATACAAGTTTAGTATATCTAGTAAATCAAATGAAAAGATATAGATGAATTATTGATCTATGAGTGTAATTTGAATTAGAAAAAATTAGCATAGAAGCAGTGTCTTAAGGGGCCTTTTTTTTTTTGCATTTTCTTTTAGTAAGAAAATTTATTACATTTTCTGTTTTAGGTTTTACTATCGTCATACATTTTTCGTTGATTTAAACTAATTTTTGTCAACGATAGGAGAATGAATTTCGAGGTTCGTCACCCGTTAGATAAACCTAGAGATATACTGATGCGACAAAGAATTGATACGTTCCTTTCGTAAACGTCTCTCTTTTCTTCCTTCTGTTTCTCCTTTTCGAGCAAGAGTACCGATGGACCGACAATGGAGCACATCTGTAGGTACCACGAAACAATGGCTACCGAGATTGTGGAACCTATTGCGGATAGTATTCCATAATATACCCTGTTGTTTCCGCTCCCTTGGATAGAACTAGCAGCACGCTCGATGAAAATATATGGCCCCCTTTTACAGGTCTATCCAGACCGACACTAACCGTCGCCATTATTTCTCTGTCAATTTGTTCATTTCTCTGCTTTCAACTCCTATTATTTTTTCTAATTTATTCGTTACTATATTCGTTACACTATATTCGTCATTTTCTTATAAATTAAAAAATGGCCACGAAAAAATTCACAGTTTTCAACACTAGAACTACCAAACCACTCAAAATCATTCGTAATTTCTAATAAAATCTGTAAAAAAACTGGACTGAATTTTTGGAAATTTATCGCAATTTTCTATAAGAGAATGAACAAATACTTATTTCCATTGCATTGTATATAATAATAATATTGTATAAATAAACACACTATAATTGTTGGTAGTTCTAGTGTTGAGGGGGCATTCTACCTTGTATGTGTTCTTTTATAAATTTCGTATTTACCATTAATTCCATTTTAATACTAATTATTCAATCTTTAGTGTACATTTATTCTGTGTCCGAAAAGTAGAATTTTTTAACATAAATTAATTAAATAATCTGTAACTGAACAGCCCATAGGTAAATGTGTTTATTAAATGTTTCTTATAGAAAATATTAATAAACTCACTAATTCATGAATGTTCAGCCACGAATTATTGAATTAATTATCTACGAAATTGTTGAATTCGTCAATTGAATTTATTTGTTGCAACATTTAAGGTAGCATTCAGGTGTTTTCTATCTTTTAAACTTGAAGGAACTGGAGAAATAACTTTAGTGCCTACGTTTAGGGTGTTTGTATGGAATTGGTTACGCACAATTGAGTAATTCTAAAAAATCACCCAGTAGATAGTGGAAATGGCTTTCAAGGATAGAGTCACGCAATAAGAGAGCGAGTAGTGGTGGCAACGAATGCTAGTAGTAGTAGTAGTTGGTTTGATGCCAATGAACGAGTAGGTTGGCATAGGTTGGGGTAGGTATTCCGTTTGTATAATGTACCTACTCACTCGTATCGGACTGTCTCTGTGATACGAACGCAGCCTCGGGCTTATTATATATCTCAATCTCTGAATACTACCGACTCTGTCGAAATTATGATTACCCGTCACTCTAGAGTTTCGGAGAAAACGAATGCCTCACTGTTTCCTTTACCCCCCCTCCTCAATCTTTTCTCTTTTGCACCTTTCTGTTTCCCGTACATCTGTTGTCCCATCGTTCTCATAATTCAACTATCCTTTCAACTTTAAACAAATTATAGTGGATGAAAACTACTAAGGTTTGCTTCTTTCATTCTTCCCTGAAAAATGGAGGCAAATTCTTAAAAATTTACTGCACTATACAGATGACTATTCACGTTGAATTCATATAAATTTGTTTTGCTTAGAATCTCCTTTACTTGTGTTTACTAACACTTGCTTTTATGTTCCTTTTTTATCCAATCCCCTAAAGAATGTTAATTTATTCGATTGTGTATACTTGCATGCTCTCTGCAGATTCAGTTTCTATTTTCCTACTAATGTCCACGTATCTACTATATTTTAGTAAGTATGTCAAAAGTTTGAACTTGTTTAAATAATTAAATTAATATAATAAAACGTGTATCAAAGTATAAGAAACGTAAATAAATAATATTTGAATCTGAATCTCAATTGCTCAAAAATTTCGAAATATAGAATTTAAACAAGTTCAACAAGCTTGACATTATTAGAAAAATATAACATAGAAGTTGCGAAGAGGGGGGCGAAGTATGTGAAAGTATATTTTTGAGGCCCCCTTTTACCCGAATTTAAAATCGGTTTATACTGTATTTATACCACGTTTGTATCAATTGCATACAAGTGCATAGTTAAAAGTGTTTAAAATGTAATATAAATTTAATAATAAATACTTTTGTAACTATGAAGGGAAGGCAAGAAGAGTAACTCTTGTCGTCCCTGAATTTATGGACACATGTATCTACCACTGGGTTGCTATACTCGAGTTTAGTTTCAATCTGTTTCAGAATAGTCACTATGAGATTCATAAAGGAGAAGGAAATTGAAAGAATCGACAAAAGATCCATTTGTCCAAAAATGTTGATACCGCTATGCAATAAGAAATGTAACGTGCACGTATTTCTAGCAAACCACATTTTTGTTAACGAAAAGGAAGATTGAAAACCTTATAAAAAATTCATTCTTCGAGGATGACGAATCTCCGCGTCGATAAGCGTTGAGGATGAGAAACAAAAGGCATTGTGTTCGTTTCATCCGCTCGAGCGGTCTACCAAAGAGAAACGAGAAGGTGCTGGTATCGTAGCGGTAGTGAAAATCGAGGAACGATATTCATCGGTAGCTACGAACGAAGTCTTCCTCGGTTGAAAGTCGACCGATGGAAAATCGTGAAAATGATATGCTGGACAATGGGTATTGTTCGAACCGATCGCCACGTCTGGCCTCCCACCATCGTTCCTTTTCGTCTCTGGTTACTCGAATCGGTAGCTGCGTCGAGAAAACTCGGATTCCGCGAATCGTTCTTCTAGAAAACGAGTGTCCAGAATTTACCTTATACCTTCTTACCCTCTGCACCGTCTTTCCCTTCCATTCGTTGGTCTAATTGAAATTATTGTCGCGTAGAACATACTCTTAATGATTAGTCAAACCTTAAGATAGGCCAAAAATATGCATGATATGTAGCTTGATAGTATAATGTAATTGGTAACTGTAAATCACTGAAAATTTGTGTTGTTTCTTCCATAACTTCTTGTCATATTTGTTCTACTTGCAATTGGACTGACGAGGATAGGATTAGTAATTTAATTAGGGAGAAAAATTAGTAGAAGTTGGGGTCCTCCTTCCTGATTCGACACAGGTGCTCACCAAAGCAACCATACCTGGCGAGTACCTGTGTCATCTTGAGGGACAGCCTACCTGGTCTGTCCTGCCAATGTAGGGGCCTCATGGGGGCCCAGTCTCTGAAAGAACATGGCCTCCATCTTCTATGGTGCCTCCTCCAGGCCCAACCTGCGGATTTCGATGGAGGGGGCACCCCAGTTGGTGCCCTGTGGGTCTTCCAGGCATATCCACGCACAGTGGACATATTGGGGACGCAATGGGACACTGTTTGATGCAGTTGATCAAAGGAGCTTGATCCACAGCGTCAAATTGCTCTTTTTTAATCAAATAAACAGTCTGCCTTGTGGAAATATGATTCGTTAAGCTATCAATGATCATTTCTTCTAAAACTGTTGCCTCGTTTCATGCTAAGTATGTAATAATACATTTGAGATTGTAATTGATGGCTAGAAATAAATCATCCAAATATTTCTCTCCACTTATATATAAATAAACTCCTTTTATACATCGTAATACGTATGGTAGATATCTTCATCCAATCTCTACTATACTTATTGTCAAATTAGTAGTAAATACTCCACGAAGTAAGAATGTAAGAATAACATTTATCAACAAAAGCTATCATGTATAGGATAGAAACAGAAATGTAAACAAAATGTCATCCACGTTAATTTAATATCGTAAATGAATTTGTAGTGACTTTTAATCGATCGAAATTAATTGCAAGGGTTTTTGTTTTTATCCGTCGTATAAAAGAATGAGCGAGAACAGAATTTGAATGGTAATTTCCTCATGTAATCTATGACCTATTGTAGGAAAGATAGAGGGGTTGGTGGTGGAGGGTAAACAATTGAGAAGGGAGTCATTGACATGGGGTCTGTTGAAAACTCAGGGGAACAGTTGGGCTTCCATTAAAATCACCTTTCATGAAAACTAATCGCGTAGGCTA